CTCCCTGGCGAGTCAGCAGCTCGCAGGTGAAACAAAGTCTTGACAAGTGAGCACTACACTGCCTTTGAAAACTTTGAACGGTGAAGCACGCTGACTGTGCATTCATCAAACAGATAGTTTAGACATCCTTCCAGTGTTTCCGCACGACTGAGTTTTCAAGAAGGAATGCCGCGGACTGTTTTGACCAGCACACATCCTTTGATTTGATGTCGGCGAAAACACGACGAGTGTAAGGATCGGGCCGCTCGCTCGTCGGGCTTTAAAGAAGGTTGTATTCATATCGTTTCACAACCACAATACGGGCCAATTTTAATTGAAAAAAGAAACAAAGAAGAGAATGGCAGTTGAGTTGAGCTTGAAACAGGTACGAAGATCGCTTTGGAACACAGGTTTTGGAGTCACTTTAAAAACCAAATTTGGGTCACCATTGTGATATATGAGCTTTAACACTCACCATCGCTTACATACTCACCATAGCTGCGCCATTGTAGCCTTGTTGCTTGAGGGACTTGGGGGTCGGTGGGGTCTAGTCGTTCAGGGTTGCACTTTGCCAATCATTGCTATGCTGCCGGTGAACATTTTCTCTGATTTTTTTGGATTGTCCTTTCCCAATTGGTTGTGATTGGGGGATATTGTATTGATCCTCTCCCCCAATTGTAATAAAGATAAACACCTGGAGTAGTTTTTATCACTGTATTACTTAGGGAGTATTCAGTATTAGGTGGGAGGATTTCACTGTTCGGACCTGACAAGGACATGTCCAAATTACAACATCAAACCTCAACAAAAAACTATATATATATACTTTTTTTGATTTCAAAATCCATCAAAGTCCTGCTGAAGATCCATTGTCCAAAATCGGTTTTCCAAGCTTTCCCCTAATGGTAAAATCAAAACCTTACTTTCGAAAAATGAACTTTCGATTTCAGAACCCATCAAAATTTGAAGTTTTTGCCTGGTAATAAAAGCAAACATGCATTAAAAAAACAAAGGTTTTGATTTCAAAAGGCGGACCCGGACCCTAACAATACGCACCCCAGGGTTGACTAGTTTTTACCACTAGGGGGGCTTATTCTGTTCTCCTATTGCTTTTAATATAATTGCCGCAATTGAACCCACAATTGAACCACCAAAAACATCAAAAAACACACACATTGGGAATGGACCCTAGTTTTTACTATTTGCGGTACGTTTGGTAACATGGGGAGGGGATTAAATAGTTGTTGGCACATGAGTCCGTGTTCCAGAAGCCGATATGATAAGATATTCCAAAGCAAGCCCCAAACATGATTTTAGTTGCTTAAACTTCAATGTCCCAATAATTGTTGTGTAATTTTTGAGTTGTTTTCATTTTTTCTTCCAGTTCTTTTTTCATGATATAGCTATATATGTCTTTACATAGTTGACCTATCATTCATCATGTACATACATAGACACTTATATACACAGACGTAGATGTTTCAATTTCACAGTGTGACATATTATGACATAGTAACTAGTCACAGAAAGTGATGTATTTTATGCAGACATACACACACACATATATATATATATTACGAAAACCAGCTAGCTGGCTAGTTGCTGTTTGCGAACGAAGTGAGAATAGGGGGTGTGGGGGGGGGTGGTTGCCGAAAGGGAACGAAATCTCGCCGTGCCCCTGTGTTGAGCGCCAGAAAACGGAGCATTTTGCTGGATTATGTACCACTAGGCAATTTGCTGACGGTGGGGTATCGATTCCCCCTAGGTCCGCCTTTTTGGTGGCCGGAGAGACCATGAGGATGTATTGGAAAATACAATGAAACTGCAGGAAAACATGATAACGATCAGAGGAAATCGTACAAAATCCCCTGGAAAACGGACGAAAACGGAGCGAATGCTAGGAACAAACCATGGAAAATCCCTTGGAAAATGGAGGAAACCGGAGCGTATGCTAGGCGCAAACCATGACGATGCAGTAAACATGCTGGAAAGATACAGTGAAAGTGCAGGAAAATGTGATAACAACGAGAGGAAATGGTGCAAACAGGATCGGAAAATGAAGGAGACAGGTAAAACTCTTGGATTAATATTAATATTGAAAATGCATGAAATGCAGGAAACGAGAGGACATGGTACAAAAACCTATGGAGGAAAGAGGTGAAAATGATAGGAAACATGTAGTAAAAAAATGCTGGACAAAACATATTGAAAACCTACAAAAGAGAAGAAGGTAACCACAGGAAACGGGAGAAAAAGCAGTGGAAACTGGAAGAAAAGTTGTGACAATATTAGGAAAACGGTGTACAAGCTAGGAAATGCTTGTAACAACTAGAGGAAACGATGTAGAAAACAGTACAACATGGAGGACACGCGTGAACATGCTAGGAGGCATGTAACATGTTAGAAAAATACAGTGAAAGCCAAGACAATGTCAACGAGCGGAAACGTTGAGCAGGAAATCCGATTTGGTTTCTGTAGATAATGTTAGATGATGAGCAATGTAGTTTGGTGATAGGAAATAGTGGCTGACTCGCGTACAAGACATTGCCATGAAACCTTGGAGCAAGATGCGGATGGTATAGGAAAAAAGATGTATGAGTTGTAAGATTTTAGGAGTTGCATGGGAAAATTGGTTTCATGGTAATCTGTGTGAAGTTAGAAAAGTGTGATTTCGTTCACAGAGTAAGAAAAATAAATACAATCTGCAGATTAGAGTATTTATAATGCTTAAAGCTGTTTGACGTTTTTTGGTGCCTCCCTGATTCTGGTAGTTTTGTGATAAGAACTACAAAAACGATCTACTGGTAAACGGAAGGAATAGTCTTTCCGGTTTAGAACTGAGTCGACTGTCAAGTGATGCATAGGCTCCAGGCCTCTGGTTATTGTCACAAAGCATTGGAATGAAGATTGCGCCCAGGAGCCACCTAGGTTAGGAGACAAATGCTGTAATATCATTGTAAGAGGCCGTACTGAGAAGGCTGAAACAGAACTAAAAGTGAATCTTGTACTAAAACATCGAGAAAGAATTTGAATCTTCTAATGGCAATGACGGGAATGATATGCATCTGTACGTCCGTGATAGTATGTGTGCCTTTTAAAAGGGATGTTTGGCGAGTGTGATAGCTGAGAAGATTTTCCGGGATGCCAAACAATTATCTCTATCGATGTCAGGGATGATGCTATTCCGCGACATTTCCTGTAAAATACCTATTTTCCAGACCCTTGGGGGGTGGGGGGGGCACCCAGGTCTGTAAATGGCCTAAATATATATATATATATATACTTTTGATTTGGACTGCATGTTCGCCACTGTTCTATATTTCCCGTGGGTTTTGCGTTGTTTTCCTCGATTTTCATTCGTTCTTATACCCTTTCTTACGTATGTTATAATATTGTCTTGGGTTTGCACTGCCCATTTTGCGAGTAGAGCTATGTTTTGATTTCGCACCGTACGGCCAAAATGTTGCGGAACTTCGCGGAGAAGCATGGACCACGATTCTGGGGAGAAAACAATTTAGACTTTGAGAGGTCACATGACCACTGTTCACACAAAAAAGCGGGTATTTTTTATCTACAATAGGTGGGAGCAAACTTGCGCTGTTTTAAGATAAATGAGCAACCAAAGGCGGATTTGCGGAACTTGAGATAGAACTTTTCACAATGCCGCAGTACATTGTAGGAAACATATTTGGATATAGAAGTTACAAAATCGTGGAGTTTACCCTAAAAAGGTCCATTTAATGATTGGAAACTTATGACCCGATAGCAATTGTTGATGTTGGGGCGCTTCATGTTTGAGCCATGCCATATGGATGAGGTGGAGTTTCACGCGCCCCCGCGCGAGTCAAAAAGCAAGCGCTGGCTTTCGTTCCACCCCTTCTCAGGTATATATAATGTGGTTTGTTGAACATATGATTTGATGTTCATATTTCCACATAAACATTGTCTTGTGTCAGTATGCGCGCCTCTCTGGTCAAGGCCCCACAGGTACCACGCAATCCACTCTGATAGAACGTCGTGACCAAATTGACTGCCATGATGTCAGTGTATTGCAGCTACAGTGAACCAGTAGGCCGCAACGCCACATCCGCAATACACTGGTATTTTTTAGGCTTGCATCCAACAATAGGTCTCATTGCTATGCAAATATCACGTGTCCAATGGACGTTTGTTTTCTGAATGTGTAGACACCTCTCCAGCTTTGTCTTTTTGTGTTTGGTGATGCAACACAAGATTGAGACAGATGGGCAACCTGAAGGCCTGAAGAATTTTTGTATGAATCAACTCCACAAATTTGCACTTTGATGAGAGGGGTGACATCAATGCAAATGTCGGCTTCAAAATGCGCAACGCGAGCATGGCGTTGGCACAGAAGGCTTTGGCATTTGTTGTTTATTGTTACATAAGCAAAACCAGCAGTGCACCTGGGCATGTTTGTCGTTGCTAGACACACGTCAATTCTGCAGGCGGATGCTCGAATGCTGCGTAAAGGCATCGGATTGCATGCACCATCTGTGTCATGGCAACGCCTGCAACACAATGAGAAACACCCCAAATGTTCGAGCGAACTTGCAAACAGCACCGCAATGTCTCTTTCTGTTGAATTGAGGTGATCATGAACTCGAAATTAGATTCGTTCTGCGACACGATCTGTTGAACGATGGGGCGTATTGATGAGCCTTTGACAGACAACAGTGTCAATCCTTTACCTTCACTATGGCTATGCCATGTGTGCCGCTGGCGAAGGTTCTTTGCCTCAGCATATTGGTCTGTAGCCAGGCATGGTGTTGCAGAAATGTTGCAGACATATTCGATGCAATATGATGCAATGACATCAAAAGGCATGCACTTGAAGGGCTTATGCTGTGCCAGCGATGTGTTTTTCATTTTGTCCAGAAATAGCACAGGTCATTGAACAATGCAGAATTTGCACCTTTGTTTTGGCATTGAATTCCCAGGATTTCCAGTCCAGTGAGATGCTGAAGCTGGGTCATGGGTCACTTCAGGTGTCGACGACTTTTATGGATTTTCGGCACGATTCCGTCGACATCCGCGAAGAGGTAGAAGCGATCCTGGGCGCTGGATTTGGAGAGAAGGGTTCATCATGGTTCATCCATGCTGCACCGGACTTGGAAGCGCAAATACAATGAAACGATTGAAACGATTGAGTGTATACGTAGTGACATAGTGAATGCTTGTGCATAGATGGATCTAGGTTCTTTGGTGGTTGGTCAACTATTGGTATAGCCGGTTCCAGGTGGAGCTTCAAAAGCCACCGGGGCGACCTTCGATGGGTAGCGTGCTGCAGCCTATCGCACCTTTGTTGTCGGCCCTGTTTGGTTTCGCCGTGGCAGCAATGGTCATGGTACCAGCTGTGCCAAGCTCAGTGAGATTCTTTCAGTCACATCATGCAGTCTTCATAAAAATGATGTGATGTGAAAGACCCCAATGTTTCAATTTCTTCTTAATGGCTCTTGACTGAGTAAGGGATTCCGCAGAAAATTGCTAACAAAAGGGCTTCCATGTCAGAAAGGCAGGCTCATTGATTGTTTGGCAGTTTGACCCTTCAGATTGTATATATAATTACCGTAGATTCATCATGTGCTTTGAACGCCATCATATCTGGCCAACGCAAGCAATTCGTGACATCGATGAGATACCCTATGATGCCCTGCTGTTGAGTCAGAGGCGGTCTTGGGTCCCAGCATTTCAATGCCTCCAGCCCTTGGGGTGCTCTTCTACCAGCTAGCATTGCTGGCAGGGCGCGAAGCTTGGCTCCGTTCCCCTGCGAATTATCAGCAGACCATTGCTTGAGCATCAGAGTTGTATCTAATCAGCCAGTGCTTGAGTCCACAAAGGTCTGCAGTTACTCTTCATTGCTATTTATACAGTAAAACAGCCATGATTTCGAGTGCGTGGCTGTCTTTTTGTTTGTGCTTCCAGGCAAAGCTGGCTACCGCGGCTATTCTTTGCTACTCTAGGGGTGCCGATTGCGTCAGGGCCCTATGGTAGGAACAAGTGTTGTGCGGGATACTGTGTTGGCAAAAAGGCGCAAGGGTGACCAAATGCAACGTAAGGGTTTGAACTTTGAGATCATGGCGAACTCACTCTACATCCTTCTTCCAGTGAATACGTGCTTCGGAAGTGCTTCTAATATTTTCTAGTTGCCGGTTCAATCCTTCACAATCTACACACATGCAAGGCATGGGCTCTTGCTGGTGCCGAGTATTGCCTTCCAGTATGCCTTGCTGGGAGCTTGGAGATAAACAATATAGATATATAGAATATATATGTGTATATATATATATAATTATATATTATATATAGTATATACTAGAGATCTAGAGTGCATGATGGTCCACACACCTTTGGTGGGTTCTATCGGGCCATGCGGGGGTCTACCCTCTTTTCGTCCATTAGGCCGGCACTAGTTGGGCCAGCAGCAGGCAGGTTTCCGGGTGTTAGTTCTTCAATTGTGTTTCACATCTTGCAACATCAACCTTAAACCTGTTCGTTTCCTGTCTTCATTCATCATCGCAACGACCCAAATTGTGAATTGTCATGAATTGTCTGAAGACTGAGCATGCAGAGGCCGAGCGTCACACAATTCCAGGGGTTGCGTTTTCGCTCATTTTTTCCAGGTCTTTCTGCTGCCCGCTTCTTTGGTGGCACTGATGGAGTCCAGCTCTGTTTGGTGTCGGTAGCTTTTCTGATTGTCTTGTACGGTTGGCTTCTCAGGAAAAGCCATGCGTGGATTGCTGGAGCTGCTAGATGCGTCTTAGAAACGACACGAAACGGCCGTACCTAATATATATATATACCTAATTCTCTTATTCATTTCTAGAGAAAAGGAAGATTGTGGCTTTAATTCGGCAAGGCTGGTCCCGATAACTACTCAGATCATCTCAGTGTTTCAAGGGTCGCAGAGGCCATGAGCATCGAGGTCTCTGCATGCTGAGGGTGATGAAGATTGGACATTGGAGCTGAGCTATCTGCCTGGGTCTGCCGCTCCGAGGATGGAAACATCGTTGTTTGATCATCTTTGATCATCACAGGTCCTATAGGTCGCTAGGTCGGGATCATCCTTTGATATACCCAGATGTCCTGTTGATCCTGTTGTATGAGTCATATGAGCTCTGGTCAAGGTTGACCGACTCAACCTTTCGGGACTAGCACATACTTGTCGAATTGGGGTGTGCAGCAAGCCATAGGAATTCCAGGACTGACTGATGCTGACCCTGAGGCCAAAGACGCAGACCCAGCCAGCCCTGGAAAACAGCGGGCAGCGGGTGCTCTCTGTTCTGATATTCCGAAACTGTGGTTGATGAGTCCAGCGCCTGTTGTAGTGTCATGGTCTCAAACTTCTGTGCTCAAAGTATCAAAAAAGAGTCTCTTGGGATACTGGCTCTGAGGCTTTTTTGTGGAAGCTTGGCTCAAAAAAAATTGAAAGTCGAAAAACTCCACATTTGCTCAACAAAGCGTGGCTGATAAGCGGGCTGCTGTAACGATGCCATTATGCCATCGATAGTTTGCAGGAAAGTCCCACAGATCACAGATGGTTGAAGATCAGAGATATTATATCTGTGGGTTGTGTTGATCAATTACTGAAGAAAACAGATCAAAGATGACTGATGGAAAAATTGTGGGTTCCTCCCCTCATCAAGCGCAAAGGTGGATCTGTTCCGCCATGCCATGGGTTGTGCGGGCTCAGCCTCCAGCAAGTATGATGCAGCGCCCAAAGAGGCGGCTCGAACAGAGGAGGTCGGGCTTGGGACCTTTTCAAATGCGACTTGACATTTTGTTTTGACTCTATATTATAGTATATATACGATATTTATATACGCATGTAATTATATGTTTGTATATATATAAATGTATATATATATATATGATATTATACATAGTGTAAAGCATTTTTTGCAGTTGGAGTTTCAATGGCTTTTGCGCACGGGAGTTGAAGAAGACATACAGCAAAAAATGGCTAGTTTGAACGTGTCAACCGTGTGAAGAAAGGCATAGTTGGAACAATGGCGTGCACCAGCCCTCCACAGTTCATTGTTTGTTGGGACATCAACTTGAATTGAGCTTTGCACAGTCATTTGTCTGGGCATTGGACCCATTTGCAGCTTAGAATCAGACATGTGACATGGATTGAAAGGGTGAGTGCACGACCAGGCAGCGTCCTATCCATCAGGTGAGTGGCGAGTGGAGGCTCTAAAGTCTTGCCGGGAGATCATCCAAAGAAGGTCTAGGTCTAGGTGTTACATGGTGTTACCATTAACTGTTTCAACAGCAAACCTCAAAGTACAGAAACTCAATGAAACTCACTTGCTATAGGTGTGGCTATTCTCACAAGTTGCACTGGACACTCCATAGGCGTCAAAGTGCTGACTCCTGCATGGTTGTAGCCCGCTGGAGAGCTTGCACTCTCACAGCTAAAAGTAGTTGCGTACTGTAGCCACTGCCCATACATGTGGATGTCCCGCAACTTTGGCACACAGACCTTTTTTTTCCGGATTCCTTGGTCGCTACACATTCGTTGGGGTCAGGGCAGTCAAATCAATTTTGAAAGGGTTCCCCTGTTCCTCAGGAATCTCCAGAGCAGTGGATCCCGCTTGATCAGGAGAGGCAACAATCCCGGCGATGGGAGTGGTGCCATTCTTCGCACCAGAGAAATTCAGAGGTTGTGGGTTTATATGCCCATTCATTGTGGGCTATACCCCTAACCATCGCTGGCTACTACCTCCATGATTACTGGCTCATACCATATCAATCCATTTTATACCCAAGTATTGTGTACCTCCGCAGTGACAGTGAGATTTGTCAAGGAGATCGGGCAACAGCTCTTGCAGGCGTACTTTGACGGCCAACTGGAGGCTGCATTTTGCTCTCAGGATGTAGAGGGGTATCAATGGACCGGGCAGCTAGATCTGGCTAAAGAAATGGGAAGTTGTCACACTAGGGTGAGGGGGGTTGTTCATACTATTGGCGGATTGCTTTGTTTGAGGAGCAGGGGCCTCGAAATACATACACTATCATACACTACACCACTCATTGTGTTGCAGGCGTCCACTTGCAGTTTTGTGAGTTTTTTTGTGTAAGACACCTGACATTGTTGCCTTTTTTGCCAGGCGAGGTATGCGCTGCCGAACGGAAATTTCCAGGTGGATTTCTATCAGCAGCTGCAAACCCAGCAGGAAACTGGAAGGCAATGCCGCATCGCCTGGTTCGATACCAGTGCGGCCAGTGCGGCCAGTGCGGCTGGCTACGCAGCTGGCTATGCTGCGACCGTGGAGGGCTCCGATGCAGTTGGTGAGGTGAGACCTGGATGAGATGGGAAAGGGAAACTGTAAAAAAACATGAACCGTGTCATGCAGAATTCGTCAAGAATCCGAACAGTTGTGTGAGTTCTTTCACAGAGATCACAACCCATGGATTTGAATGGCAAAAACTTGCAAAAACACGACATGTTTTTGCAAAAATGGAATCCAGAAGAATGGATAGATGTAGAGGGCACCACTCATTTCACAGATGTAACTAAGACCCTGACTCCTTTGCACAAACGACGACAAGTCCCTCAGATTGGATAAAGATGATAAAGACCCCAGCTGCAGCTTGTTGAGCCCCTGGTGGCACCCAGGAGTTGACTTCCATCAATCCAGAAGTCTACCTTGGATTGGACACTCAGTGGATGGTGAAGGAGTGGCTACAGTGTCCCTGCATGTTTTTTTGTGTCTGAATGGATGGATTTTCCCGAAGATGAAACCCAAAGACCACTTGTGGCCTGTTTTCCCTTTTCGATTATTGCAGAAGTGAGAAGTGATGCAAAAACTATCAACAACTACCAAGATTAGGCACACGATCCAGTTGTGTCGGAGTGGAGATCTCGCAATCAAGACGCAACACTCCACGAGTCAGGCGCAGAACGACCTGGTGTCAAGTTTTTCTATCCCCCTAAAGTGGATGGTTTCTGAGTGTTTCTGATCCCAAAACACAACCCTAAGGGCTTGACCCATGTCCAACTAACAACCCAACATGAAGCGATTGCTGTTCCAAGGCGGTGAGTGGCTCATAGAGGCCATTTCGGGGTGGTTGAGGCTTTCGTCCAAGTGGAAGTGTTCTGATGGCACTTTGGAGATGGAGGAAAGAAGCGATAGTTCCCAAATTTCCCAAGCGGATCATTGACCAAAGCCAACTTTCAGAATGGCAGCGGGTCCAATGTTCATCAATTTTCTCATAGTTCCCCATGCTCAAAGAAGATGCAGAACCTGACCCCCGGCAAAGCTGCTGGCTGCTTGCAGGATGCAGAGGGTTCCTGGGTGCGCTTGGACCATGAGATCTCGGCTCAGCTGTTGGTGGCTTGGTACTGTGGGGAGCAGCTGTTGGACTATTCCTTTCAGGCTTGGTGCCCTTTGCCGTTCTGTTCCAAACTTCATTTCTTTGGCTTCGAAGATCTTCGAAGATTCCTCCTCCATCCTTGCTGCAACTGGCAGGGGGCGTCTTTTCAAGTGGACCTCACTGTGTGGGTGGGGCAACCCAGGTGGGAAGGCCCCTTGGGTTGTATAGTTGCTTGCAGATGTTTGGGGATTGTCCAGGAGCCGAACCCCTTGATTTCACAATGATGCAAAAACAACTCAACCAGTACTGAGCCGTGGTAGGTTTGGCTTTGGGTTTGGCTCAATTGTTTGAAGTTTTAATGACTTTTGAATGCTTCATAATGCTTCCTTTAGTTGGCGACATTTGATGTCCAAGCCTTCCCTCGCATCATACAGATCCAAGCATCTCCAAGATTGGGGCCAAGGAACAACGCAATGTCGAGACCGGGGAGAAGAAAAAGATCGTTTGGCCGGGGCCTAAGGGAAGAGGAAGGCTGGCCCCAGCTGAAGGTTGATCCTTTAGCCACTGGGCCATTGTACAGTACTTAAGCTTGTACTGTAGTCCTATGTAGCCTATGTCGACTTTCTTTTTAAAGCACAACATCCTATTAGCCTATGTTTCCATGAAAATCAAGGAATCTGGCTGGACATCCTCTGAATCTTTGCTGGATCCAGGAACTCCAGTGATGCTTCGAGTGAAGGTGATGCAGGCGTTGATGTTGTGGATCTTTTAGCTGCCGGGCCGGGGAGTAATTCAGCGCCAAATACTAGTGACATTTTCTAAGCTGTTTTCAATGATATTTTCCAATATGTAGCTGCGATTGATTTGCGATTGATTTCTATGGGTGTAGTCATGTCGTACTTTTTTTACTTCTACGAAATGATGGGAGACTTAGTGACTAGCACTTCTTCAAAACGAGCCAAGCAACTCTGACCTCCTTGGCTTCGAGATGTGATGTCATGGAGAAGTGCTGACGAGATCCAATGACAGAGAATCCATGAAGTTCTGGACTAGAGATGAGTTCCAATCATTTGAATACAGGATATCAATGGATATCAATGGATATCAGGATATCTCATGACTGTATACACATTTACAGTCATTTAATGTCATTTACATATATGTAATAACGATCGCTTTTTAATGGGCTATTGGAGGACTTGCTGACAGCTGGGCGGAAGGCAAGGAAGGCGCTGCTGTCCAACTGATGGAAGTTTGGGCTACCAAGGGTGGGACTTTTCTCAAGGCTGAAGCTAGTCATGTTTTGGCATCAGGAACATGACGGCAATATGCGCCAGCCATGAAGTCTAGTGGCCTATTTGTATTTTTGTATTGCTCAGATTCAGGAAGATGACATTTTTTTTCCTGCGCCGCATCATTGTATCACACTGGGCCCACCTTGTTGACCTTTGAATAACATGGATGGCCTTCATATCATTCAGTGCAAGATTTTTCAATTATCATGAGATTTTCATAAAGATCACCCATCTTGTTTGATTTCTAGGAGCTTAGCACCAACCAATATGCCTCATCTGTGCCCAGATGGGAGCACTTGGCTGGACCCTGGTGAGGCAGGGGGCCTTGGGCCTGGTGTTTTGTGGGCCCGTTTGTCATGCAAGTTTGGCAGGCGGCCAAGGTTTGTTTTGAGGAACATTCTTCTTCCATATCGCCTTTTTCTACTTCAAATCTAAACTTGGGTGATTTGGTACTGGTAACATTCTGTAATGGAATTTCTGTCGTTTGGTTTGGAGCTCATTGTAGTCTGGACGGGCCAGTTTGAGGCTCTCCGGAGGATGAGCAAGTTCCCACTAGATCGACATTTGAATCTTTTGCAACCAGATCTGCCATGATGGATAGTTCCCTATATGTACATTATATGTATATATATATATACATACAGTATAATATATATATATATTATATATATACATAATGTATCACTCGGTGCTTCACTTTTTTTACTGACTTAGTGACCATCCACTGGGATCTTAGGAGGCTGAGAGGCAGCTTTGGGCGGCCCTCAACTCTGGGCAGCAAGTGGTGCGTTGGGAGCTCAGTGGAGATGTTCGAAGTTTGGATGTTCTTTTTCCAGATGCATTGGATGGTGTTGGATGGTGTGGTTTTTCAACGTATCCCTGTAGCTGGTGAAGTCTGTCTCGCAACCAACTCAAACTTGACACCAACTCAAGCCGCGTCACCTGTTCCTGTTTGGTGTTTTGTTTTCCCATTCTTCCCATCAAGATTGGCGATTGGCTGTAGGTGTTGAATCCCAACTAGAAATTAGCTGCTCCCAATGCAGTTGCAAGGTTACAGCGTGAATGGCTGCCAGTTCGAGGTAGATGTCGTGGCTAAGCGGCATCTGTCCCACTGAAATGTTGCAGCTTCAAGACTATGACATCAGATAAAACGGGACCTGCCTTGCTTTCACAAAAACGCAGCACCTGTTGTGGATCGATTTCATGAAGAGCTAAAAAATCTGAGACAAAACCAAACTTCAGAAACCCTCTCTGTGCATGTATCTTACCCTGCCACACTCTTGTTCCACCTTCCAGATCTTCCAGTGGCGTTGTTGTTTTTCTGGGGCCCCTAGGTGAACATGATCCAGACCAATTTGTCCACCGGAGAGCGCTGGATGATTGCCGTGGAGGATGGCCCTGGAGCTGAGGTGCGGGTGACTGCCATCACAAAGTGGCCAAGCTTGATGCCAGCTCAGTGGAGAACATCCATGAAGATCCTATCTACAAAAGAACATTGCATGTCCCCCGGGGCAGGGGAAAAAAAAAATCCCGGCGAGATTCGGCACCTAATATACACATACTCATACACATTCATGCATACTTGTTTATACATTAGATGATTATGTATATATATATAGAGAAACATATGTATACTGATTTGCTGGCAGAATTTACTCTTTCTTCGCAATGGGCAGGGACAACCTCTGCATTTTTTCCTGACAGACGCCTGTTCCCTTTTCCCAGGTGCCAGAAGCCGGCAAATCCACTGAGGAGCCGATGACCAGCCCTTTGGAGGCCCCAAGTTTTATTCAGATGGACCTTTTTCAGTGAAATATTCTGGTTACTGGTTGATGAAACCCCATAATTATATATATATATATCACATATATATATATATCACATATATATATATATACACACCCATATATACTAATGAAATCAACCCTTTTGACAGCAAGTCTTCCGCCAGGCAACGCAGATTCCGGAGCCCTCCCCTGAGTCTACAGCCTTCGCTGGGGAGCTTGGTCACAATCTCCACCAAATGTTGGGAAGACATGGCATTTTCAGGGGCGAAGGAGTCTGAAATGCAGTCACTCAATTCTTGAATCATGCTTCATGCTGCCCTGCGCAGGGATTGAAAAAGACCATCATGGACAATTCATTAAGCTGCTAGGTGTTTATGCTTCAAGTAAAGAACGGATCAGTTTCTTGGACTTCAGCTCCAGGCTGGAGGTGCCTCGGAGCCCAGAGCAGTGCCCACTGCGAGTGGACGGTTGGACACCCAAGGGAAACACTTGCTGCTTTCCAGATATTTCCAGATATTCAGGGTCTGTTGATGTCTGTTGAATTGTTTATTTAGTATCCTTTTGTTTTTTTTATGCTGGTGATCTACCAGTGGAGACTGGTGGGATATGGTGGGATCTGAGGCCAAAGGCTTTCATTTACAAGGCTGTGCCGGATCCTGGAAGGCAAGCGCTGGCCCATGAATTTTCCGTTGATTTGAAGAGTTCGATGATTTTTACGACCATCAAAGAGTGAGTTGATCGCATCACGTTCGGCATCCCTGCTTTTGGAATCCATTTCATGTGGAAAATGCCTGGTGTCATATTACTACCACAATCTACCACATAATGGCCAGTACTCAGTACTTAAAGTAGTACATTACTACATTGCCATGCACGTGTATAGATTGTGTACGTGGACATACGTGGACTGTCCATTTTTCACGAAACACTCACACAATTGTGCATATTGTGCATATTGTGCATACTATGCATGACTGTTGAGGGACAATGAAAGCAAAGAACATCCCCTCTGGTAAACTAACATAACTATGGAAAATCACCATTTTTAATGGGAAAACTCACTATAAATGGTCATTTTCAATAGCTATTTTGACATAACCAGAGGGTAACTTTTCGAAGCAAAGTGCTGCCCTGAGGCCACCTCCAAAACAGAAGAAGTGGAGCCTGGCACCGGGTCAAAAGCAACGCCTGGCCCCGAAGGCTCCGGATCTGGAGATCCAGGGATAGCCATTGGGAGAACGTTCCCATGATGTATGATGATTATAGGTATATACCGTTATAATCCGTTATATACCTATAATATCCCATAATATCCCATAATATATACATGTATACGCCGTTTTACCAAAAAGACACAGTCGACGCAAGTGTGTGTGTATATATATATACACACATACTGTATATATATATACTGTATATATATACATATCCATGTATTCAAAACCACCAATGCTATGTATTACCACTGCTCACTGGGGCTTCCAGGCAGCTCCCAAGACCCGGCCTGCGCCGAACACCGGCGCGGGGAAGAGCGGCGCGGGTGGCGCAAAGGTGGGAGGGATCAGGCTTCAGCCGCTTCAGCTTCAGCCAGACACAGTGGCATCCGTCACAGTCCTCATTTCATCTTCATTTTTACATTTCTAAGTTGTTTTTTCATTTTTTTCTTCAATCGCAAATGGAATACTGTTTGAAGAGACACTCTCCAATTGCAGTTGGAATCTGAATTGTGGCAGCTATGTGGCATGTAAAGATAGAGTCGTGCTGTAGCCGCTGCCCTCAGGAGCTGCCCCTTCCGCGTAATGTGGAGTGGCCCAAGGGTGTCAAGGCACGCCGCGTGGCAGAGGCGGTCTACGCCGATATGCGCAAGCCGCTTGGGTGAACCGATGTGAACCGTGGACTCCACGGAAGCCTGTATATTTATATAGTGTATGGATCTGTACATATTTTACATATATCATATATATATATATATATATATCATTTATAGACTCATCTCCTCTAGGATTGGTTTTGATCTGTTTTGACATTTGTTTGTTGCATTCTTGTGAAGATTGAGGGTTCCGGCTCAAGTATCTTTGAGTAGGGCCATGAATTTTCCAGTTGTGAAACGGACCATCCAGTGTGGTTTAAGCAAGAACCATTGAACCTATTCATGACTCCATGACAAAATAGGGGTAGCATACAGCTGCAGGTTGCAGTTGGACCCCAGGGGACCGCGCATTTTTGTGATTTGTTTGATTATTTGCAGTACAAACAAATACAAAACCATCTCATTTTCAGGATCCAGTTTTGACGGATATCCAGATGGGGAAATTGGATATGAAATTGGCCATCTGAGGTCTCGTGAGAAACCTTTGGCGCATCGGCGCAGAGCCTACATGGTGGCCTGGCCGCACTGGCGCAAAGCGCGGTGTCGTTGGAAAGACATGTGACATGGGACACTTTTTCATTTTTTTTCCATTTCTGGAAAGTGGTCCATTGCCTGCAAATTTGGAGAATGCCCGAATCGCATGGCATCGCATGGCTTCATTATGTCAAATTTTGCAAGAGCATTGGTCAAGCTGGTTGTGTTTGCAGATGGAACTTCCATGAACTTGCCCCAAAGTAGGGAAACCCCTTTTGGGTCCCAACAAATTTGATAAGCGAATGGGGACTTGTGTAATGCTCATCACAAGGCGTGCCTCATTCCTGTTGAAATATTCGGTCCAAGTCTTCGTGCAGGCAGCATGCCTCAGTTGGCACCCAGACAAAAATCTGAAGCACCAGGAGAGCTCGCAGATGCAGAGTGAACTTCAGTGAATTGGTGGTTGGTGACTTGGTGAGTGTTGGTTCATTTAGAATTGAAGGAGGATTGCCTCTTTTTGCTTCTGTTGAGACTGCACCAGTTGTGTCTCATGTAATAGATGCAGGCGATGCATGCCCGAACCCAGGCATTTGCTGGCTTTTTTTCATCGTTTCTCTTACTCTGCAGCATGAAACTCAAGTGGCAGCTTTGCCGAAGGAGGTGGCGACCGAAGTCTTTCAGTTCCTGCAAGGTGTGAAAGATTGGTACTTTGAAGAAGCTTGAGCAGCGCTCTCATCTCAAAATATCCCGAACCAAGCCTGGTGGGAACGCTTGGAAGCTGCTGAAGAACAGTGGCGGTGTCTGAAAGTTGAGAAAAGTGTCCTTGAGTGGGTGAAGTTTCTGATGACTAGCTGAAACTCACACAGTGGCAGCATCTCTGCAAACAGAATTGAAGCATGGTCGATGTGAACACTTGCCTCCTGGGACTTGTGTGTGTGTACAGGCTGGTGTTTTTTTCAGCACTTGACTTGACACTGTTTTTTTCAAATTCATCATAGGTTCTCGTCAATGTGGCGAGATGAAGCAGAATGCAGACACGGGGCTCAAGAAGGGCAGAGTGCGATCATTTGTGCATATGATCAATGCATATTAATGCCCAATCCCACTCTGGGTGTTTTCCTATGGGCTCTGACAAGATGTGGAACATATGGTGTGTTTTCTACACCCAGCCACTGAACAGACAATCTGCTCCTCAGCCTTTCGCCGAACTCTAGGTCTTCGCATTTAGATTTTTGATCCTTGTGCCCCCACAGCAACAATCAAAACTGAAAAAATGGTGTCAAAGGTCCAAAACAGGCTGGAAAGCTTGCAACAGTGTTAGAAGGGAAGACAACTACATGAGTGATATGAGTGGGCTGTCCGAGTTTCATTGCAAGAAACTGCCATGACATCGCTGGAAGCAATGGATCAGGACAGTCTGAATTTGTGAATTGGAGCGTTTTCAAGAAACTAAATCTGGTTGATTTAAGGGCATTTTCTAGCTGCAACAGAATGAAACGCGGGCGAAAGCAGTATTAAAGTGTGCTGAAGCAACTAGGGCAAGTTGATGCTTGGAACTTCCGTCGGCGCCGCTTTTGCTTTCTGGTTCCCTTGGCATTGCCATCCACTGCGCCTCAGCCCACTTTCCTGCGAAGGAGGAGAATGAAAAAGTTGTGGATAAGTTGAGCAAAATGAAGCCCAATGAGCATCTCAGCACCAAGCAACAGGGATGGGGAAACCCAACAAATCCATCAAAGCATTGGGGACGTTCACTGGGTTGAGTGTTTGTGGGTCCAGACACTTCCGGGACTGGGTGGTTGAGATCATAGTTAGCAAGTGAACCACAAGAAAAATGTCTTGTCATTGGCTGATTTGTTTCTATAATATTGCTTTATTCAGCACAAAAAACTGTTCGATCATTCCTGGATGGGGTTGTCAAGTCCAATTCTTTGGTCTACTCTTCAATAGCTGAAGTGTGGAAACTCCAAAGTATCCGCATGTCAGGTTTGACACTTTACACAAGCAAGGACCACAGTCTAAGTGAGCACATAACCCAGCATATCATGGTTCACACAGCTGAATGAAAAGTGTCAGAACTTAGTTGCCCCTTCCAGACGTTTCAACATTTCTTGCGTAGCTGCCTCAATTTCATCTGCAGCACTGCAGTAGCCATCCAATCCTGCTGACTCTGTCGCTCGGAAAGGTGGTCGTCGGTACTGGATGGTCTCTTTGAGGGCGTGTCTTTCAGGCCGACTTCAGTCTTCCAGCTGGCGAGGAATCGGGAGATTGTGGTGTTAAGCGGAAGCGGAAAGCAACTTAAAGTAGTCAGTTATAGTCAGTTCAGCCATCAACCGTTTCGAACACACGCATTGTTCTTGGTAGAATTCTGAACTGGGTATCCAATTGATTGGCTGCGTGATTCATTTGTGAAACTTCCGGTGGTGAAGTCAGATGTGAACTGCGTCAGGCCGGTGCAAGGGTCGGTGGAACCTTATTCAGTGGAACCTTACACAGCAACTTGGCCACAGAAAGTTGGGGACTGGGAGTCTGCGACACCTGAAAATGGTGTAGATGATTGTAGATGGACATCCCAAGAAAAAGATTATTCTAACGATCCTGCCAGAGTTCACAAGGGTAGCAGTTTCCCACTTTTGCATACTTTTTCAATCTTTTTCATTTATATGATGGCCGCACATCCATGGTTCCACTAAGCGGCAGCCAAGGTTTGGCACTGGGTTGCTGCCTCCCTTTTAGTATTTTTAATTCCTGTCCGTGCCAAGGTAACATCTCTTCTGGCAAAGATGAGCGATGAAGCCACTGGGTGTATGCACGGGAATGCCAATTTTTGGGTCGCCATGGCTGCTTCATGTTGCTTCAATTTGGAATATGCCTGCATCAGTGGAAACTCTAGTTTTTTTCTTTCTTGTATAGAATGTTTGGGCAGCCAACAGCATAGGGCAGCTGAAAGGGGCAGTATTCACGCTGGTTTTGGAGCCAGATCCTGCACTGGTCAAGACCTTCTCGACTGAGAACTCTCGTGCAGTCAGATCGTACCGCAGTCATCCGCAGTCATCCGCATTCCCAACTTTCCCAAGCGATTGGTTTCAGAGTAGATGTTGGCAAACCAAGGGTGCCAGCGAGCCCCGCAAAGACGCGGCAGGCGGGGATTGGATTCCTTGTCCTGATTGTAGACATTTGTAGACGATAGCAACAAGGGAAGATCAGCCCTATGACACACCTCTACATCTCTCTCTTACATTAAGTTGTAATATAATTATAATATCTTATAATATGTTATAGTATGTTATAATTAGATATACTGTAACTATATAGTACATACTACTGTAGTATATATTATATTATAACAAGGTACATATACAATTAATATGTTATAGTTATGTAATCCGAAGCCAGGCCGCAGACGAAAGCAAGGCCTGGAGAAGCGGCCCACAGAGAAGCCACAAGAGGATGATCGGCCACTGGAGGACGAGCTTGGAAATGAAGCTGTTTGAAGTGGGGTATGGAATATTATATATATAATGTAGGTTACAGATTAGTGTGGGGAGGCCCCCCCCAAACAAATTTTGGATACAGAATAATGTGAAAAAACCAAGGTACCGGGTACGCAATACGGTGAAATCAAAAAAAATTGATAGATTTAAATTGATTTCAATTTACTTTCAATTGATTTCAATTTACTTTCAATTGATTTCAATTTACTTTCAATTGATTTGAAGTTACTTTGAATTGATTTCAATTTATTTTGAAATGATTTCAATTTGCTTTCAATTGATTTCAATTTATTTTGAATTGATTTCAATTTACTTTCAATTGATTTGAATTTACTTTCAATTGATTTCAATTTATTTTGAATTGATTTCAATTTACTTTCAATTGATTTGAAGTTACTTTGAATTGATTTCAATTTACTTTCAATTGATTTCAATTTATTTTGAATTGATTTCAATTTACTTTCAATTGATTTGAATTTATTTTGAATTGATTTCAATTTACTTTCAATTGATTTGAATTTACTTTCAATTGATTTCAATTTATTTTGAATTGATTTGAAGTTACTTTCAATTGATTTGAAGTTACTTTGAATTGATTTCAATTTACTTTCAATTGATTTCAATTTATTTTGAATTGATTTCAATTTACTTTCAATTGATTTGAATTAGATTTAAATTGATTTCAATTTACTTTCAATTGATTTCAATTTACTTTCAATTGATTTCAATTTACTTTCAATTGATTTGAAGTTACTTTGAATTGATTTCAATTTATTTTGAAATGATTTCAATTCACTTTCAATTGATTTCAATTTACTTTCAATTTACTTTCAATTGATTTGAAGTTACTTTCAATGGATTTCAATTTACTTTGAATTGATTTCAATTTACTTTGAATTGATTTCAATTTACTTTCAATTGATTTCAATTTATTTTGAATTGATTTGAAGTTACTTTGAATTGATTTCAATTTACTTTCAATTGATTTCAATTTACTTTCAATTGATTTGAAGTTACTTTGAATTGATGTCAATTTATTTTGAAAATTTACTTTCAATTGATTTCAATTTACTTTCAATTTACCTTCAATTGATTTGAAGTTACTTTCAATTGATTTCAATTTACTTTGAATTGATTTCAATTTACTTTCAATTGATTTCAATTTACTTTCAATTGATTTCAATTTACTTTCAATTGATTTCAATTTACTTTCAATTGATTTCAATTTACTTTCAATTTGCTTTCAATTTACTTTGAATTTACTTTCAATTGATTTCATTTTACTGCCAATTTACTTTCAATCGACATCCCATAGAAATCCAATAGTAGTCCCAAAGAAATATCATAGAAATACCATGGAAATCCCATAGGAATCTCACAGAAATACCATAGAAAGATCATAGAAATAACATGGAATAGCATAGGAACCACAAAAGAAATCCCATGAGAATTCCAATAATAATCCCATAGAAATATCATAGAAACATCATGGAAATACCTTGGAAATCCCACAGGAATCCAATAGAAATTCCATAGGAATCCAATAGAAATACCATAGAAATCCCATAGGAATCCAATGGAAATCCCATAAGAATACCATAGAACTCCCATAGCACCCCTTCAGAAATCCCATAGAAATCCTCCAGAAATATCATAGAAACATCATGGAAACCCCATAGGAATTCCATAGAAATCCAATAGTAATACCATAGAAATACCATAAAAGAAAAAAGCTTTAGCAAAGGAAAAGGTAAAGGGAATGCTTGAAAAAAACATCACACCAGGAAGCATCTGGACACAATAGTGTACCCTCCAAACAAACCACACTATTGTGTATCAGGGTTGCTCATGGACTACCCCCTTGAAAAATTGTTTGAGTTATGTTTTTTAATTGGGTTTTAATAAGGCATCATATATTTTGGGAAACTGGGCATTTCTGAGAATATCAAATGAAAGAAACTAAGAAGTAATTAATTAATTAAAAGGAAAAAACTTTAGCAAAGGAAAAGGTAAAGGAAATGATTGCAAAAAAAAAAATCACCTCAGGAAGCAGCTGGACACAATAGTGTACCCTCCAAACAAACCACACTATTGTGTATCAGGGTTGCTCATGGACTACCCCCTTGAAAAATTGTTTGAGTGATGTTTTTTAATTGGGTTTTAATAAGGCATCATATATTTTGGGAAACTGGGCATTTCTGAGAATATCAAATGAAAGAAACTAAGAAGTAATTAATTAATTAAAAGGAAAAAACTTTAGCAAAGGAAAAGGTAAAGGAAATGATTGCAAAAAAAAAAAATCACCTCAGGAAGCAGCTGGACACAATAGTGTACCCTCCAAACAAACCACACTATTATGTATCAGGGTTGCTCATGGACTACCCCCTTGAAAAATTGTTTGAGTGATGTTTTTAAATTGGGTTTTAATAAGGCATCATATATTTTGGAAAACTGGGCATTTCTGAGAATTTCAAATGAAAGAAACTAAGAAAGTAATTAATTAAAAGAAAACACTTTAGCAAAGGAAAAGGTAAAGGAAATGATTGAAAAAATCAAAAAATCATGACCTCAGGAAAGCAGCTGGACACAATAGCGTACCCTCCAAACAAACCACACTATTGTGTACCTGGATGTAATTTTCTGTGGAAGGCATCTGGAAAATTTCAATGATGGAAAATAAAAAGTATAAGAAAAAAGCTTTAAACAATGAAAAAAATGAAAAATGTTTGAACAACAAAAAAAGACCAAGACACAATTGTGTATCCTGACACAATGACACAATTGTGTATCCTGACACAATTTTAAAAAACAATAAAAACAAAATATAATTAAGAATAAAAATAATCAAATTAAAAATAAAAATAAAAATAAAAAATAATTTAAAATAAACTAAAAAATAATTAAATTAAAAATTATTATAATTAAAAATAAAAATAAAAAATAATTTAAAATAAACTAAAACATAATTAAATTAAAAAATATTATAATTTTAAAATATTTAAAATAAAATAAAACATAATTAAATTAAAAATTATTATAATTAAAAATAAAAATAAAAATAATTAAAAATAAAAATTATTATAATTGACAGGATTTCACGATGGCAACAACAGCTCCGGTATGAAATCTTGTTTCTGCTGTTGGTGCTGTTGTCTGTGTGCGTGAGTAATGAACAGGTGTCAGCAGTGAAAACATGGGCGATCGCCTATGAAAAACCTCACACTGCATTCACCGACGAGGTTCTGTTACATGTATATACACGCGACACGTATTCACGATTTACATTGTTTTCTTTGCCTCAGGACATTGCCAGCCACCAGCCAAAGGAGCTGGTGGCTAGGATTGAACGCAATGACTGGAGCGGTAAGCTCCACCTCGGCCGCTTCGAGGCGCGCATTGTGTTGGTGAAGGTGTTCTGTTAGTTTTGTTGTGTTTGTTTTCTCCCTTGGTCAGGATGGCAAGCTTTTTTTGTGGCTTGTCTTTGACGAGGCCGGTTCGCGATTAGTTTTTTTTTTGTTTGCGCCGCGCTCTTTCTGTTTTTTTCTTTTATTTTCTTCTAAAAAAACAGGTGCCGATGGTGACCCCCCAGGATTGGCCCAAGGGCACAAGGTGGGACGGCATGCCGTACCACGTGACCCTTGGCCATCCTGGGTGGCGGGTCACCTCGGAGCAAGTAGAGGCTCGTTCCTTTTTTTCTTTTTGGTCTTCAAGTCGTTTCTTTACGTTGACTGCTACTTTTAATTAAAGGCGCTTGCTGCCGAAATCTCCGGCTACCGCTTCCGCACAAAGTTGCGGAAGTGGAGCCAGGCGCGTGCCAATTCTTTTTTGTTTTTTGTGTGTACATGCGTGTGTGTGAATGCGCGCTGCGCTCTCAGGATCTGAGGAAGACGGCATATGTCGTCGAGGGAGATGGCTTGCTGCCCCTCCTCGGCCGGCTCCAGCGAGAGCTGGGTGTCTGGCCGAGGGGGGAGTGGCACATCTCCCTCTGAGCAGCCAAGACTGCAGAAGTTTTTTAAAAAACATCTCGCCTCCAAAGGTCGCTGTGTTGCTACTGTTGCTGTTTCTGTTAGTGATCGTTGGCTGAATGATGGATGGAGCTGTGATGGGTTGTGATGAGAAGTGGAGCTGTGAGAAGTGGAGCTGTGATGAGTTGTGATGAGAAGTGGAGCTGTGAGAAGTGGAGCTGTGATGAGTTGTGATGAGAAGTGGGGCTGTGAGAAGTGGAGCTGTGAGAAGTGGAGCTGTGACGAGTTGTGATGAGAAGTGGAGCTGTGATGATTTGTGATGAGAAGTGGAGCTGTGATGAGTTGTGATGAGAAGTGGAGCTGTGAGAAGTGGAGCTGTGATGAGTTGTGATGAGAAGTGGGGCTGTGAGAAGTGGAGCTGTGATGAGTTGTGATGAGAAGTGGAGCTGTGATGAGCTGTGATGAGAAGTGGAGCTGTGAGAAGTGGAGCTGTGATGAGTTGTGATGAGAAGTGGAGCTGTGAGAAGTGGAGCTGTGATGAGTTGTGATGAGAAGTGGAGCTGTGAGAAGTGGAGCTGTGATGAGTTGTGATGAGAAGTGGGGCTGTGAGAAGTGGAGCTGTGATGGGTTGTGATGAGAAGTGGAGCTGTGAGAAGTGGAGCTGTGATGAGTTGTGATGAGAAGTGGAGCTGTGAGAAGTGGAGCTGTGATGGGTTGTGATGAGAAGTGGAGCTGTGAGAAGTGGAGCTGTGATGAGTTGTGATGAGAAGTGGAGCTGTGAGAAGTGGAGCTGTGAGAAGTGGAGCTGTGATGAGTTGTGATGAGAAGTGGGGCTGTGAGAAGTGGAGCTGTGATGAGTTGTGATGAGTTGTGATGAGAAGTGGAGCTGTGAGAAGTGGAGCTGTGATGAGTTGTGATGAGAAGTGGAGCTGTGAGAAGTGGAGCTGTGATGAGTTGTGATGAGAAGTGGAGCTGTGAGAAGTGGAGTTGTGAGAAGTGGAGCTGTGAGAAGTGGAGCTGTGATGAGCTGTGATGAGAAGTGGAGCTGTGAGAAGTGGAGCTGTGATGAGTTGTGATGAGAAGTGGAGCTGTGATGAGTTGTGATGAGAAGTGGAGCTGTGAGAAGTGGAGCTGTGATGAGTTGTGATGAGAAGTGGAGCTGTGAGAAGTGGAGCTGTGATGAGTTGTGATGAGAAGTGGAGCTGTGAGAAGTGGAGCTGTGATGAGTTGTGATGAGAAGTTGTGGGATGAGAAGTGGAGCTGTGATGAGTTGTGGTGAGAAGTGGAGCTGTGATGCTTGGTGCATGTTTGAAAATCGTTTTCCTTTGGAGCGTCTCCTGACTGAAGTAAAGTCTTACAAGCACGTTGTGATTGTGGATCTGTAAAGTGAATGAAACAGCTTTGGGTTGTTGTTTCCTGTGTGGCGATCGTCGTAACTCAAAAGCCGATAGCCTTATACGCATCTTCTTCTTGTGGACTACGTAGCGACGATAAATTTCATGGAGCCATAGCACCAAGTTCTTGCCGATTGCAAGCATGCCGCGATTGTGGTGTTAGCGAGTTAAGAGGTCTTGCTCATATGCCAACCATGGCAAGCTGTCATTGTTAATGTGAATCCAGGGTGAAGCTAGAACCAAAAAAATGTGGACGAGTTTCAACTTAGTAACAGCAAAAAATTGTTGCGGGACTGTGACGAACTGCTTGTTGTGATGACGCGCTCTCTCCGTTTCATCCCCCTTCACACCCTTATCATTCATTTCCTTTCCCTTTTATTTCTGTTTCATTTCATTTCCCTTCCTTTCCTTTTCTTCCTCCTCTTATTCTATATATTCAGTGTCTTCCTCTCTTTCTTTCCTTTCTGCCTTGTTTTCTGTCTTTCTTGGTTACGAAAAAAGGTCGCTAGTCGCTTAACAAAAACAATCAGCTTCATGAGCTTGTGTGTCTTCCTTCTTCTCTTTTGGTTGGCAAACAAAGGCCAGTGCTTACAGAGCCTCTAGCACAAGATTTGGGGCTACTTGACATGCAGCTTCCAGTGGCTTGTACCCGGTAAAAGCAAATCATGCTTGTGGTTCATTTGTTAGTTGCAAGTTGTGAAAGATGCTTTGTCAACAGTCGGTTTTCTCTTAGCCGCTTAGCCCTGTCTACAGCGGTGCACTCACGCTTTCCTTGAAAATAAAAATAAAAAACAATTAAAAACTAAAAAACAAAAACAATGAAAAAAAACTTACACCAAAATCCTGTGGACACAAAACTGTACCCCGCGATCATTTCCAAAGTTACAAAATAATTTTGGAGTCTGTGGACACAATTCTGTATCCCCACACTAATCTGTATCCCACATTAATTATACCATAACATATGTATATATATATATGTATACGCACACACACACATATAATATATGTATAGGTATATTCAGTACTCATGCCTATCATGATATTACATATATATACATATATATCATATTTACATCCCAGTTGATTCGGATTTATGGCCAAGCAGCACATCGAGGACAATCCCAGGCTTGGAGCCTTGCTGCCAGGACCTTTTGCGGGACCTTGGGGAGATAGCCGACGGCCCAGGTGCCGGGAAGCTGCTAAGCTGTTGCTGATTTAGGCTTATTCTTTGGTAGATCTACGGTATATTTGCATGATATATATTGATATATTATGATATATTGTATGTAGTATCATCAGTTTTCGCATGATATTAACGTTTGATTTCTACCATTGAAGTTGTGGGAAGTAACTTCCATTTTGAAGCGACCTGAATTCTTCCACATTTGACGGTCGGTCCAGCAGATTGACTTTTTGAACTTTGTGCAGAGATGATAGGTCCGAAGCAAAAAAAGAAAGGCGCCAAAAAGGCGTTGCCTCCGAAGCAGGCACTGCCAGATTTTATGTAGTTGGGGGGGTGATTGGGAGACCAACTGCAAGAAACCAAGCAGCCCAAGCATATCAAATGTGTGGGGTTTGCCGACTTCCCAATTGGGGTTGGGCGCTGGGCGCTCGACAGGAAGCAGCAGCTGTGGAAGTGGTGGAAGTTGCGACTGCAGCCAAGAGAAGGGCTCGGGTTCGTGAAGTTCCTGAGGCGAGTGTCTAAACCTTGCGGGGGGCAGTGTATTTTTTGGTTTGGGTCCATCAGTTGGTTTTGATATGTTTTAATACGTTTTAATAATACGATGTCCTGATGTTTTTTGATCTTTTCTGGTTAATGATGGTGAACGGCTTTTGTTGAAGTGTCGGAGCCGGGTCGTTGAATCATTGAAGGTGGCCGAGACGGTCGATGCTGATCCACACACCGAAGAAGAGGTCACTCCCGTGGCCAGTGAGGTGGGGCACACCATCCAGTTGGATCCAGTGGGATGGTTTTAGCTTGGCTTCCTGGCAGGTGGCGGAAGATGGCTGGCAACAGGTGCCAACGAAGCAAGCTCGGCGTGCTGGGATGCCTAGGCCTAGTGGATGACCATGGATGACCGATGTTACTGGGGAAACCATCCTGGCTATTGGCACTTCCGACATTTTGTATACAATAAACATCAATAAACCATATACTGAATATTTCTCTTTTTACTCAGAATTCATTGTAAGTTGCTTGCTTGCATCAATCTATCCCTTCACACTGGTTCATCATCATCTCCATCATCCCCCGTGCTGAGGCTGCTCACAAGGCTGCCAAAGAAGAACGTGAGCAGCGAGAGCAGCGCGCTGCAGCAGCCCAGCGGGAGCAAGAGAGCGTCCAGCGTGATGCTGTGTAACCTGGTGAATTTCACCAGGGCGTCGAAATGGATTTACCTCCGGGAAATTCACAGCCAGAGAAGGAAAACCCATGACCTGGGGAAAATTGAAAAAAAACAATCTATAAATGCTGGGTTGACTATGCATGATTTTGTTAAGTTGCTGGATAGTAACCCACAAAAAGTATAAGATGTTCCGGGATATACAAACTATCTCACACATTTGCACATATGCTGGATAATTATACGTAAAATATCGTAAAATGGGATGCTATGGTCCATGTCTGGGATCTAATCAGCATATATGATACTGTAAATAACGTATTAATATATTCGATTACTTCAACGAATGGGAAAACACACGAATTGGATACCCCAAGAAGGCCTGCCAGCCTGCCACATGTTTGAGCTCGTGGGATGTCGGTGGAAAAGGATGAAGGTCAGCTCGACAATCTGATGATATTTGCGGAATAAGTGTGGATTATGTTGGATGGCTGGAAAGACACTTTATCAGATGAATCCCTTGGCAGGTGAACATCTATATGAAAACAACGGACGGTTTGAACATATCATGAACAGATATCTTCCATCAATTATTGATGTTTTTTGTAGATTTGGAGGGTTGGAGATCTTCAAATTCTTGGAATTTTCAGTGACGGTGACCTGCTAAGGATGGCTATGGAAACGGCCTCCAAGGTAGGGGACGGGATGGCAACATATGGCTGTTTAAAGGACTTCGAGGTAGACTTCCTTCACAGTTCCCATTCGGATTTGGTTGTGGAACTGAAAAAATGCATCTGAGGTAAGATACAGTAGGATGACCTTCCCATTGATTCATCTTTGGCCTTGCGGAAACATCCCATCCATCAGATTTTTTGGTATTTCAGTAGATTCAGAGGAATCCCCTTTCCAAACACCTGACTCGACGAGCGAGCCCCTTAAAAGGTGTTTTTCATCATTTGATGTGATCGAGTATCTACAGAAATCCCGCTTCATCCAAGTCGCATGGGCGATCCTACGTGTGCCAGGAGTCCGAGAGTTGTAACTCTGAGAGTGGCTTTGCGCAGACTACGAAGATGGTGGATGCTCCCTCGGCCGTGGGAACGCCCAAGTTGGGATTCAGCTGAAGGTCATGAGATCGCTGAGGAAGAATTTGGCAGCCAGGTTCTTGGGAGGCCCTTTGGCCATTGCATCATTGGAACATGTCCTGCATTTTGCAACCCATTTTGCAGCCTTTAGAGGACAGGGGACGATTCATAACTGACCCATTGGGATTTGAAATGATGAAGAACCACTTCTTAAGCTCCCTTTCAGAACTTTCAGATGGTTTGTTAATTCCGTGAGTTCCCCCAGTTGGGTTATCTTCGGACAGCCGAGTCCCAAACTCCGTGAGAGCCGAGGATGCTGAAACCACGGAGGCACCATCGAGTGTGCGTTCAAAGCAGGCCGCCGACACAGAGGCGAGCGGAGCTGGGTATACGATGGGATCTGGAGACATGGACTGCAACAGTGAACCTGGAACAGTTAAACTATGTTAAACTGCCTTTAAACAATAAGATATAAACAGTTTTCCAAGAAAAGTGTTCGAATGTTTTCGAATATTGATATTCTTCGGGACAAAGTCACTTTGATTAACGACCATATCCTGAATTCAGCCCACAGAGAGCTAAGTAGTATATACAGAGAGCTCAGTAGTATATCCTGAATCGCTGTGAAGAGTTCGGTTTTGTCAAAATCAAATCAGTTCACTTGCAATCAGAGACAATGCTCCAGAAGCGCTTTCTCAATGTTGAAATCTCAGATCATGTGAAACCTTTGAGAAACCTTCCCCCAATATCCCCCAATCAGACAATGGTATAGCCTATTATAGCCAGGGATAGCCAGGGTATAAACTGGTATAAGCTGTATAAACATGGTATAAAGCCATAAATTATCGGGGCATTCCCCAGGGGTTGGTAACTGTCCCATTTTGGGTATATTGGACATCACCTTCTAGTAGCCATGGCATTGACCATATATTGACATATACCTAATGGTTGGGTGATGTTCAATGGGGACATTTAATGACCCATGGACAATGGTATAGCCAGGGTCTAAACTGGTATAAGCTGTATAAACATGGTATAAACATGGTATAAAGCCATAAATTATCGGGACATTCCCTGTTATACCCTCTGGTAATTTAACGGTTTGCTATTGAAAATGACCATTAATAGTGGATTTTCCCATTAAAAATGGTGATTTTCCATAGCTATGTTAATTTACCAGAGGGTATATGGCTTCTCCAGTTACGTTTCGTGGCGCAGGAGGCAGCCGTGGAGGCCGGTGAGACCGCCGCGCCAACGAATGAAGACCGGCAGGCGAATCGATGCCAAGTTTTGGGATGTGGGATGTGGGTGCCAATCACTGGGTGATTTTAATGGTGTATTGATGGGTGAATTTATAGGAATTTATGGGTTGATTTTATAAAGTTCATACATAATCAATCATAATCATATGTATGTATATATATATATTAATATATATTAATATTCAAAAGGTGTTCAAGAATATCCCATGAGAAGACTGTCTCTGAATCGATACTTTCATACCATTAGTGTGGACATTCCCAGTGATCCAGAAATGCAGGAGCATATTAGAGCTATTTTGGTGCTTCTCAAGGTATGATTTGGTTCTGCCCATGTTTTCTACGCATCTTGTGACTACCTGATTTTCAAGATTTTGTGTCAACCATGTCTTTTGTCACACTACCCATGTTTATGGATCATCATGGGATATACTGAGAAGGCCATCAAAAAGGGATCACCATGGATCTGATCCCATAGGTGATAGCGTCAGCAACGTGCGGACGGCGCCGCTCGAGATCGGAAGGGCCCCCACCACTGGACAAGGACTCCAATGGGGGAGCTGGATTTTGGTTCGCGATTTTTCATCTGGAAGCGAAGGCAAACCCGCAATGGATGAATGATGAACATTATTTAAAAAAAAATCGAAGATCACCAGAGGGATTGCTGGATTTGTTTTCTAGTACTAGGTATTTCCAATGATGACACCTGCTGATGTCGTGTCCAGGGTTCCTGGTTGGGCATCACGACTGAAATTCGGAATTCCTGCAGCGCTGCCACCGTGATATGATGAGGGGCCTAGGACATTTTATCAACATATTCTTTTGCACTCCCCAATAATTAAACTATAGATAACTATAGTATACATGTGTGTATATACGTATGTGTATATATATATATATATATATATATGTGTGTGTACCTGTACTAACTAATACTAATTGCATGATATGAAGGTTTTTTCCATGCGACCAACACGCAATAGAATCCAGCCCTAATGACCTCTTCAGGCCGAGCCCGAAGAGGCTGTGGGGAGTTGTTGGATGATCTCAACGCAATTTAAACAGATGATAATCTTTTGAGGGTATGAGGTCGGGGCCAATCTGTTTTAAGAACAACTTCAGAGTTTGGTCATTCTCAGAACGGAATCCTATTTCTTGGGGTAAAGTTGTGTTTTTATGAACAACCCGTATTTTTGTTGGTGAAGTCATCCCGTCCAAATCTCTCTGAAAGCCTGGAGGTTCCAGAAGTGAACCAGGCTGCCTCCCCCAGTAGCCGCTTGGCAGATCTTGGCAGCGACGGTAATGTGACAGAAGGCCAGTACTTGACGTAGATGCACCGCCTACATATCTTGCATGTTGACGTTGTTTGTCGATGATATGGGTATGGATCAATACCTATTAATACCATTTTTAGGGGGATGAACATCCATTTACCAGCTATTTTGATGTTCACCAGGGGTACAAGGTTTTGACCCACTGCCATATAGGTAACAATTTAGTACTTGTAATGATTGTAATGATTGATGTTGGGGAACTTGTCCTCGATTCTGATCCCTGGGATTGGTGAACAGCATTTGCTGTTTGCATCTTTGATCATCGAAAGTGGGAAGAATTGTCCACCTGTAACAGGGCACTCCTGGTATACTTTGAAGCGAGATTTCATGGGATTTCCCCAGCCATGGAGGAAACAGCAGTGTCAGCAGTGTCAGCAGGTAACGGCATGGGTGACCGCGAATTTGGAGCTAAGGTTGGCAGGTCCAGCCTTCAGTGGGGACCTGGTTGCTTCCTTCCGACGGCCGCCAGGCCTGTGAGGTCCTGGAGTTTATTGAACATCTTGGACACCCCAAAATATGGCTGTCTTCATATGTTTTCATGGGGAAATGATAAAAAACTTTCTGGATTTGGGGGGCAGCAAAAATATTTCACACATAAGAAAAACACGTCAAGTTTCAGCTCCATTTCTTTCGGCGCTTCAGGGCTCCCCGGTGGGACAACTGTGGCCAGCAACCCCGGAGTCGACCCCTCCGACCTCACCACGCAGTGGGGTGACTCAGGGGGGTTCCACGGGTGGGTCAGAGAATTAAAGTATATTATATAAAGTATATTAAAGTATATATATATATTATATATATATATTATATATATATTATATATATATTATATATATATATTAAAGTATAGTACTCCCCAAAAGGATTGAACAGTCCATGTATCACTATTTTGGCTGCTCAAGGGGTTGACCGCTGGCGATTTCTCAAAAGTTGACACCGTGGAATCCCTCGGACAAGGTTGGCTTTCCCTTTCAGACCTGCCATGCATTTGCGAAATCCGTTTGAAGAATCAATGATCTGAAGCATGGCAAATACTCATACAGATTCATACAGTAACATATTTTCATGGATAGAATGATCTTGATTTGAAGCTGCAACAAAAACGACAATACCAGCTATATCATGTAATTTACTAGATCCTTTCTATCCACAAGCACTTCACAGTTTTTTCTTCACATTTTGGGCCATGTTTTTCGAGGAATGAGCGGCATGGCAGAGGTGGTTTGGATGCCGATCCCAGTGCATCTGGCGGGGGAAGTGCAACAGCTGATCAACGCCAGGATGGTGATCCAAATCGCTGCTGAGGGATGGGGGTCGCAGCAAAGTGGGGGCATTTTTTTTGGGGATGTTCTGTTTGGACAAAGCCAGATTCGAATTCAGTGGGGTTAGATCATGTTAGATCTATAAGAACCAGTACTGGGATGGCAGTACTGAGTGCCAAAAGTAGGCAAAAACTGGGCTACTAACAAATGCTATGCATGTCAGCTGCAGCACCTTTTCGATGCTACCCCAGAGCCTTCGCTGCTGCAAGTGATAAACGTATTCGGCGGCTCGAAGTGTCTGAACATGTCTCAAGTCAGTTGCAGGACTAAGAATTCACACTGGTACTATTCTCTCCTGACTTGAGACCATTAGCCAACATAGCACCACTCTTCTGTTTTTGCTGCAACCGAACTTTTGACGCAGACATTTCATGAAACTTTCCCCAACCAAGACATTCACGGAAATGCTTTGATCTCCCAGATTTCGTCATGTGGTCACCGATCTGGTGTCTTGTTGGGACCCACCACAGGCGGGCACGGCCGGTACCGGGCCGGATGGAACACATCCTTCTCAACAACAAAACATTCACTAAAGAGCCTTTCTCCCCGATGTGCTGGGCATCCTTACGTATGTGGTCGTATATGGACCTGCAATCCGTGACCATGTGCATAGGAACTATTTGTTGCCATTCGTCGTCGTCTATGGCTGTTACAAGATCAGGCCCGAAACGAGTTTCAGCTCCTAAGGCTTGCACGAATCTCCCAAGTCCATGTGCAGTGATTGCAGCATGTGTCTCTGCTGCAAGAGAACTGTCCACAACTCTTTTATTCGTAGTAGATTTCCAATCAACAATGTTGAGACGCACGCTCTCCCCAACCACATTAATATCATCTTTACGTATCATAGCAACAACAGCACCTTTTTGAGAGTAAACCAACTTCTTTTCTCTTCCAGTCAACAAAACATCATCAGCTTGTCTATCACTAATCTCAACACCAACACTGTTAAACAAACTCGCGTCATGGTACACAACAACTTCGCTATTGGGCCCCAAGTCATGAAACTCAATTTCATAGGGATTGTCAACCACCTCCTTGACACATCTGTTTGCCCTGACAAGATCCCCAACCCGTAAATCGGAAATCCTCTTCTGCAACTGGTTTACTTCGAAACAGATATCAGGGCGAGATTGTGAAGCTATCCACTGAAGTCCTCCAACACAAGAGCGGAAATCGGTTTTCTCAGCCTCCGTAACCCGAGCCTCGACCTGTTTCGCACGCTCCCTTGACACAACGATGGAGTCCAGCCTCCCTTCGACGAAACCCTTCTGACAAAGAGTCACATACCTGTCCTTTCCAGAACCCCGGACCCGAATTTCTTTGCCACAATAAGACACTCCAGAAGACTCTTTAGCAACAGCTTGCCACGTGCCAAAAGGAAAACGCCCACGAAGCCGCTCCACCACCTCACCTGCGTACGCACCCTGATCGGTCCCAATCATTACGTCATCCACGTGAATGATCATCATACCCACCAGTTTGCCATTAGGTTCCCTCAGATAGAACGCGGCAGGATCCACAACACTTCGCACAAAACCCAACTCCTGTTCCAAGATTCGCGCAAGTTCATTGTACCAAGCACGCGGCGCGTCGGGTCTTCCATAAACACTCTTACGCAGCCTCAACAACTGACCTGGCATCAAACCTGGCAATCCCTGGCGCGGCTGCCTCATGAACATCTCCTTCCCTTCCAACGGAGCCCCTTGGAGGAACGCGTTACTTATGTCTCCCACAAACCAGTTGTCCAACCACCCGTTGCACACCATGTTATGCAAGAAAACCATGGTAGACACACGCTCAATGGTAGGAGAATCCAACTGCAGCTCACCACTCAGAGAATCAGGACACAGATGACCTGCCAGACACAACCTAGCCTTCGCCTTCAAGGGAAGCTCTTGACCGTCGGGGCCCACCAAACCTGCATTTTTGTTCCGAAGGACGAACCTGCTTGGGAGAACCCTGTCCGGTTTTTCCGCCTCAACTTTCCGGCTTTCCTCAAGTGTCAGTATATCACAACTTTCATAATCCAGCCAGCTTTTCCACTCTTTTGCAATCGCTTCGACGTATGCTGGTTTATGTTCATCACTGATCTTATCCCACGGAAGTTCCTTTTCCAACATTTTCTTCAACCGGTTTTGACTAGTGACATGAACCGTGTGTTCATCCTGTTGTTCTGTTTTCCTCTGTTTCTTCTTAATCTGCCAAGGAACAGAATCAGTGCATATATCTCTACGCGTCCGATTGCAAAACACAGTAACTAAAGTGCTGACGGGACCAGTGGAGAGAAGTGCATGTGGGTCAGCTAGATCTACCCATCTGACATCTTTCTCAAGCTGAATCCAGCGACCCGATTTTCTTGCCCAGGTCGTCCGAAATGGGAAAATGGTGGGATCATATTTTGGGGTTGGCGTTCTAAATGACCAAGCCGTCTTTGAAACCAACACAGGATTCCCAAATTCATCTTTTCCCCAACCACTACCACAAGCTTGTTTCACCAGATCAGAAGGAACATTAGGGGGTCCATTATCACAGGGTCCTTCATCCGCATTCATTTCCCCAAAAAGTTCGTCAATGTTGATATCGACATCATCTTCTTTGGGTCCCTTCTGTCCCGTGAGATCATCGTAAGTAGTTCCTTTGGTGACCCCCTTAAACAAGGCAATGGCTTTCTGGATATCCGGTTCGCCATACCACCGTTCATCCCCATCTACCTCTCTAAGATGTTCACCAGCAACCAGCATACAACGTCCTCCAACCGCAACCCAAGCATTAGTACCCTGTAATCCAACTATACAACCAGGTCCTTGCCACTTGGTTCCCTTCTGACGATTTTTCTTTGGTACATCATCCCTCCAAAAGAAAACCCGTTGACCAATTTGGGGTTGAGGAATCTTGAGGAATCTTTCGGGTCCTTGCGTGAACTGCTTTACCCAACATGTGCTTGGCTTGAGCTTTGATGTATTCAAGCTTGGCATGGTATCTATATCGCATTCTTCGGGCCACTTGACTTTCAGGGTTTCCAACATCCGGATGGTACAAAGATGGGTTACCTTGTTGCATTAGCTCCCCAAAAACCCGAGGTTCCTTGCCAAAAACCAAAGTATTGGGGGACCAACCATGTTCACGAACCAGGGAATTCTTGGCGTGGGAAACCTCAACAGCCATCTCTTTCATAGCTTGTTCCCCCTTAGCTTGAGTATGGTTTATAACCTTTTGAATCATGTCTTTAGCAATCTGGTTATGTCGTTCAACCTTTCCAGCTTGCCAATGGGCCGTACCGGCAATGGAAAGCATCAATGTTCCAGCTTTCCCAACTTGATCCCAAAACTCTTCCCCAGCAAAACCACCCTCACAATCAACGGTAACCTGGTTAGGGGGTCCAGCCCAATTCAACCAATTGTCCCGGAAAACTTGGTAGAGGGTTTGAGGGGAATGATCTGAGAGCGGAGTGATCACATGATAAGAAGTGGCCCGATCCAAAATTGAGAGAAACCATTGTCCTCTTCCGCTTGCATCATGAGATTTAAAGCAGTCCAGTTGCACTTCATCACCAAAAACCACTTGATGTGGGGGCATGGAAACATTTCTGTGGGTTTTCGGCTTGCTCCCATGACTACACGTGATACACTTCATCCATTCAACCGCTTCTAACACTTCACCAGTAACTCCCCCCAGCTTCAGGAAGCGCAACATGTCTGCTTGTGATGGATGGCCAAGGTTGCAATGAATCTTGCAAATGGCCTGACGCACTGGCTCACTCAACTTTCTGCCAGGAGGCACAGCAAAGTATATGCCACCAGAAGCCAATGCACCACTGCCAGAAGCCATCGGCGAGATCCCACGCCGTTGTTCTAGGCCAGCACCCGAGGTACCGCTGTCGCCTGATTGTGCTGGAGGCATGTCGGCGTCTGGGTCCTCAGGGTTGGCAGAATTTTGAACTGCAAAAACCCCATTCCAACTACTTAAAGCTTTCTTCAAAGATGTTTCACTCCATCTAAGAGGCCCTTTTGGTTCCCCATTACGAATCTTGGCACTTACCAATCGAAGCATACTTCTTATCCTACCAGGTTCTTTGCGTTTCAACAGTCTAACATAACCGCGATGGATAGCTTTGGCAATTTCTTCAGTGTATTTTCCAGCATGCGCAGTTATGTCAGCACCACCCAGGCAAAGTCCATGCACATGATGCCCCGGAATCGTTTCATTCAAACATCTCATAGAAAGCTCATCACATATTTCAGGAGAAGTGGAAAACCAAAGCGTGGGTTTCTTTAACAACTCATCTGTGCGAACATGTCGGATTCCAAGTCGACATCCATGGCTGACGCCTGAGTAAACGGCAGGGTGTGAGAGAATCCTCCTGATTGGTGGCTCTTGAAAAGACATGCTACTGAGTGGGTTTTCTCCCAAAGCATCCCCTCCAAGACTCAGCTGCAGATCAAACAGTTCCTCAGTAAATTCCAGGAGTGGTTTCTCTCGAAGTTGCTTCTTGCGTAAACGCCTCTTAGCCTGTGAGTCACTACATGCAATATGATTTATGGGGGACCACCATTTGCAAGGATAGCTCACGAGCACTAACCGAGGACGAAACTTCTTGATCCAATTCAAAACCGTCTGCCTACTTTCCTCTTGATAAAGATCCATGCCATACAAAATGTCAACAGGTTCCATCGGTGACCAGCCCCACCGTGCGAACTGCCATGAGACCTCAGCCGATCCGCTGAAGATCTCAAAGCAATCCGGTCTCGAATTGTGCATGTGCTTGCAAGCAGCTGCTGCCGAACTGCCTACACATGCAGCAGCAACCAAACACATGGCCATGAGGATCTGTTTCGCATTATGATAGCACCTCTTGATCACACCTCTTTTCATGTGCTTCCTACGCTCGTTACCTCCTCTGATGCGACTCCGAACCTCAGTAGGAGACAAAGGAATGCTAACATTCGAACTTTGGTGTGCATCAATTGGTGCCATCTTGTCTCGGCCCGGCTCACTTTCATTCACGTGTTGGCTTCCTCCACGTCCTTGTGGTTCTTGGACTTGGCTGCTGCCTTCGCTCGAGCTTGGAGAATGAGCCGCATCTCTTCCTCGGTGAGATTGGCATTGTGGGTCTTCTTCACATCCTCCGGCTGGAGTTCCATGTCGCCGCTGTCTGAATCTGTCGGCACAGGCATCCATGAACCGTCTGATGCTTGAGCCCGTCTGTCCACCCTTTTGCGAGATGGTTTCCTGGTTCGTTGCGTGGTCTCGCAGTTCATCTTCTTGAAAACTTCCTTGGTGTCCATTCCGGCTGTTGCATAGGGGTAGGTCACCTTGCATTCCGGAAACCTGATGCATCCCATGAACGGCTCCTTGGTGACACGGTTGGTGCGATGAACCATTGGGATCCCGCACTTCTCGCACATCACTCGGTGATCTTGTTGTGCTGGGTCGTTCTTCATCTGCAGGTCGGTCTTGACATCTTCTTCCCACAAGGACATTTCCATGATCAATTGCCCTCGCCTCCATCTTGTCCAATGACCGTCTGCTGGCCTTTCGAGATCCCCTAGCACCTGGTCCTCGTAGAGGTCCTTCAGCGACTGAAGATCCCATTTGCGCCAACCCGCCGGCAAGATGACCTGAGCCTTCGCCGGCTTCACCAAGGCCCAAATCTCCTTCAAGCGGTCGACGGAGTGGACCATCAGCTCGTGCTTGGTCACAAAGGTCCGAGCTTCGATTGCGGAAGCGTAGTCCGCTTTGAGCTTGGGAGCCAGCATCGAAGTCATGGCTACCACAAGTTGCTTCAGCGGAGTGCGCACTGCTTGAGTCTGTCTGAGATGAACACCCTACGGCATGAACTTGGTTATCTTCCCAGGGATCCCCAACATAACCCAACACTTTAGATGAAGGCTCTGGGGTGTTTTGGGCAACATTGGGAAAACCCTTGGTCCTTGTCTCACAGATGATCACCTCCTTCTCAGACAGCGCCATAGCTTCCCAAAGGTCTGAATCTCCTGGCAGAGCAAACGCATCATCCTTCCAGAATCGAAAGCCGAGGTGGTTGGATGGGGTCGTCTCCAGATTCATCGAAGTTCCAAGTTGCTTGAAGCTGATGATGGAGCTCGGTATGTCCATGATGGCACCAAGGTCCAAGAGCGCCTGTCGGCTCACAAGCATTGGAACGTCCACTGGGACCACACTGACCCTGATGTAGACAGACTTTCCACCATCTCCCAAACATGTTGGGAGCACCACAGCAAACTCGGACCAAATCCTTGGCCCAGCACCGAACCTGAATGCTTGCCTTTCAGGAAGGACATAGAACTCATGGCCAGCTTTCCACAACTCTTGCATGGTGTTCTGCATCCACGCTGCACCTGACACTGTTCGGGCACAGCATGTGTCGCTCAAAGCAAGGTAGCGGTCATCCTCATCTTGGTCTTTCGGCATGAAATTGGTTCCATAGATGGTGCTCACATTCACCATGAACACCTCCTCAGAGCTCGTAGAGAGGACATCGTTCTCTTGGGCCACCACAAAGACACCTTTTCCTCCCTTCGGCTCTGTCTTGCCGAAGAAGGGACACTCCTTGTCTGAGTGCCAATGTCCATAGGTCGTCTGACCATGCGCCTTACAGGCACTGCAAGGCATCCTTGCCTTGAGATTTGCAATGCGCTGTTGACGTTGTTCGGGCGACTCAATTTTCATGTACCCCCTGCCCTGTTCCACTTGAGCTCTTTTGCGTGATGCTTGAGTCATCAGCACCTGAGCTTGCCGTTCCAATTCATCCGCATCATGGTCGGCAAGGTCAGCTGGCTCTTCTTCCTCGGTCTCCTTGGGGTCCAACGTCTCGTCATCGTCATCAACCATGTTAACCTTGTTGATTCTCACATTCTTCTGCATGTAGAACTTGGCCTTGGAGGTGGTGTTGTTAGCTGGAGCACTTGGGGAAACTTTGACATCATCTTCCCTCTGCACACTGGGGACGATTGCCATCAGCGCCTCTCGGAGGCGTTCATATTGGTAACTTCCTCCAGAGGCTGTCACCACTTGTTTTCGAAGCTCCTGTCCAAGCCCAGCCGTTTCCAGAAACCACCATGACTTCACTATCCCAGACAAACCTGCGCCCACCTCATCAAGCTTCTGCATCTGCGAGCGAAAGCTCATGTCGAAATTCACAAAGCTTTCGCCTTTCTGACGGCGAAAGGTCTTGAAGAAGTAGTGGAGCGTCTCAAACACACGAATGTATTCGACAGGCTCCAACTCCTGTTGCAGATGGCTTAGAAGGTATTCAACTCCACCTTCTGCACGAAGCTTCGAGAGGTCCAGCGTCTCGGTGCATTTCCATGCAAGGCCGCTCATCTGTTCCACTAAGCGACCTGCACGGAACTCCTTGTCGATGCCCGTAGACGCTTCGAACAGCTGCACCCTCCGCCGAAAATCTCGGACGGGAGTGCTGCCATCGTATGCAGGGATGATGTCCTTACCCGTTTTGGGTTCTCGAGGCCTTGAAGTCACGGATGCACTGGTCTGTGAACTCTGCAGCACCTCCTCAGCATCGTCATCACCTGGGTTCAAGTCCTCAGAGACCTTGTCGCCTCGGGACACTGAACTAGCAGACTCCCTTCTCTGCCCATCCCATGGTGTCTCCTCGGAGACTTGCATGGAAGGTTGCCTGATCTCAGCTGTTTGACTACCATTCGAATCCTGGTATGCCCACCATCGATTCTGATAATCATAGTTGTCCCATGGGTTCCATGATCTATCGTGCCACGACCATGAACCCCATCCCCACCAGCCAGTCCTCTGGCTGCTCCATTCGCGGTCTCCTGGGCTCTCCCAAGGATCATGCTGCTGCTCATCAACGCCGCTGCTTTGCTGCTGATTTGCTTCTTGCTGCCACTGTCCGCGCCCTTCCTCTTGATCACCCTGCCATGCCTGATCTGGCCACGTCCGCTCGCTATTGCCATGCCAGTGCCACGCCATTGCCCTGCTCCGCGCAACCAATGCCAAAAGTAGGCAAAAACTGGGCTACTAACAAATGCTATGCATGTCAGCTGCAGCACCTTTTCGATGCTACCCCAGAGCCTTCGCTGCTGCAAGTGATAAACGTATTCGGCGGCTCGAAGTGTCTGAACATGTCTCAAGTCAGTTGCAGGACTAAGAATTCACACTGAGATGATCTGGGAGTGAAGAGCAGTGGGAAACACCAAGCAGGTTTGATATCTCGAAGTTGAGGAGTTCTATCGTTGGGAGGATCAGAGGGAGTTGGTTCATGAGACAAGACTGTTTTTTCGTGGCGAGGATGGTGCAGATGACGTCCAGCTGTTGGTGACTTCAGGCAGGAATCTTAGAAAAGTCACCAAACAGGATGGAGACAAAGGTCGGCTGAGCTTTTGGTGCATGAATTTGTTTCTGTTTTCAATTGCTGTGAGATTTGGAGGATCCTCTTCCCCTACAATTCTGGTGGGTCGCCCACTGCCACTCTGCTGAGGTGAGATATTTCATAAGCTGTGCAGATGTGAAGACGTTGCAGGATTCGCCAAAGGATTTACCAACCGGTCAGGGCCGATCAGCTTTGGCTGTGTGGTCATGGCATTCATGGCATCACCCTGAAGTAACAGGTGACATCAGGTGACTATTGGTCAAAGCTTGAAAAAACACAAACACCAAAAGCTCGGCAACCACCAATCCAGCAGGTGATAGCCAATTTGCTCTGCGGTTTGAAGGTAAATCTTTGGCCAAGGTATGCTGGAACCTGGAAGAGCCTAGCGGATGGGTGATTGCAAAGTACTTGAAAGTACTTGTAGATTCTGCAAGGGGAATATGGAACACAGCCGCAATTTCAGCAACTGGCCAACCAAAACACGCCCTTTAGCAACTAAGACACGCAATTCATCCAAAAGACAGACCCTGAACAACGCTTTGTTGCAGAAAAAACCTTTTGGGATTCGGAAGAAATGCTGTGAACGCACAAACATGACGGACAACAAGGAACCAACGAGGGATCTTATCCCGAGAAACCGGGTTGACAACCAACAAGAATGGATCCAGATTCCAGCCACGCAAGTGGAGCCTCTTTTTTGGTGCAAAGACGGCCCAGAAATTTCGAGGAGTTCACTGAATTCAACTTGCGGCCAGAATGGCTAGCAGCCAAGCTCCCAATGGAGCAAGCAGCTGATGTGACTAGCTTAGGATAGCAGCATGGTTGTTGATGCCAGAGGCTTTTTGAAAGCCAGCATGTTGAGGCCCCGTGGGTGTGATCCTTTCGGTCACTCTGCGGATCGTTTTGACTAGGTTGATGCCGGCTTTCAGGTGTGTGGAGGTGTTTTGGGTGGTCAAACAATCATGTGATGTTGCAGGAAATGATGCCCGATGGTGTCCACACAGGCTGGCAGAACCTGGTTCGGGGCTGCTGCTTCCGGCGCACTGGGGCGATGGCCAAAGAAACACTCGACCCCCACAGGCGCCTGGAAGGGCAGGTGTGACAGCCGGATGAGTTTGCAGCTGTGTGAGGAAATTGAAGTTGAGGCAGAAGCTGCGAAGCTGGAGTCATATGTTTGAACAAGAGAGTGGATGAGAATCTACTGGGAAAGTAGACCCAAACCACCGATATTATGTCATATTGCTTGATACCATGGTGGCATACAATGGCTTACAGACTGCTGCAAGTTTTCTGTTACGGTCATTTTGGTCCTTCAGTTTCGACACAGCAGCCAGATGGCCATCCTATGGCTGGATAGAAGTTTGCAATAGTTTGCACCCAGCGTCAGTTGCGCGAGGTTGCTCAGCCTGTGATTTTGCCATATCTCCCCCACCGAAGCTTTGCTGAAGGGACAAGTCTCTGACTGTATAACGCCATCAAGAAACTAAACACTTCCACGAGAATCTGAAGAGCCAGGAATCTGCCCCACTGTGAGCTTTCAAGGGAGATATGGGCAGGACGGGAGCATGTAATGATTGTGACGATCACCCAGTGATTGCTGCCGTGGCGCAATCACTGCGAATTCGATCATCAATTTTAATCAACGGCGACGACATGCTAATTCTTGCCGAACACCTTGGGCTCTGCGCTTGTTTGAAAAGGGAAGGAGGAGCCTCCACATAGCTCAAGAATTTCTACAAGAGTTGAAGAGATAATCCTTTGAGCAGTCTTTTAAATGATTCAATTGGGCGCAAACGAGACTGGCCAAAACGTTTTGACACACGTGTCTCCTGCAAGACAATTTCATCTATCGACAGAACGCGCATGCTGCAACTTCAGGATCCACTGCTTTGGAAGGGTCAATCTTTGGAAAAAAAAACATGAACATGAAAACACCATCTGTTAAGCTCCTCAGGTAACAAACAGGCAGCGGCATATTCTCGAATTCAGAGCCACTACGGATCCTTGCCCTTTTGGCTCAGACCAGACAAGTCGAGAAAAGTCATGAACATCATGAGTCCCAGGAGAAAGGCTACGTGATGTCGCAGTTCTTCGGTTCCACTCCGCAATGGCTTGTCAACTTCACTGACTCTTCAGGCTGGATGGCTTCATATCAAGAAATACCAAGAAAAACAGTGGGTCCTTTGGCATCGAAGTTTAGGTCAGCATACCTCCATTTCAGGACATAGTAAAACAATGTAAAACACCATTCTCATCATCTGCACCCCAACTTGCATTCGATGCCTTCGCCCGATGATCCTCTGAGCGATTTGAAGTTGGACGCGACAGACGTTTTGCTTCTAGACGCTTGGAAGTGAACGTTTGAACCATGGTTTCAGTGGCCCCAAAATAGATGGAACCGGGTTTCTTTTCACTGTCGTTGAGTCCACTCAATGAGGGTAGTTCCATCTATTGTTGTGCGAGATACCTGGAGTCTTCGAACCCTGCCAGAGACTTTTAGAGAAACCAGGATTTTCACCAGCCGCTAGCATTTTTGGATTGCCTATCCTGCAACAGCTCTTCAAGGCTTAGATAGCACTGGGGAGCGCAACTCAAGAAGCCAGCAATCGAATCCATGATTAAGCAAAGGTGGACCTATTTGTGTTCCCTTTCATGCCGGATTTTTGATCCATTATCTCATGGAAAATGCTTCTCCAGCTTCCAACTTGGCCCAACTTGGCCCAGGTGAGCTTGTTGGCCAGGGTCTTAGTCAGGGCGAAGCGGGTGTTGGCGTGTCAGTTTCGTACTCGTATAGGGGCTTTGATGGAGGATCATGACACCGTAAACCCCAGGGCAACAGAATCCTAAAAGACGCTTGTCTTTAAAGCCCCTGAACCGGAGAGCTTCAAAGCATACTGATTGTACAGAGCCCCCAGTACCCAGAAGCTTCATTCAGACTTGTTATGGCGAGGCAGAGGTTCGTTCTTACCGCCATCCTTTGTGGGATTCTGAAACATCACCTATAGGGCCCAGATGGGCCCAGGGAAATAATCCCCTGATGGCGGCTCGCATAATCTGCTAGGAACTACCAGGACAAGATGCTTGTGCCGAGGCCATCTGCCTTGTGGTGAACAACATCATCCAGAAGCAGTCATGGCCCATCCCCGAGGCCCGAACCCGGCCTGGATCACCAGTACCTTGGTACCTTGTAGTGCACATATTACTAGTGGGATCTAGTGGGTGTGTATCCAATTGTATCCATGTTCATCCCCCATTCATGAGAAGATCAGAGGTGTGAAGATCCATCCGCTTGTGGGGTTGTCTCAAATGATCAATTTATACCAAGTTCCCAGCCAAGTTCCCCATTCAAATAATTTGGAGGCACATCCCCGATTTGAATCCATCTCAATGCCTATCTGGGGCGTATCCCATGTGTGACCTTTCGCATTCTGTGGTGACGGGGAAGCTAACCATGTTTATTAGATGCTACTATAGTATTTCAGTATTTCTTAATAAGAATGTGGTAAACCGGTAAACCCAATATTTCATAAACATTCATAGACCATTTCCAATGATTTTCCTTTAAGAATCCATTATTCATTGATCAAACAAAAAAATCCAAAACTATGGACATAAATATTATAAATGGAGAAATTATAAACGTATATAAGTTATATTCTGATATGATATCCCATGGATATCCATCCCCAGGCCATCTCTACCATCCTGGTGGGAATCGCCATGGGTGGTATCGCTGCAGCCTTTCCCGAGGCAAAGATTGCCACAGAAATGCGGGGAATCGGCCAAGATTGCCGAAACATGGGTAAAATGATGGTAAACTGATTGTGAAAGCAATGTGAAACATGAGATTTTTGGAATAGCATACTCTCACACAAACCTCAATTTGTAAAAAATACATAAATGCTTCATACATGTCCCATGGTTGTTTCTATTTTTAATGCATCTTCAGGAGCAGTATCAGACACGAAACTAGCATCAATTTCAGCATTTTGTTCATCATAAGTCAGTGATACAACAAAGACACAAGAACTGTGGTTCTGGTAGCCATTGAGTTGTGCTTGGCAAATGGCTAAAACACTACCGCCGTCATCGTTCCATTTTGGCTTTCTCTGCCAGGTCAATCGGAACACCTTCCAGAAGCTGGAAGATCTGTCGGCCAAGCAGTTCATGTGCGCACTGCTGGTGGTGGTGGTGGTGGTGGTATGTGTTGGTCATGCCATGGTTGCATGGTTGATGTTTGTTGTTTCTTGGTTGATATTTGATTGTTGATATACTAATATATATATATATATGTATATATATATATATGCACACTGTCATTTTATGTCATATTATATTTATTCTGTTTTCATGGCTCATGAAATCGAGATAATATATACCAGTTGCCAGTCGCCAGTGTTGCCAGGCTGGTTTTTATCGCGCCGATCATTTTTGCAGAGGGTTATGGCATGAAGAGCCAACAGTTCTTTGACAACATCACGCGACTCTTGGCTCCCAGTACGAAAGATACAACAGCTGGGTTGTCATCATGGGATTGCCATGAGTTTTCTGGCAATGTCCCAGCATGTTTGCAGGCTGGAAGTCTTGTTGATTCCAAGGAATTCTTTTGCATGCGTTTCTGGGAACGGCAATATCCACCTTGGTCCCGGGCTGAGATTCGCGGCTGGGGTGTAGGCTGTGAACGTGCGTTCCGTCGGAGACCAACAAAGTCTTCAGTTTTCCATTGATGTTTCAATTGTTTCAAGGATGTGTCTCTGTGTCTCTGACTTGTTTGACTTTCTTGGTCCAACTGTTTGTTTTTCTTAGAAGTTCCTTCATTCCGCCAGAATGAAAAAAACTCGTTCCTTAACGCCTCATCCAGCGGGCGGTTCCGCCGTTAAGGTGGTTGCCATCAGCCTCCATTGGCTGCCCACTCCACCAGTGCAGCTGAGCATGGCCGAGTGTTTAGCCTTTGGAGCCATGATTAGCAGCACGGACCCAGTCACTGGGCCCACTGGGCAGCTGATTTTTCGAACATTTTTGCAGAACGGATGGGAGTTTCGGTAGTTCATGGTATTTCGGAAATCGGGGGAAGGGATTCGTTGGGGCAAGCCGCACAAGCTGATGTGGAAAATTTTGCCTTGGCCAAGATTGGAGGGCTTGAAGGCCGAATTCGTAGGGCCGGTTGCGAACAGAATCAAGGATGGCCATCCAAATCCAGCGCTGGTGATATCATGTTTCTCCAGTGCTACTGATGGTGTGAGGTTACCACTCTGGCCATCTTCAAAGAACAAAGATTGGCAGAGAATGGAAGGGGCCACCTCTACTACTCTGCTCTTTGGCCTCTTATAGTCGGAATTGATGGGAATGGTGTTTGAACGTTGCGCAACTTGGAGTTGTACAACACAGCGCCAGGGTGACACCATGTGACACCCTTCCCTAAGAGGTACGCATGGTTAAGATTTTTGTCCATCCCGGCATCCTATAGCCGCCATAGCCAGAGCTTTCCCAGGTCCTCGGAGAATCCATCCTCAATGATGCAGTGGCCATCACCCTCTTCGGCAGCTTCGCACCTGGGACCTGTCCTATAGGCGCAACAGGACCAATGTAGATCAATTACCCTCTGGTTATGTCAAAATAGCTATTGAAAATGGCCATTTATAGTGAGTTTTCCCATTAAACATGGTGATTTTCCATAGTTATGTTAGTTTACTAGAGGGTAAGTTATGTATATGATACAGTGCACATAGTCTCTAACACGTAAGCATTAAAACAAATAAAAACAACACAGTTATAAGATAGCATAGCATGGCATCATAATCATCATATAATACAACAACACATGTCATTTCCTTACTTTTCAATACGTTTCATTCCATTTGGTTCCATTTGATTCCATTTCATTACATTTCATTACATTTCATTACATTTCATTACGTTTCATTACGTTTCATTACATTTCATTACAATTCATTACATTTCATTCCATTTTATTACATTTCATTTCGTTACATGTGCAGTACATGTACATTGCATAGTCCTTGCATAACCTTGACATTATATGCACATTATGATAAACCCGAGTGCTTTGAACATATAACATGCGGTTGCGTTCATTTGAACTAGCCCTGTCCCTCTTTCAGTGAACCCGTCAAGTCGGGGCTCAGGTCAACCTGGTGAAGTCTGGGGAGGCCGTGGATGGCCAGGTTGCTTTGAGGACCGGGCAATGTTCCCAACTCCAGCCATTAAACATTTCGGAATTGTAGAATCAGAAGGCAAAATCACCAAATTTTACACCAGTGCAATCATTAAAGCAGAAATGCCAAAAAAAAACCCTACTCTGAGTCAGAAAAGCGACCGCAGCCTACCACAGTCAGGATCCTGTTGGAATTCTGTGGCTGCTTCCTTGCATCCACCCTGATTGGTGTCGCAGGTGGGTTCATACACAGAAATTTGATAAGGGCCTTTTCAAGCAGTGGTGAACAAGACTCAAATTGAACATGTTGAACCACAAGCTAATACACCACTAAATCAAGGTCCAGAGTCACAGATGTCACAGCTCCAGCATGTTCCAGCTTCACGAAGTTCACCCCGAAATCTCAGCAGATTTGAGCACCACCTGCCATGAAACCCGAAGCTGCACAGGCGGTTTGGCCACGGCATTGCTGCTGAAGACAGCACGTTTGGGGGCAGGCGCTTGTGACTTGGATGTGTGACTTGGGGCAGTTGCCAAAGGCATTGGAGGACACCAAAACTAGCTGAATGATTTGTTCCACTCCAGCTATCGTTTGGTGACATCAGACACGGTATGTTGGATGTTGGATGGATTTGGATGACAGTGGAAGCAGTGATTTGATGCCAGCCCAGTGCGAGGCACGCGGATTCGAATAGAACAGGGAAGGGGCTAGCACGTAATCAGGGACTTTGGATCAGAGCTTCTGAGGTGAGGGCGAGCATTTCTACTTTAATGTTCCAGAACTTGGAGTCACACTAGCTCCTTGGATTCCTTAGCTTCATTTTGATTCATTTTGCACCAACGGTTCAGACTTGGTATTTGCCATCTTTGGATTGCTGAGAACATATGCTAAGCATAGGTAAACCAAGCTTCGCCAAATTTGTGGGCGTATCTGAAGAACGTGGATGTTGGCTTATTGGCATTTCACTATATAGTTCTTAAAAGCATGAAAAGCACATCACAGCTTGTCAGTGTGTTGGCATATATTTTTGACCGGGATCTCAACTTCTCCAGAGAAAGGAAGCTGACTGAGTCGGAGCCCGCCGCACAACACCAACAAACCACCACCAACAAACCCAGTTCCTCAGGTTATATCTTATTGTTGGTGGCTCCGGACCATTTGCATCCATTTGCCCTTTTGGAGTGAGCAGACCACTTGTTTTTATCAGATTCCGGCATATACGTGATTACAATGTAATAATATACATGTATTTTATACCATAAACAACTTGAAGTGTCCAATGTTGGCCACAACCAAACAACTTCTCATTATTACATTTGCCAAAGTAGTTCTTAGAAATGTTTTGTGCATTTCTGACAAGTGTCTCGCCTACCAGACATAACAAGATGCTCTGGAAGTGGCAGCGAGCTGCAGTTGCAGTCGATTCCCCTCACAGGTTATGGCTTATGTACCATTCCTGGCTGCTGAAGCCTGTGACTTTTCCGGTATCGTAGCCATTATGAAGCTTAGCGGCACTATCAAGTGACCAAAAAAAGGGGTGTCTCCAAGGTGTTTGCCGGGATCGCCCAATCCAATGGGGCGAATTCCATGAATCTGCACAGATATTACACGTTGCGATCCTTGCGTGCGGTACAAGACATACCGACTCTCCATGAGGTTTGCCGGGATCACTACTCGACACTATGCGCACTTCAATCTCACGCAGGCGCGGCGCGGACAATGGGTGTGTTGGTAGTGAAGATGACTAGGACTAGGAGAAGGAGGAGGGCTGTGATGGTGATATTCATCGTTGTTTTCTGTGTATGTTCTACCCAAGATAGCGAATCCCTCAGGTCACAAACTTGTCAATTTTAACAGGTCACACGACAGATCTTCTTGCCCACAGTGGAACTCATTGCCTCGCTGTGTGAAACTTATGTTCCTGGGCATCCACTACCATTCTTCAGAGGGGTACTGCAAGGGAGGCTGAGCTAAGCAGTTGGAGATGGGACTGACCTAGCACACACGTGTACACATATAGTATCACCCCAAGTGAGAAGTGAGAAACGAGTTCCCATGCAATTCTACACAGGTTTCATTGCATCGAACCTTTGATGTAAAAAGTGTTTAAAGTCCTGCAGTATGCAAGGCCTTTCTGGATGTTGTTCTGGGCCCCCTGGTGCATGTGTTGAAATGCATGCCGAAAGAGACAGTATTCTTCCCTTGATATCAATCACACTCTTGGAAACCAAAAACAAGGAACGAGAGGTGTGGCCAACCACTTCGGATAGCCCTGCCCCCAGGTATCCTTCCATTATCCGCTATATCAGCTGAGGTTTTCATCCTGCTGGGTTTAGGCGTTTTTCTGATGCGCCGGGCCTACAGCTGGCCGCTGATTGGGTGGACTTTATTGGCCTGTTTGGTTGGAAGGGCCTTGAACCTTGGCGTCTCACAAGATTCTGATGAAACCCGGGAGTCGCGGCCATTTCTTTTGTGATGTCGGCACTTTAAGCGCCTGAAACGAAGGTTGGGGAGAAGATTTGTTGTGTTGCAGCTGAATTCTGAGTTGAATCAAGGAATGTGTATCCACTTGCTCTTCTCACCAACAAGCTTTCTTCCGGCCCCATCATGTCGGTCAAGGACTGCTTTTGCAATTGGGAAATTGGCAAAGGTGCAAAAAAATGATGTGGAAGTGCTTGCCTAGGAGATGCACATGGTTTGGATGGCTGGGCTGCGGGGCGTGATTGCCTTCATTTGTGCTTTGGGCTTTCCCAAGCAGGTGGTGCTGGGTCAATGTATGCGGGTTTATGTGGGTATGGGACTGGTATGGGTAAATTTTCAGAACAGAGGACTCTGGGAGTGCAACTTTTCTGCATACATATGACTTAGTTTAAACACCGCATTTTTTTCTGGTCACAAACCATATGCAAATAATATATATTATATTTTTTATTGGCAAATCCATTAAACACAATCAATTTCTCCAATACAAAGAATCATTATTGTGAACTAGAAGTTGCAATACTTTTGGGAAGATACATGATTGCATGTGTGCAGTATGCCCTTCCATATGAGTGAAACAACTGAACAACACAAACATCATTTTTAAGAAGTGGATTTTACCCTTTAAAGCAAATGTTATGCAGAAAAAATGATGGTGAGGCTTAACTTCATTAAGGATCTATTGCATTTGTTCACATACTTGTATTGTATTTCTGCAAGAATATTACTTTTTATTTCAGGAATTATCATCATGTCTCCAAGGCAATTCTTTTGAAGAAGTGATGTCTATCCGTTAAAAGCAAATGCCATGGAGAAAAAATGAGAATGAGGCTTAACCTCATTAAAGGATGTATTGCATTTTTCCATACATTATAGTGTTCTTGCAAGAATATTTTTTCCTATTGAAGGGAATATAAGGCAGATTGCAACCTGTAAGCAGCATTTTCCTTCAACAGTAATCTTTCTTGTTTCAAGGAATGCTGCAATGTGCATTGACCATTGCACCTTTTGACAGCAATACTGAATGTCAATCACACCCACTGCATATTGTGTAGGAATCTGATGTTTTGAAAGACATACTCTATGATTGAAGGCAGGCTTAATATTACTATGAAAGGAAGAAAGACCACACTTCTACAGAGAGGAACGCTGCATGTTTGGAGGACTGCTTATTATATTTTGTAGGGATACTCTTTCTTGAAAGAAACAATGCCTTGCCTTGAAGGAAAATTGCAGCTTATGAGTGAAAGGTCTGTTTTGAAATGAAGACTTTTGCCAAGGCAACACTATATCTGGTAGTGAATGCCTCATAATGTGCATGGGTGGGTGCTTGAAGGGTTGCATTTGAAGCTGTTTCAAAATGGTTTGGCTTACTAGGGTGTACCGGTAGTAATCTCTCAATAATGCTTCCCCCACCGACTATTTGTAACTTGTACTGTTTTTTTTTTGGCTGGTGGCATCTTCATTTGGATGAACATCTTGGCAGAGACATCGCTTTAGCAACTTCAAGTATTCTCCACCGTTTCTTTCGGTACCTAATAAAAAAAGATAAATATACAAGTCTGTCTCAAATTGGCCTTGATTATGGGTGCGTGATTCGTACTCTGGCTCATGTTGCTTGACTTGCAGGAAGACCACCAAGACTACCTCTTGTGCACAACAGCCGCTGGGCTACAACTGGTGTGATTGACATGGGAACAATGCACCGCCGCAAAAGCCACTACAGGCGACGTGTGTTTTTCATTGTGTGGGTAATCATAGATCAGAAGAAAGCACATAGAAAAATCAGTACACGTCTGGTTCACGCACATAATAACACTTTCCCTTTCTGGAGCCCAGTAACGAGGTGATCATGGTCGGTGCCTTGCCTCAAATGCAGTGTTTCGGAGTTTGCATGATGGCTGATATTTGAATTGGATGGCCATATAATTGAGTCGTCTGCGTTGGCTACAGAAGTGTCTTCTGTAAAGAATTAAAAAGACAAAACAAATACGAACAACATACAACTCAAAAATACAAAATCTGAATTGCAGGGTTTAGAAAATACAACAGGTTGGCTTTGCATTTATTTCACAAGTTGGTTCTTGCTTTTCAAAATGAACATGGGGTTGGCTCTCTGGCCCATTGTTGAATTTGTATTTTTTGTATTTTGTATTTTTGAAATTTTGGGTTCGTATTTTTTTGTTTGTATTTTGTATTTTTGAAATTTTTGGTTCGTATTTTTTTGTATTTTGTATTTTTGAGAAATTGCATTCGTATTTATTTTGTATTTTTTGTAATTATTTTGTATTTTTACAAAAAAAGACAAAATACACAATAAATACAAAAAAACATACATTTTTTTTTGTATTTTTCCATTACTTCCAGAAACGCACTTCGTATTTTTGTATTTTTTTGTATTTTTCCATTCCTTCACAGATTGCACTTTGTCCTTTTGTATTTTTCGTTCTTTAGACATCCCGTCAAAGAACAAAACCGCGAATCCACTAATGTATGTTGTATTTCCCTTTTGTTGATGATTTTGCCACCCTCAGTGTTGCATTTTTTTTTATTTTTTGGGTTTGTATTTTTTGTATTGTTTTGTATATTAATGATTACAGGCTGTAGCCAGCACCCGACTACTCAACCATATAAATAAATAAAGAAATATATATATATATGATATATATATATGATATATATATATATGATATATATATATATATATATATAAATATGATATATATATAAATATATAAATAAATATATATAAATATATAAATATATATAAATATATATATAGAAATATATATATACACATAAATATATATATATAGAAATATATATATATATAAATAAATAAATATATATATATATACATACATATATTTAAGCGCTTACGCGCGACAGCCGGCCAGGGGCCCATGTTGAGGTGATAGGGGCTCTTGCTCAAGGCTATGTTGCCCCATCGGGAGGCTATGTAGGTCCAGCTTGGGGCTATCGGGGGGTAGCTTGGGACTAGGTGGGCGGCGGTTGCAGGGGTCTTCGGGGCGGCATGGGTTGTGGCTGGCGTTGTGGTTATTGCTGTGGAGGTCGTTGTTGTTGTTGTTGTTGCTGTTGCTGTTGCTGTTGCTGTTGTTGTTGTTGTTGTTGTGGTTGTTGTGGTTGTGGTTGTGGTTGTTGTTGTTGTTGCTGCTGTTGCTGCTGCTGCTTCTGGCTGCTGTTGGTGCGCTTGTTGTTGCTGTGGTTGTTGTTGTTGGTGTTGTGGTTGTTGTGGTTGTTGTGGTTGTTGTGGTTGTTGTGGTTGTTGTGGTTGTTGTGGTTGTTGTGGTTGTTGTGGTTGTTGTGGTTGTTGTTTTGTTTTGTTGTTGTTGTTGTTGTTGTCGTTGTCGTTGTCGTTGTCGTTGTCGTTGTCGTTGTCGTCGTTGTTGTCGTTGTTGTCGTTGTTGTTGTTGTTGTTGTTGTTGTTGTTGTTGTTGTGGTTTGGGGCTATATGGGCCCATCTTGGGGCTATGTTGGCCTATCTTGGCCCATCTTGGGGCTATGTTGGCCTATCTTGAGGGCAATTTGGGCCCATCTTAGGGCTAGCTTGGCCCATCTTGGGGCTATGTTGGCCCATCTTGCGGCCTATGTTGGCCCATGTTGACCCATCTTAGGCCACAAGAGTCGAAAAATGGGAACAGAAAAAAAACTTTTCTCCTTCGGAGAGGAGAGAACTGCCGTACGGCAAGGACACGGCCAGCTCCGGGCCCCGCGGGCCCCTGGCCGGATTTAAGCGCTTACGCGCGACAGCCGGCCAGGGGCCCAACTATGTAGGCCCAGTGTGTGGCTATGTTGGCCTATGTTGGCGTATGTTGGCCTATCTTGCGGGCAATGTGGGCCCATCTTGTGGCTACGTTGGCCTATGTTGGCCTCATGTTGACCCATGTTGAGCCAAAAGATCCGAAAAATGGGAACAGCAAAAAAAACACTGTAAAACGCAGGATATTTTGATGGTCGGCGGCCTATCTTGGGGCTATGTGGGCCCATCTTGGGGCGATGTGGGCCCATCTTGGGGCGATGTGGGCCCAGTTTGGGGCTAGGTTGGCCCATCTTGGGGCTATGTTGGCCCATCTTGGGGCTATGTTGGCCCATCTTAACGCCTATGTTGGCCCATCTCGAGGCCTATCTTGGCCCATGTTGACCCATCTCAAACCACCAGATCCGAAAAAGGCGGAAAAATGCGGAGAGCACAAAACACCGTAAAACGCGGGAGTTTTTGGCGGCCGGGGGTGTCGGCGGCTGGGGCGGCGGCCCCTCTCTCCTACGGAGAGGAGAGAAACGCCTTCGGCAAGGACACGGCCAGGGGGCCCCTGGCCGGATTAATGAAGGGCTGCCGCCCCTGCTGCCGACCCCGGGCATGTATGTCCATTCAGACCCAGCGGTCTCTGAAGCGGATTTGCACGTGCTTTCCCGGCTGCGGCTGCGCTGCTGCTAACAATGGGATGCCAGTCTGCACGGAGGCGTTTGCTGCTGCCGGACTGCAAGGCTTGACGCGCGAGCAAGTCGCCGCGGAGCTGAAGCCCGTCGGGCATGGGGTTCAAAAAGAAAATAATATTTAAGGCATCAAAAAATAGATATTTAAGGCTTCACTCAAAAAATATTTAAGGGATCAAAAAAAAACATTTTTCTTGCGCTGGTGCAGTGTTTTGGCCCTTTTATGCAATTTTAAAACCTTGTGGTCTTTGAATCTCCCGGTCCTTCAGTCCTCTTCCTTGGTCCCCTGGTCCCTTGGTCCCCTGGCCCCTTGGTCCTCTGGTCCCTTGGTCCTTTTGTCCTCTGGTCCCTTGGTCCTCTGGTCCCTTGGTCCTCCGGTCCCTTGGTCCTCTGGTCTTCTGGTCCCTTGGTCCTTCCGTCCTTTGGTGGCTCTGGTGCCTTAAAACATTTTGAAGATAATCCTTAATTCAACCAGCCGTTAAGAAACCTAAATTAGCTTCAATAACCCCTAAACTACCCCCCAAGCCAAAGTAGGTCTTAAACGAATCCTAAACCAACCCTCAATCAGCCCTAAACTAACACTAAATAAACCTTAAACAAATTTTAAGCGAAACCTAAACGAACCTTACATAAGTTGTAAGCGAAACCAAAAGCCACCCCTAAAAAACCATACGCCAACCGTAAATAAACCCTAAATAACACTTATTAAACAAAGACGAACCGGCCCTAAATAAATCCTAAGCAAACCCAAATAAACCACAAACCAACCCTACATAAATCCTAAACCAACCCTGAACCAACCATAAATAAATCACTAAACCAACTTTAAAGACACCGGAAACAAGACCTACATAGACTTTAAACAAACCCAAAATAACACTAAGCCAACCCTAAAGAAACCCTGGACCAACCCCAAATAACACCTAAGCCAACCACGAACCAATCCCCAATACATCTTGAATCAACCCAAAAGAAACTTTGAGCAGCACCTACACAAATCTTAATACCAACCCTAAACAAACCCTAAAACGAACCTTAAATATTCCCTAAACAAATTTTAATCCAACCCTAAATAAACAACCAACCAACCCTCAATAGATCCCAAACGAAACTGAAACCACAAAGTCTTGAACGAAATCAAAATAAACCCTGAACCAACCCTACAGAAACACCCCAAAACTTTAAATAGCTTTAAAGAACATTTGAACGAAACCTAGATAAACCTTTTACCAGCCCTGAATAGACACCTGGTAAACCATAGGCCAGCGCTAAACTAACCCTAAACCAACCTAAGTTTAAACCAACGTAAGTTTCAAAGCAACCATCGAAAATCAAAAAATCGAACTCCAAAATGTTGCAAGTGCTGTTGAAACGGCAGCGTCGAGCCCTGCGAATGCTCGATTTCTAGGTCCAATGTCCCGCAAAAACTTTACGGGCGAGAGGCTCCACTTCCAAAACGATGCAAATACCACAGAAATGCTCGGTTTTGTCTCCAAACTGTTGCAAGGGCCATAGAAAACAAGGGGTTCCAGGGGATTTTTTTTTGATGCCTTAAATTTTTGTTTTTTGATCCCCACGGGACTATTTTCTTTTTGATGCCTTAAATATTTTTTTTGATCCCTCACCCGTCGAGCTGCACACAAGTTGCAATATAAGGGTTGAAGAGAGCCGATTCGTCGGAGTCATTCACTGAGTGTATCTGAGTAGTAGTAGTAGTAGTAGTAGTAGTAGTAGTAGTCGTAGTAGTAGTAGTAGTAGTAGTAGGAGTAGGAGTAGGAGTAGGAGTAGGAGTAGGAGTAGGAGTAAGTAGCAGCAGTAGCAGCAATAGCAGCAGTAGCAGGATATATTGCAAACTTATTGCCATGCGGGGGGCGCGTAAGTATATGTACTGGCTGGGCCGGCTGCTTGCTCCATGCCTTGGTGGGCCACGGTGCGCTGTCTCCAGTGAGGTCGCAACTGAGACATTCCAGTTTCTTCAGCAAAGAGGAAGAAGCGTCCTCAACATGTGACATGGAGTAGAAAAGCGATGAAAAAGGAGTCTATGCCAAGCGCATTGCGAGAGCAACAGTTTTTCAACAGTTGGATTCAGCAATTTGAGTTGCTGTGGCTGGTCTGCGCTTTTTAGTTTTCATTTGAGGTACTGTTTCATCCGAGGCACTTCTGTAAGCTGCGAGGAGCACTGCCGCCGCAGATTTTCAGGGGTTCCTCACAAATTTCCCGCGGCCATGCAACCGGCCATGCAACCGGCCATGCAGCGAGGCACGGAGCACCGTTCACCACAGTTGATGTGTCAGCTCTAGGGGTTTGCGACCGTCTTCAATTGTGCGGCCCTGTTCAGAGGATCTCCTTATTGAATTTGGATGGAATTGTTTGGCGTTGGTGCCTTCTATATTTTTTTGGTGATGTTGCAGGCAACATCCTGGAGGAATTGCAGGTGGCCCGGTTCAGTTTTTGTCTTGAAAAGTTGCGTGGGACATAGCAGCGCTGGCTGTTGATCTTGTTGCTGCGCACTTCTCTCTTGCCTCCAGGATCTGCAAAGGCTCGCGCGCCTGCCCAGGCAAATCTCAGGGCATAGCCTCGTCCTTTCTAAATGGTTTGCGCTTGTAAGTATGCCAAAACAACCGAAGGTGTTCGAAAGTGTATGACGCAATGAAATTGCAGGACACTGAGCGAAGAACGCTTCACACCGTTCTGCACAGATACGCGCCAAACATGCATTCAACTTGTTCCACGTACTCACTTCCTTCCGCTGCCTTCCAAATTTGCCCCAACAGTGTGATTTTTTCCTGTTTTGTTTTTGTGTGCCTAAGCCAAGATGTGAGCATGTTGATGGGTAGGCAGTCCGCAAACATGAGATAAAGAGATGGGCCACTCCAACTGCACGTTGATGTCCTTCTTGGCGCCAGGAATCGTCAACGAGACGAACGTTTGCACACACGGTCTTCACACTTGGCGTCTGCAGTGGCAAACATCATCATGGAACGCGACGTTCTTCGAGCTGAAGTTATGGAATGCGACGTTCTTCGAGCTGAAGTTCACGCTGGGATCTCAGCACTTGGCGCAGCGCACGGGTGGATCGTCAACTGCATTTCCTTGCTCCGCCTGACAACTCCTGCCCGCACCTGACAACACCTGCAGCCACTTGAAAAAGAGACGAGTGAAGCAGCTTTGCCAATCCTCTCTTGAAGTTCTTTGCTCTGACTGAGGCTTTTTTGATGTTTTACTTCAAAATTCCAACTTTTACTAGGTAAAAGTTGGAATTTTCAAAAATTCCAAAAAAACTGAGGTAATTCCATCATTCCATCTTTTTTGAATTTTTCAACATTGCCAAAAAACAGCTGGAAAGATGGAACGATGGAATTCTCGAAGTGTTTTTTTTTGGATTTTTGAAAATTCCAACTTTTACCTAGTAAAAGTTGTTTTTTTTTTCAAAAACCTTCAAAAACCATAGGAAAAGTTGGAATTTTGACCAAAATCCAAAAAAAACTGAGGCTTTTTTGATGTTTTACTTCAAAATTCCAACTTTTACTAGGTAAAAGTTGGAATTTTCAAAAATTCCAAAAAACTGAGGTAATTCCATCATTCCATCTTTTTTGAATTTTTCAACATTGCCAAAAAAAGATGGAAAGATGGAATGATGGAATTCTCGAGGTTTTTTTTGGAATTGTTGGAAGGCAGACTGAGTGTGTGACCAGGTATGCTTCACGCGCTGTAGTATGTTCTGACAGACTATGCCTCAATGCATGCTCACGACTACGGCACAATGCCAAGTTTGGGAAGAAGGCCTATTCAATAGACAGTTGGTTCCTTCAAATATTGAAAATGTCTTTAAGTGACAAAAACGTCTTTAAAGGAACGAGGGTTCTTTGTTATTAACACTTTTTTTTAGGAAGGGAAAAAAATTCTTTGAGTAGCAATGATTTCTTATGAGCACAGGAGTTATTTTAATTCCTTCCCCCTATTATTAAACCTCTCCTCCAAATAAGCTTGGGTGGGATCCCCAACAGCGTGTTGTGTCAGGATGCGTGACAGCAGCATCATCACAGTTGAATATCCAAGCACCTTGAAGATCCCGGAACCTTGCGGAACCCTCCGGCACCTTGATGTGGCATCTGCACCGAAACTTCTCGGAACCTTCTGGAAACCTCTGGAACCTTGATGTGGCATTTGCACCAAAACTTCCCAGAACCTTCCGGAACCCTCCGCAACCTTGTGATGTGGCATCTGCATCGGAACCTCTCAGAACCTTCCGGAACCTTCCGTAACCCTCCGGAACCTTGATGTGGCATCTGCACCCGAACCTCTCAGAACCTTCCGGAACCCTCCGGCACCTTGCCCCGCGACGTGCACCAGAACACACCGCACCCTCCGGAACCTTGATGTGGCATCTGCACCAAAACTTCCCAGAACCTTCGCGGAAGCCTCCGGAACGCTCCGGAACCTTGATGTGGCATCTGCACCGAAACCTCTCAGAGCCTTCCGCAACCCTCCGGAACCTTCTGGAACCCTGCGGAACCTTGCCCTGCGACGTGCACGAGAACACACCGGAGCTTATAATTGGCTGAAGACCCCAATTGCTTCGCTGTTGGGGAAAAAAACGGTCACGTGATTCTAATTAATTGGGAAACGTTTATTGCGAGAACTTTTGAGGTGCACTTGCCAAAATCGGTGACTTTCTTCAACTTTTTTCCCTTTTGAAAATTCTTTAGTAAAACCTATCAAAGTAGTTTTTTTCCTACTGTTTCAAAGGGATCCCGGGATCCTTTTTCCTTTCTTTTACTGCTTCCTAATTAGTTTTCAAGCTAGTAATAGGAGTAGGAGTAGAATAAGGAGTAGTAGTAGTAGCAGCAGCAGGAGTAGTAGTAGGAGGAGGAGGAGTAGGAGTAAGAATAAGAGTAGCTGACACATCCAGCTGTTCTCATCGAGAAGGGTTGCCTGTGCTCTTGGCATCTTAGAACCCCGAAACTTCACTGGACATGTTTCGATTCAAAATTCTTGAGACAAACCTATCAAATATTATTTTATTTTCTCCTGTTTTAAAGGGATTCCTCTTTCTTTTCTTCAACTGCTTAAGTTAGTAGCACCGGCTGGCACTCTTGAAGCAGAAAAGTGTTCTTTCAAAACAATGCAAAATTCCTTCTGAAGAAAATCCGTTTAAGCAGAGAGGACTACTTTGCAAGACGCCACATTCAGACACATCGATTTGAGCGCAGGCAGCTTCTTTAAAAAGAGAGGCTCCCTCTAAGAAAACTGGACTTCTTGCAAACAAACATATTGTCTTTGTTCTCTCGAGAAGAGGTTGTTTCCTTCGAGAGAAGTTATTCCAAACAAAAGTGTATAAAGAGCCTCCTCTAAAAAGAGAAGATCTTTATTCAATAGGAAAGGCTTTTGAAAGTGTAGAATGCCTTTTCAAAGATAATATTTATCTAAGATGACAAGACTTCTTGAAGAAGGACAGCCCTGATGGAATGGATCATATTTGTTTAGGCAGCAAGACTTTCTTCTGTACAATAGATATTTTTCTTTATTTTTCAGGAAAGGATTTGTTTGTGGGAGAAATGCATTTTTTAAAAGAAACACATTCTAGGCAACTTTTTGAAGAAACTGAGACTTTCCTTTCAGAAAGGATGAATTCTTAGAGGTCAGAAAGGTAGATCATGGGGGGGTGAGCATATAGTTATATAGATGTATTTTGTGATGCTTTGTGGTGCTGTTGGAAGCTCCCAAGGAGAGCGGAGTCACCTTGGCGTTTACACCGCAACGAGACGGATATGGTTGGGCCATGATTTTGTCTCAAGCACATGCCCGTAGCGCCAACAAGGAGACTGTGAATCTCCGTTTGGACTTTCTTCACTTCACTTCTTCTGCACCTTTTCCTTTTTTTCAGTTTTTTCTTTTTGTTTCGGTTTCTTTTTTTTTGTTTCTCTTGAGTTCCTTCCGTGCCATGGCCATGTCATGGCCATGTCCTAGATCCTTGAGGATCGTGTCACATACTTTACATCATCTTCATGTACGAAACCTTTGAGCTAGGAGATGGTCTACAATTTGACGGGTTCGTTGGGTGGACCGTTTCGCACACATGTAGCAGCAGTAGCAGGAGTAGCAGCAGCAGTAGCAGCAGCAGTAGCAGCAGCAGTAGCAGTAGCAGCAGCAGCAGCAGTAGTAGTAGCAGCAGCAGGAGGAGGAGGAGGAGTAGTGGCACAACTTGCAGCCAGCTCTTTGGCGCAGCCAGCTTTTTTTCCCTTACACGCTCCCCCTTGCGCAGCCGGGGTCGGCATATATATATATATATAATATTCGAATGTAAATGTACATGTACATGTATATGTATATGTATATGTATATGTATGTGTATATGTATGTGTATATATTTATATACATACATACAAACATATATATACATACATACAGACATATATATATATATGTAAATGTAAATGTATATGTAAGTGTATATGTATATGTATATGTATATATATATAGACATACACACACACATATATATATATATCATTTGTGGGTTTGTGAAAAATAGGGTGCCCGAAAATCCCATGGTGGATAATAATTCAAATTGTTGGTTGGGGGTACACCTCATTCTCAGACAAACCCTATGGCCATGCATGGCATAAATGTGCCACGGCTGCGAATGAGGCCTGTCTTTGGTGGTTTTGGGCTGGCCCACTGCCGGTGTGCTGCGCTGCCTGCAGTTGGATTCTTCTGTGCCAGCGCAGGTGGGGTGAAATCATGGCATTCATTGCAGGGCTTAGGTCCAAAAAACTGGCGGCTGCTGCTGAGGTTTTATAATGTTTTTGCTATGTTTTCAAGTTGCAGAGTTGGACTTTTGGACAGACACCCAGAAAGAATCTGACTGGAAAAAAGGAACGTCCAAATCTGACGTGTCAACTTTTCGGTACTAGTTCTCCTCGGTGGTTCCATGATGTTCCATCGGTTTCGCCTCAGGAGCCCCGACTGCCGCGTGTCTCCTGGTCCACCATGCCGGGCTCAGCCTCGGTGCGAGGAGTTTCGCAAAGGCGCTGTGCCAAGGAACTGCCCAGTGCAGATCATGAGAGTATCGAAAATTGAACCAAATATCCAGATATGGAATGAAAGGGAATGACATGGAATGACATGGAATGACATGGGATAACATCTTCTCGGAGTCTCGGATTGATGACGGTGCAATCATTTTCCATACTCCAAACAACTGAGGCTGAAGAAACTGTGTCTCAGCAGCACTGTCCGGTGGAAATTGTACACGACAACGTGATTGTGGACGGGTGGTGTTGGGATCCAGTTTCGAAACGCTGTCTCTCGCTATTCTAGAGCAAGGGGATGTTTTTTGTTTATACATTTCGTCGAAACCACGTAAGAATATCAATTTGAGGATGTGTGGGTCCATAGAGGTAGCACAATGTTTAATCCCCTCATCAACGTTTGTAGTTTGGGAGTCTCACCAGGCTGATGACCAACGACGCTGTAGCTGAAGAGGAGATCAATCTTTTTGAGGAGAGGTCCAGGGTGCCACCGGCCTAAGGGCCAAGCCGGAGTAAGGTTGGCCAAAACGGAGCACATGCAACCTACGCTTTACTGATATATCTGATATGATTTGACCATGTGCATGTTTTTCATAGATAATGCACATGGACCACATGGAATATACATGTGAAGAAGTCCATAGCACTGCCAGGAAGCGAATGGTGGCACTGGCGCAGCACCGGCGGTGCCACCCGGGCCAGCGCCCAGTACAGCCATGGGCTGCATGGGGTTGGGCCACTGGGACTGCACGTTTCGGGGCCAAAATCCGGAAACCAATGGGTTTATCACTAAAATGGGAAAATTCGGAAAATAAAGTACTCCCAATTCCAATGGATTGTCACCATTTTTCCTTTTCAATGGTTATTTGGGATACCCTGATTTCAGACAAACCGAAATCTGGAGAAAGTCAACAATCCAGATCCGTCTGTGCCTTCTTTTCACCATGTTGGGGCAGATGTAGATAGATGGTGATAGATGTCTATAGTTGCCTTTGGGATGGATTGAAGCCCTCATCCATAATTGTCAATCTTGACCCATCTATAATATTTATCTTAACTTGCTGGATGTGTGTGTGTGACATCTTAAGATTTATCTTTCACTATTCACCCAGTAAGTTGCATTTTGATCAGCAGAATATTGTGGTTAACGATCTCAAGTTTCCCAGGTAGCTTTGACGCTGGCCGCAGTGCTGCGAGATGGTCAGCTCCTGGTGTGTTGGGTGCCTTGGCGATGATGGGATACACATCAAATATCTAAACCAAGATTGACATTTGGGGTGGTATAGACATGGACTGTATAGATATCAGAATGGTATTTACATTAACATTAACATTAATCATATGATGATAAGGGTCAGTGGTCGGCCGTTGTCATCGCCCCAAGGAACGGTGCCCACTGAACGCATGAGCCGTCTCAGTGCGCGCAGGCGGCAGCCTGGTGGTTCCGGCAATCCACCGTGGCAATGTGGGAGTTTCAGTCATGATAGTCATGTAGATGGGGAGTTTTTTCATGGTAGGGTGTGATTCAACCCGGAGGCTAATATCGGTATGGTATATCCGATGGAGCATCCATTTCTAGACCTCTGAATTTTGTGGATACCGACATGGGTCACCAAGATGGGATCCCCCTTTTCGTTCGTTGACCCCGCGAGAAGGACATCAATGCCCTGCAGATCCTCGCGGATGCTGTGCGATATGTAACGAGCAGGGCTTGCGCCTTGTCAGATCTTGGGTCAACAAGTTGAAGCAGCTCATGACTCCATCATCTACATGACCAGTTGACTATGTCCACTAAGAACCTTCACAGGAACTTTGAAATACAGATGAGATGATTCAAGACAAAGATACATTTGACATAAAAAAAACTGCGCCATTTTGAGATTCTGAAAAAAGTCAAATTCGCTGCAACTCTGTTGATCTTCGCCTTTCCGGTTCAGGCTTGCTCGTCACTGACTTGGCCTGGTGTCAGAAAAGATGACTGATGCTGGGTGTTTGGAGAAGTCCCGTTCCACGGAGTCATTGGTTACTGGTTGATTTGGGGGTTTCATCTGCAAAAACTGATGATTCCTCCAAACTTGGAATGGGTTGTCCCATGTTGCCCCCTAAACAAACTGGGGGTTCATGAATCTGGGTCAACATGCTGATTCTATGAGTTGGGGATGGTCTAGGCATCCAACATGCCAGGGCAGGGTCTTGTCCAATGCAAGCGGCTCAGCAGATCTCACTCCGTGCCGCTCTGGTTGCTCAAGTGGAGCAGGGGCCGCGGGGCGGCGGGCCTGAGCGTCCAGCGGGCATGCGGCGACCCAACAGTGGGAGGGCCAAGTGAAAGTTCATTGAAATCCATTGAAATCCTTTGAACCTATGGCCCATGAAGAGGATGATTTAGATTCTGATCATTGCTTTCCAGTAATGACCTTCTTCCGAGCCGGGAATTTCCTTCGAAATCGTCTCAGGAGATTCCCATGAAATGACCAGCTGGTGAGGTTTTGCTGCCCTCACACAAGGGTAGGTTTATTGTGCCTTTTGGCTTGAGTTGCTGGGACGTGGTCTCCAGCGCCGCTGATCATGGAAACTGTTCACTTTTTGCTTCCCCCATGGTTAACTCCTAGTGAAGATTCGTGAACCATTGGGGTGACTATGGTATTTCATGGTATTTGATTAGGACCTGGACTTGGAAAGGGTTAATGCCGGTTGATCATCTCCCAGCATCTCCCAAGGTGCAGGACTGCGGTTTTCGCGGCGAAGAGAGGCGCCAAGCTGATCATCCCACAGAGCCACAGAGTCACGACACTGCTAATCAGCCAAGCTGATTTGTAAGGACAACATATGACAACTAAAGGGGCAGGAGATGGCAGGAGAATGATTCCATTGATGATGCTTGGATATGCTTGAACTTGGGATTTTGACGAGTTACCGCAATGTTTTTCTTGCAGGTGCACCCGGAAAAAGGCGCCGAGCGATGCGCTTGGAGTGACAGGGGGCTGAAAGGTGCCTTTCTTCTAGCTAGCGACTAAAGGTCATGGATGTAGTTCGCTTGGGTGAATGACCAAATGACTTTCAAAATCAACAACAGCAAACATGCACAGAATTCTGACATCATATGACATCCAGATTGACGGTTGAGCATCCTCGATCCCCCTTTGGCGCTGGCGCCAGGCCGCCATGAGCCCATGACGCTGGCCGCGGCGGTGCGCAGGGATTCGCAACGGAGTTCACACATAAATGGGGGCTAAACGGCTAAACATCAGATTGCATAGGATGTTTGATCATGTTTGATCACTTTTGGTGAGTGCCACTGAATATCCATTTTTTTAGGCAGCAAGAGCTAAGATCCCGATTTTTTTGGGGCCAATATCCCATTTCTGCTCGCAAGCCAACTGTCCATGTTCTCGCAGATCATCGCTGCCAGCAGTGCAGCGCAATCCGCACGGGCTGCAGCAACTCTGGCAGGCCTTGTTGGCAAATTCAGGGTATGGGTCAGTCGTCATTTTAAGTCATTGGAGCTACCAATGGACCCAGAAATTCGGTCATCTTGAGCATCCAACCATCCAAGAACTATCCAATTTGTGGGTCCAAACATGGTCCAACCATTTCGGCCCAGGATGCGCGGCTACGGATCAGTGCTTCAGCTCAACTTGGGCGGACAGACTTGTGGATCACTTTGGGACAAAAACAATCCACAAAATCATTGGTCAACCTACAAGGACTATGGATGTGGCAGAACTTAGCGTTTCAGCATTTCCAGCATTTCCCGCAATTTTGTGGAAATAATACGGGGCGCACGGTAGCGATTTCAGATATGCTTTGATACATTTTGATACTCTCAACAATCTATATAATTTTCCAATATTTTCCACGTCCGCTTGGGTCTGAAAATTGTGCCCTTCCAGAAATGTCTGGCTTCCGATAGAGGCTCCAGCGTGGCCCGACCAGCGGAAATGTGCTGCTGCACCGGGCCGCACCGACCATCAGGTTGGGGGACAAGTTTTAAGCACTGAAAAAGCGACCTCAAAATACATGGTGCTGAAAATCAGGGACATGAATATGGAAAGGATCCCATTTTGCTTAGGTTTGTGAAAGATTCTACAATATTTGTGTAGTTTGTTCCCAGATTGAGGAGTGTGGCAGACAAGGTGGAGAAGGGGAAGTGATGAAAGAAAGTAGCTTTCCAGCTTTTACTTTTGATGCGAGGGTGTGGTACAAGTTGTGCTGTGTCAGATGTTGTTTGGTTGTTGGTGGCCCCTCTGGTTTCTAGGAACAGGCACCAGCAACACGAATTCAGCAGCAGAGCTCAATGTGAAGACATGGCAGTTTGTTCCAGCACAAAAGTTACGCCAAAATGAATGCGTGCACATGTATCCAATGATAGAATCATAGACTTCTTGACATGGTAGAACCGACCATGTTTCTGTGCAGATTGTGCAGAGTAACCCTCTGTGCAAATACGAACCAGCCATGACTTATATTCCCGAAAGACATCAGCATCCCGCCAGGCCCAAAACTGGGAACCGACGCGCCAGTGCACCAGCGGTGGCAACTTGTTGCAAGTTGGGCATGGTGTTTTTCCACATTTTTCCCGAGTTTCAGAAATCGCTTGCAGTTGGTTTTCCAAGATGTCATTCTGGGTACACTTTTTTACATCCCCATCATAGTTGGTGATGTCAATCCTATTCCATTGGTTCGATCCCAGTCTAAGTGGAAAAGAACTGCGGAAATCGAAGTCATTTGTCTTTGTCCAAAAATGGAGGGCTTACACCGAAATTATGGCGATGAAATGTGGAACAAATGATGTTCTAAACTTCCAAACTGTGTGATTTTTCTAGGTTTTCCTCCTTTCCTCCCATTTTTTCATAAAAACACCCACCAGTAGAGACCTTCTCAGGCAGCCAAAGTCGAGGGACAGCCTTCGGAGCTTCCGGTGGTGCGCAGCCCACCCAGTGCTTCCAGTGCTTCCAGAGGCCGCAGCTGGGTGATGGATTTGCCATCACTATCATATTTTTGCAGGGTTACCTTGGAAGCAGCATTACGACGCACTGGTTAAGTATAATGATTGATCGTCTGACCTCTGATTGCTGGTAGTGCTCCCCGTGTTCTTGGGGACGTCCCCAACTTCTGTTGACTGCATCTTTTTTGTGCCAGCACACGTGGTGAATATCTGGAAATTTGGTGAAAGTGATTCAAACTCCTAAGGCTTCCCATATTGAGCTTTCAACTTTCTGTGAGACATTGTGCATGAGACAATTGTCATCTTCCAGATTTTGATTAGACATTCGAAATTGAAAACCCGTTGGAATATGTTGGAATATGTTGGAATATGATGGAATATGTTGGAAGATGTTGGAATATATTGGAATACGTTGGAATATGTTGGAATATGTTGGAATATGTTGCAATATGTTGGAATATGTTGGAACATGTTGGAATATGATGGAATATGATGGAATATGTTGGAATATGTTGGAATATGTTGGAATACGTTGGAATATGTTGGAAGATGATGGAATATGTTGGAATATGTTGGAATATGTTGGAATATGTTGGAATACGTTGGAATATGTTGGAATATGATGGAATACGTTGGAATATGTTGGAATATGATGGAATATGATGGAATATGTTGGAATACGTTGGAATATGTTGGAATATGTTGGAATATGTTGGAATATGTTGGAATATGTTGGAATCTGTTGGAATATGTTGGAATATGTTGGAATACGTTGGAATACGTTGGAATACGTTGGAATACATTGGAATAGGTTGGAATAGGTTGGAATAGGTTGGAATATGTTGGAATATGTTGGAATATGTTGGAATATGTTGGAATATGTTGGAATATGATGGAATATGTTGGAATATGTTGGAATATGATGGAATATGTTGGAATATGTTGGAATATGGAATATGATGGAATATGTTGGAATATGTTGGAATATGTTGGAATATGTTGGAATATGTTGGAATATGTTGGAATATGTTGGAATATGTTGGAATATGTTGGAATACGTTGGAATACGTTGGAATACGTTGGAATATGTTGGAATATGTTGGAATATGTTGGAATTCGTTGGAATATGTTGGAATATGTTGGAATAGGTTGGAATAGGTTGGAATATGTTGGAATATGTTGGAATATGTTGGAACATGTTGGAAAATGATGGAATATGTTGGAATATGTTGGAATATGTTGGAATATGTTGGAATATGTTGGAATATGTTGGAATACGTTGGAATACGTTGGAATACGTTGGAATACGTTGGAATATGTTGGAATATGTTGGAATATGTTGGAATTCGTTGGAATATGTTGGAATATGTTGGAATATGTTGGAATATGTTGGAACATGATGGAATATGTTGGAATATGTTGGAATATATTGGAATATGTTGGAATATGTTGGAATATGTTGGAATACGTTGGAATACGTTGGAATACGTTGGAATACGTTGGAATATGTTGGAATATGTTGGAATATGTTGGAATTCGTTGGAATATGTTGGAATATGTTGGAATATGTTGGAATAGGTTGGAATACCTGTTGTCATCAATTGTGTTTGGAAAAACAACTTATCCCAGGTCGCCCGGGCTTGGATGCCTTGGCGGTGGCTGCCAAGGCCTGGGAGAACGCCAAAACCATGGTGCCTTGGCCTGTCCTTGGGGAGATGCGGCTGGTTAGTAAGGAGAATCCCCAAATGGCCTTTTTTCAGGTATTTCCAAGTGAAATATGATAATTTAATATAATTTACTCTACTTGAATCTTGAAGAAAGATTGGACTATCTTAGAATGAAGGATTTGAGCCAGGAACGTGGTGATTGAATATGACATATGACGATTGAAAGCTCTTGAGGGGAGAGCAAAAGAGATAAGGAGTGATTTGACCACTTTACGGACAAAGCAGAGGGGAGTTCAGCAAAACTTGTAAGATTTGACATGGAAACCAGTGAATCCTTAAGATATTTCTTTGAAACACCGGGTGTTGGAAACTATCCAATCATGAGCACCAAACCGACATTTGACAAGCAACAATGGGCAAATACGATGCGAGGAATGTACTGTCATTTCGAGGGTCTTGAATTGTCTTGGTTTTAGTCCAAGTTTGTCCCTCATTCAAGTTCGCAAATAGGGCACTCGTATGGTTAGAAAATAATTTTCCAAGTTTTTCTCCGATTGAACTTGCCATGGTATGCTGACAGTCAAACTCATCCCATTTTTTAATCAATTTTTGGGCACCCTCCCAATTCTGGAAAGGCGGTTGGCCATTGGTTTTACTGAGGACTCCTGGGCACCTGTTGACTTCTTTGACGTTGTGGATGGCAACTCGCATGAAAATGGCAGTGTCAGTGCGCATCACAGAGTACATGGACCGGAGATCTATAGGAAATGTCCACATTGGCTGTGTCTATGAAATAAAAGAACATGCTGATGAATACACTGGCTTCTACGAGTACTACAACATACACACGCATATAATCGCATATATATATAATTAATGTGTGTGTGTCAATGAGTCAATGAGTCATTTAGAATTATTTACGATCTTGAGATTTAGATCTTCATATATTTTCATATATTTTCATTAAATTTCAAGAAGTTGTTTTCCAAAACAGCTCAGCAGTTGTCACTTTTCCACAGTGGATGAGCATGATGAGCTGCGGAGGTGCCAGCTGGGGTTTGCCGAGGCACGGGCTGGGGATGCGCAGATGTCGGTGCCGAATGACCCAGCATGGAGAAATTAAGTACTCCGAAAATCGACCAGGGATATTGTATGTGTGTATATATATATATACGTATATATATATACATTGGATTTAAAAATGAATATATATATATATACGTATATATATATATACATTGGATGTAAAAATGAATATATATATATACACGTATATATATATATATACATTGGATGTAAAAATGAATATATATATATATACGTATATATATACGTATATATATGTATATATATACATTGGATGTAAAAATGAATATATATATATATACGTATATATATATACATTGGATGTAAAAATGAACATATATATATACGTATATATATATATACATTGGATGTAAAAATGAATATATATATATATACGTATATATATATACATTGGATGTAAAAATGAATATATATATATATATATATAATTGGATGCAAAAATGAATATATATATATATATACGTATATATATATATACATTGGATGTAAAAATGAATATATATATATATACGTATATATATATACATTGGATGTAAAAATGAATATATATATACGTATATATATATACATTGGATGCAAAAATGAATATATATATATATATATACGTATATATATATATATACATTGGATGTAAAAATGAATATATATATATACGTATATATATATACATTGGATGTAAAAATGAATATATATATACGTATATATATATACATTGGATGTAAAAATGAATATATATATACGTATATATATATATATACATTGGATGTAAAAATGAATATATATATATATATATACGTATATATATATACATTGGATGTAAAAATGAATATATATATATACGTATATATATATACATTGGATGTAAAAATGAATATATATATATACGTATATATATATACATTGGATGTAAAAATGCATATATATATATACGTATATATATATACATTGGATGTAAAAATGAATATATATATATATATACGTATATATATGTATACATGAATAATCACATATATATATTATTATATTAGCAATTATGTATTTATATAAGATCATACATATATCATATGGTATATATATATACATGATAATATTTCTGGATGTGGATGGAACATCTTTTGAAGATCTTCTGGACAGGCCGAGCTTAAAGAGCGATGCGGCGGATGGAAGCAGAAACTCCAGGGATTCCGGGGACGCGCGAGGTGACGAAGGACCAGTGCTTGGGGGCATCAATGATTGAATCATGAGGCATCACAGGAATCTCCAACAAATCATGGCCAATCACCAACCTCACCAACTAAGAGTTGGAGTGTTTTTTTAGATCAGAAACCAGAAACGAAGCCCAGCTACAATTCCAATTTTGCCGGGCTTAGAAGGGATTAGTATCCCAGAATACACGGCAGGCCTCCCAGCGTGTCCGCTGGCCGCGCTGGCGGAGAAGGAGGTCCCATCTCCACTGCGGAACGAAGCTCTGGTGTCCAGGTGGAAAACTGGTGGAGATCAGAGATGAGAGGTGGATCAAAATTCAAAAAACATCTGGAACCCATTGAGGGCTGAGGCTGATTGTTGTTGATTTTTAGTATTCACTAAGCCTTTGTTCTGATTCTTTGGGGTATCCAATTTTGGCCCATGCCGACATGTTTTGAAGCTCATAGCAGTTCATGGGCCATGCTGAAGCATGGACCTCCAAGTAGCTAAGTAGGTCAACTGAGAAGCAGTTGTCGCAGTGCACATTTGGGCACATTTGCAAGTTGGCTGCCTTCTGAAAACTCAAGGTGCACAAGGTCACATTTGGTTCCTGGAGCCACTGCATATCATGTTTGAATGCGTGTGCATGTTGCATGGTGCATGGTGCATGGACACCAGTTGCCCAGGGAAAGGTGCGCCACACCAAAGGTCAGTGTGAGGAAGCTTAGCCGTTCTCCGTAAAGTATGTGGGGTGGGATACCTGGGAGATTCTAGGAGACTATTGTGACTGCACTATTTCGCCGCACTGCCTGGAGATGTTGCTTGCGAAAATTTGCTCGTTGGACCCCTTTCAACTAGGCTATCTTGTATTCAACATCGTACAAAACACATGAGATCAGCTGACCAAGTCGGTTTGCGGGATCTTAGCAAATACCAGAGATTTGTGGTGGCTTATTTCATCTTAATTAATATATCTTGGTTCAGAGTGTTTTCATCATCGTTGTGGCATGTTGCTCCCTAACACCCAGGTGGCCGACAAACCAGCTGCTCCGAACCTGGCAGTTTCGTCTCCGGCTCCCGTGCTGCCGGGTGCTTCTGTTCCATTGCCTGCAGGTCAGATTTGCTCAGGAAGGACTGGAAACTGCAATTCTGGGATGTCCCTATAAATGGAGCACGTGGCAAAAACTAAATTGGATCTGAAAGAAAGATGATGCAATAGAATCAATAGATTCCATCCAAACGTCCAGTGGGAAACCCCTCTAGAATGTGAAATTGGAGGAGCAACCGCTGTGACATCCCCTGTGCACCCTGATGCTGGGCCAGGCACCCCAGCGACCGGAGTGAGGCAGGGGACGTGGGAGTGGTGTTGTATCGCCTGTGACTTGAAGGCCAAGCACTTTTGCCAGCTTAAGGGGGAGGCTGTATCCCTGGTTTTCTTCTCGGGCCCTCCTTTCTAAGGGGAGGATATCGAGGTGCTTGGGATGAACACATTTGCTCAGGGGTATTTGCAGATAGTGGGAGAGTTGGTTGTTATGTTCTTTCGGCTACAGCAGGCCAGCAAGCGCTTCGACTGTCCGGCGAGGGTTTGGCAGTGGTCTCAGAGAGCCTGCACCTGTTTGCCCAGGGGGTCGATTCATATGTAAGATATGTAAGCGCTGTTTGAACGGCCGATTCAAAGGTAAGCGCGGTTTCAACCCTTACGGAGGCACATGGAAGCACTATGTCTTGGCGGATTGAAACAGTTGCAGAATGTTTCGCACATTGTTTGAAGGCAAGGAAGGTATCCAGTTTATGCGCAGGTGGGAAAATTCCAGCTCTTCAGATCCATTTGTGCACTGTTTGAGGCAGTTTCTTCCGCCGGCTAGGCATTTCCGTCCCAGCCACGGGTGGACAAAGGTTTTCGGGTTTTGATTCAAAGGTCAAAGGTTTTGAAACCGAAGATCATCGAAGATCGCATGTTTTCTCCAATAAACAACAGCCATTTTGGGTGCCCATGGATGCCCCATTTTCAACGCCAGGTGGCCCAGCTTTTCTTTGTGTGATCCCGGAGGATTGGGGGGGTTGCGTTTCGGATGCATGTAGATTGTATGGTGGGTGCCTGGAAATATCTGGAAATTATAGGCTACAGAGCTGTAACACCTTGAAAAGAGAGGAATGCTCTCTTGGCACATCTTGAATAAAATTCACACAGCCCAGGCATTCCTGACAGAAGATTTCAGCATTATATCATTTTGCACTTTTGGTACAGGGATTCAGGCATGTCACGTCAACGTACTGATTAATTTGAGAAGTCAGTTGCATTTTGCAGGGGTGCTAGATTTGCTGTATATACCAGTATGCATATTAAGGGCTGTCGCCCCATTGCCACTGACCCCTGGAACAGGTCAAGCATAGTATTCTAAAGTTTTCACCTGCACAAAACGCTCTACACTTGGGCAGCTATGTGGCAGGTCGTGGCATGTGGTCGAATATCAAATATTAGCGACAGACTGTGCGGGCCTGATTATACCAAAGTGGGCCTGCATGTAAAACAAACAAGGTTGACCCTCCCGGTAGTCATATGCTTGTCTCAAAGATTAAACCATGCATGTCTCAGCATAAGCATGGCGAAACTGCGAATGGGTCACCAAAGCAGTGACAGTTTGCTTGCTTGCTTGCTTGCCTTGCCTTGCCTTGCCTTGCCTTGCTTGCTTGCTTGCCTGCCTGCTTGCTTTGCTTGCTTGCTTGCTTGCTCGCTTGCTATCTTCTACAAACCCCAAAAGATGCTACACACCTCATTTTCTGGAAGTGGATTGTCAATGTTTTGGTGGATTCATGTTCCGGAACTAAATTGTATTTGTTTTTTTTCTAGAAATGCTGGTTATTTTTTGTTTTGATTCATTCTCCAGAAAAGGGATGAAAACATGTTTGGTTTTTGGATTTTCTCGGTGAAAACATATCATTTTCTGAAAGACCCTTCCTGACGAAAAAAAAATGAAAATTGATTTCTCTAGAAAGTGGGGTGGCTCTACTCCTTTTGGATGCCAAAATTTTAGGTCGCCCCTTTTTCTAGATTGTTTTTGGTAAATATGGAAATTTTTGGGTGTGTTTTTCGACGTTCCTAGGAAAAGAGGTGCCAGCTATATAATCCTCTAAATATGTATGTGCACACATGCAAAATTGTGTATAATATAGAAATGCATATATTCATAGACTCCGTAAACTTCATAGACATGAAAATCAATACATAAAAAATATTGTGTTTATACCATGTGGGACCATGTGTAGGCGCGAATTAGGGCCGCTGATCACGCACACAGATAAAAATATTTTTAGATGCGTCCGCACACACACACACGCACTAACATTTTTACTGTATTGTTGCTGGAATGAAAGAGAAGAGAGCAACTACAGCAGCACCAGCACCAGTGCCACCACCAGTCCACCAGCAGCACCACCAACACCACCAACACCAACAACAAAAAAACAGCAAAACCAACAAAAAATAACAACAAGATCAACCGCAACCGCAGCCACAACCACTACCAACGACACATCTGGATAGAAGATATCTTATCGGCATAACTATGCAATTCGTACATGACTTACGCATGGTAAGTTCACCACAGCATATTGGGTTGACATTCTGTCCTGGCCTGGAGGATTTGCTGGTGCAGGCACAGTGTGGGGTCTTCCACACTCTTGACTTTGCCATGATGCGAGTTGAAGTTGGAGATTAGGTTGGGGTTTGATTCTTAACTGGTACCAATATTGCGATGTTAATGATGGTTAATTACCCAGACGGGTCCTTTAGTTTACCCACTATGTCTCACTAAAAGCATCATCGGGTCATACTTAGGCGACGCCTTGGTCGCTAGCACGATGGAACAGTTAATCCCAATCGCATGGATGGCAGGCTTTGTGTGGCAATTTGGTCTCCGAAAGCCTGGCATCACTGGGACAGTCCTCACGAAAGATGAAGGTCTCGAGGGATGATGGATGGGGGGATTGGACATGTCGATGCGTCCAGTGCCACATTTGTTTTACTTTTGTTTCATCATCTCCTATCGCGTTGCGCACTGAACATCGGAACTTGACAAGGTGGATCGAGCAGATGCGACGTTCTTATCTTATGTTGAAAGAGAACAAAAATGCAACCAGATGAATGTCGGCCGAAAATTTATTTACCAAACACGACTAGGCACTTGTGGTTTTGTTTTGGTACTGTACCCCAAAATCCCCTAAGCCTATCCAGCTTGGCGATTCAAGCCTATCCCACTTTCAGGTGCATGTGGTACAAACATGTACAAACCCAAACCTTGGGTCTTCATGATATGACCCCCACCACGGTGGCCCAACATCCGATCTCAGCAATCTGCAGGCCGTGGCCAAAGTCGTAGCTTTGCAGCGTTTACTGGAGCTTCATGCCACGGAGTTGCAAGAGGAAAGCTGGGAACGGATGGGATCGGGACGGGCATCTAAATTCACAGGCGAATGTATACAATAATATACAACAATATATATATATATATTATATATATATACACAATATACAATAATATACAATAATCATTTAAATTTTGAATCATTAATAATCTGCAACCATGGGAAACATCTAGAACATAGAAGTAAGAAATGCCAAGAATGGAGGCGTTTCAAACGGTGGATGTTCAGCAAGAGTATTGGTATTGCAAGGACGGAAATCTTGGTGTGTCGAAACATGGGAGACCGAAGTCCAGTATTTCAAGGTTGCATGTGGGATTTCACTACGGGGTTTTGCCAAGCTTCAGAACAGAACTTGCAGGACAATGCCGCCACGCAGCTGCGGGGACCAAAATGCCCCTTGCACCGCTTGTTCCTCCGAGAACGGACAGAATCCTGGCAGAGACAGGGAGAAGGACTCATTATTTCCAAATTTTGGAGCAAGCTGCAGGTTTTGTTTCACCTCCAGTAATCAAGCCTGGCATTGAGAATTCATGTGTAGAATTCTGATTTCATGATTTTTTGTGCGATGAGACTCTCGCGGTTCCCAGCTGGTCAGCTTAGAGAACCAGATGCGAACGGCCCAGGAGAGCTTGCTGCTGTCGACTATGGCAGTGCTGTGGCAGCCTTTGATCTTGGCGTCAGGCGTCGGGACCATTGGAAACACAACTCATTTGTGGGCGAAAATTGGTGCACCTGCGGGCTAAGGATTTTTTTTTTTTAGTCAATGTATATTGCTAATGTCATGATCATCTTAATGTCGCAATAATGTCATGATGACATTGTACGTTGTAGCTTTGTGTTTTGCAACCTTTGCAGCACTCATGATATCGAATGGCGTTTTTTTCACAAGGGGGCTGGAAGTCCACTCAAGGACAAGTACTATCAGTTACTATCCTTAAGTACTTGGATATCTTGAATATCTTGGATATCTTGGATTGTCATTGTGGCTGGTTTCATGATCGACTCATAGACCATGTTGATTCTGAAGGGATCCAGCTCCACCAGCTCCCCCAGCTCCCCCATTGAGAGGCAAACAGCAACGGCGTCTTCAGTTGTCAGGACGAGATCGGTGGGACCTGAATGGCAAGTGGGTAAACATATGGTTCTGTCCAAGAAAAGGGTAGCCATAAATCCATATTATAAATCCATATAAATCCCTGAATTAGATCTAATTACTTGATCAGTTAATCATTATTTGAATTCATGTTCCCCTTTATAGCCGGACATGTTGATTGTATACCGTATAGTCGTGGAACCTATTTTCAGCTACACTGATATCAGCCAGACTATATTCGGACACTCCGGCATAAAGATGGCTTCAAGGCTATGGGCTGCACATCTATGAACGGATGTTGGCGTGAGCAATTGTGCCTGGGTTTGTAGATCTATGCACATCTCTCCCCGTTTCAAGAGGAAATTTGACCTGAGACAGACACTCGTCAAATGTCAAGATGCTATTGGCACTGAATCCCGCTATGTCCCGCTAACTCGTGTATTCCCGTAAGAAGAGCAACTGAATGCAGTGTTTGCCCATTATTCGACAGAGAGAACTTGCGTGACGTTTCCAGGCACGGAGCAGCTGACTCAGCTGTTCGAGAGCAACAGCAGCTGCTGGGCCGAAGAGAGCTATCACTTATCAGCATGACTCATGGGACACTTCTCACACGTGTCTTAAAACACGGGATGACAGCATCGCATCAACACCGAACTTCAGTTGAGATCAAGAGCGCCATAACGGGAGCTTGCCGCATGGATGTGACAAGCGTATCCAGAGAGGGAAGGAATATTCAGAAGAGAAAGAAGTAGCAGACAAGAACTCATTGGGTCTGTTTCAATATAGGGTACCGGGTACATCCGGTACCATATTCCATCCCATGGTGGATCACCCCCATAACTTGGCGATACTTTGCGTATTTTTGTTGGGGGTCCTGTGGTCCTGAGGGAGCTCAGAGCCTTTGCTGCTGAGCCCTGAGAGTCTAGCAGTGAGAATCGCGGCTGTGTGCTGTGGCAAGGACTGGGGACCTGGGACGAGGATATGGAAGTTCACAGTTTATTGGTAAGGATGAAGCTATGGTGGTTTTGAAGGTCATGTCCAACATCCCTTCTTGATCCTTTTTTGCTTGTACGAAATCAAAGCTTCGCACAGGTCTGTCAACTGCATGTCATCTATTTGTTTCGTTTGCATTGCATTGGATATTCTGCTACTTCAATTGATTGGCACAAAAAGTGGGGCACCGTACCCCAGCTGGCCCCAGTCCACTCCAAAACTGCTCTGTTTTTGTCCACCCTGCCACCTGGGTATAGGACCACTTGTTGCTGTTAGATGCTTTCGGCCATGCCTGGGCCATGGGTGACCCCTCAGCCGCGGGAGCACCATGGCTGCAGCTACAAGGGGTCAGGGTCTATGCTGTTGAAAATTCAATAAGTTTTGATACGTTCTCCCAAATTTGGGATTTGATTTGATTGATCCAAAGTCTAAAGACAATCGGTCTTTGGGTGTACCTAAAGAATTTGGTGATAACCCTGGTGGTTCAGTCCAATGTTGCTCAAATGTTCGATTGAAATGATGTCGTTTCACATGTCCAGCAGAAGGTGTTCCAGCTTTCACATGAGCTTTTTTGGTCAACTAAGGTTGCCACCTACTCTGACGAGGCCTATCTGTCCTGTGGCCAGATGGGATGCGGTATGGGGTATACTATATACGGTATACGGTATATTATGTATGCATGGCAATTGTTTATTATATTCGAAAGTTACTTTCCCCAATCTCCCTCCAGCTCAAGAGTACGCGTCTCCCTCAAGAAAACTGGTGTTGCTTCCGATTGACCATAATTATACGGTTGGGGGTTATATATGTATACATATGTATAGACTGCCAGTCTTCTATTTTATCCCAGAATTAATCAATAATTTGATTTGTTGGAACTGCAAAGGCTGCATCGGAAAATCCATCGGTCCCGTACAGTACAGATTCACCATTCCCTCGTTGCTGGCTCAGTGCCACGTAGCTGGCTCAATGCCTCGTTGCTGGCTCAGCGCCTCGTAGCTGGCTCAATTTTTTTGAGCGAAAAAAAAACGGAAAAAAACAACGAAAAAAAATTGAGCCAGCTACATGCCCTTGAGCCAGCTCGGTATGCAGTCATCATCCCGGCCAATACATATTATTGTGTATTCGTTTTTTAGCTTTCACATTCGTTCGCCAGCTCAACGTGACGTAGCTGGCTCAATTTTTTCGAGTTTTTTTTTTCCGTTTTTTTCGGTCAAACAAATTGAGCCAGCTCGATGCCATCGAGCTAGAGCGATGTGTTTGAGCTAGCGCGTTGTTGCTGAGGTAGCTCGTTCCACTTGAGCGAGCCCGCAAATATTTCCCAATGTGTTCAATTGCCAGGTTCAGTCCCAAATGATTCGTTTAATAGAGATGGTACCCCTGTTGCAGCCCAGAAATTTAGGAGCCACGTTTTGGGCCAAATCTGCTTAGACAGCGGCACAACATTAAAGTCAAACACATGACCCCTTCTGAAATTGAGCCAGCTACATGTTTTGAGCTAACTCGAAAATGAGGAAGATTTTGGATTGCTACATTCAATATATACAACATACATAGTCAGTCTTACAGAATATATATATATACATACACAAGTCCTTTGAACTTCGCATAGCTGGAACATTCACCGTTTGGTTCGATGCCTTTCATGATTGCGGATGACTTTGAACAAATGTCGATCGATTTTCGGAGTTAATCCCACCAAAGGGCTGCTAGAATCTGAAGCAATGCGATGGCCTCTGAGAGACCAATTTGGAATGTTTTTTTGATGTTTTTTGGGGGTTAGTTTTTTTTTGGAATGAACCCCTATTTCAATCCAATTATATTAGCATCCCTATTCATGTCTATTTTAAGATGGGTTGAATAGTAAGAATGACGGTTGGGGTATTCCTCGTTTATATAATCAGGTTCGATTCGTACAATGAAACCGCTTGAATTCCAATGATTGTTGCCCAAAGTAAATCAGGTGAATCCCCATTTTTTAGAATTGTTTCTGGTTAAGTCCTCCCTTGAAGGTTCCTAAAGGAGAGTTACACCCAAATCATCCAAGTCATTAGACCATGACTTAGTATTCGTGAAAAAACCATGGTGGCTTGGGGATCCCCTTGGGGACCATGACCTCAGAAACACATGCCCACTGAAAATTTGACATAGCTATTGAAAATGGCCATGTCATGTATCGTTGATTTTCATTTTGAACATGGTGATTTTCCATAGTTATGTTAGTTTGCCAGAGGGATCCAGATGGTATATTCACTAACATCCCTGTTTTTTGTTGATTATATAAACCATATTAAACCCCTATAATCACCATTAAATCCTAGTTGAATTGCTGGTATCTTTACCTCACCAGGAGTCTCGGAGTCCCAGATTGCTTCCGAAGCCCCCACTGACGCGGCCCACGCCCTTGCACGTGATGTGGGGAGCTGCTTGGCAGCGATACCCATTGGGGCAGTGGAAAAGTCACCAAGCAACGAAAATCACCAAGCCATCAGACATGAATCAAAAATCAATCAAGCACCATCAAACACCAAACAAAAGTAAATTAAATTCAAAGAACCATAGACGCACAATAACAAAGGAGCAATCAACAGTCAACAATCAGCACACAAATATATTAATATATCCAACAACCAGCAGCAGGCATCAACAAGCAACGCTGACCAATCAAGCAACGACTCAGACTTGCAAGGTTGGCCATGAAAACACCGAAGTAGCATGGATCGGCACTGGTCTTCTGCAATCAAGCAGAAAATGGGATAAACACATGCATATTACATATATATATAATATATTCAACAGAAACGACATTATCAATTACATATACATATATATAAATACCAAACATTGGCAACTCAGCCACGAACCACATCCAGGATGCAAACAGTTCCACTTCACCCAACATGTCATGTTGGTGTTGTGCCAAGGTTCACCTCGCGAAGGCGATGGGAAAGGGGTCCAGTCCGCTTGGGGCAGTGGGAAATGGGATGGAATGAGGTCCGCTTCTGATAGTACTGAGATGGGTAAGGCTCCAAAGTGCTGAATCCCAAGTAACCCCAAGTATATATATATATGTATATACATATATATATACATCACATATCCCAAACATATATGGATCTTCCACTGAATCTGGACAAGTTTCAAACTGATCGAACCGAGCCAAGATAGGGAGCGGTTCAGGTCTCCTGTGGCAATGGGCACAACATCGCCATGAGCCGCGAGGGTGACATCTATGTTTGGGGTCGAGCACTTGACCAGGAGCCAACAAGAAATGCTGCTGGCTTCCCAGCCGAAGAATATGAAAAATGGGGATTGAAGCAACAAAGATGTGGATCATGGGGGTGTTCCCAAAATTTCTGGGATTCCCCAAACCCAAGATGGTTTTCAATTTTCAACCCAGACAAGTTTGGTGGATTGGTGGCGGAAAAACCATGTTTGTTGATCTGTCTGATCTGTCAGCAGGTCAGCAGAACTTTTGGCTTCGGAATGGCAATGCAGAAGTCGCAAAATCGAACAACACACCAGTAACTCTGGGAATTGGCTGAACTCAAACTGTTGTGTCAACTTTGATTTTGATCCATGCCACGTCTCTCAGGTTTTTGTGTGGGACCATTAAGCCTTTCCCCCCAGGCTTTCCCACAAAACTCACCAGGATACTTCCCAGACCTTGTACCGGCGACCCTGCAAGGTGCCGGTGGGGCTGAACTCTTTGGAAGTCTTTGAAGCGAACTCCGTCCAAATGGTAAAACAACAAAATTGAACCAACATCCTGTTGACTGGTGGATCTGGTGGTGACTTACTATCTGACTATCTGAAACTGCAGGTCTAGCTGGTTGAGGCTTTATGCAAAGTCCGGATGTCATGTGGAGGTGGTTCCATGAATCCCACCTTATCCTACAAGGATGGACAATGATTCTAAATGCTGCTCTAATCCCAATCAACCATCTCAATCAACTCTTAGTTCTCCCTGAGTTATGATAGTTATGGCTGGTTACAACATGTTACAGCTGCATCTGTACCTGGGGTCTATCCTTGGAGCCCCGGGTGAATCCTCCAAACAGGTCACCTTCGCGGTGTTGGCCTGCGATGTGGCAGCGGGGGATAGCCACGTGGCGGCCGTCTGCTGGACTGGTGCAGTGTCGCTCGGAGGCGGTTGCAGCCGTCAGCGGTAGACATGTGAGAGATTGTCAGATACATTGCTATGTGACATATGTGTGATATTGTGTGATAGATTCTAGATATAGATATCCATGGGCGCATACTTTTTGGTGATCCGTTTCGTGCAATGCTTTCCTGTCTGCGCAAAAATCATGGTCTAGATATATAATGTTTTTGTTGCTCTCCTTCGTGGAAAGAGTCGTGCTTTTTGGCGCTTTCCTTCGTGCAGCATATCCTGCATATTAGTGTTGTCCTTTGTGCAAAATATCGTGGCCTAGATCGTGGTCACTGTTGCAGCCATTAAGGTTAGATTCAATATATAGAGTAGATTTCACGATATAGAACCAAGTTGTGGCCATTCTGTGCAGGCTGGGCCACTGTGATTTCCTGCGACAAGGTTGCGACCAACCCTTCACAGTCATACTTTTTTTCAGTTTTTGGCATTCAACTTTCATTTCGCACGAACTGAGCTGCAACCTTCGCTTCAAAATTGCAAATTTACCGCGGTTTTTGAATGTTTTCGATATTCCGCATTTCGCGCTTTACCTCAGGTTCTGAGATCCGACGCTTTGCAAAATCGCAATTTTACAGCAATTATTTTGACACTCGACCTCTCGTGTCCCGCGAAGAGACAGAGAGAGAGAGAGAGCATATGCAATATGCGCAGGTGTAAAATGTGAAGGTGTAAGCTGCGCGGATGTGCAGGTGTACGATGTGCAGATGCAAAATGTGAAGATGTAAGCTGTGCAAATGTGCAGATATATGATGGGGCAATGTAAAATGTTCAAACAAAAGGTGTGCAGATGCAAGATGTGCAGATGTAAAATATGAAGAGGTGAGATGTGCAGATGGAAGATAGTGCAGAACGTGAAGGTGTAAGATGTGAAAATGTGTACAATGAAAATCCCTATCCACCCCATGTTTTTCAGAAACCTTCGCTCAGATGCTCTCGGGCATAAACCGTAGATTGGATTTGACGCAGTATTGTTCTATGCGTGTACAAAGTCGAGAATCCGGGATATACCGTGGTACGAATTTATTAGAATGTCCCGGTGCAATTTGTCAAGCAAACCCACCGTGGGAATATCATACAAGAACCAAGGTACCTTTGGGGTGAGAATCACCATGGCCAGTGCGCCCGTGATCCCCAAGGCTGGGTGGAAGCGATCACACCATGGCGTCGTTTTTAAAGGCATCCCTTGATTGCAGATCTCTACCATTCACGCGCCTCGTTCCAAAAACAGGATCATCTTAGGAAATTTCGGTAATCTGGGGTGATTTGAAACATGTCAACGTTGATTTGATCTTTGCAATGATTGGATATGTTTGGGACCACGTTTTACAAAACGTACGCATCGCAACCCGTGGCAGGTGGTGGCACCTCGGCCCAGGACCTTCTGGGGCTGCAACATTGTGAGTGATTCTCCCAGATTTGGTTTCAGGCAAAATCTACTGAACACCAGGAGATGGTAACAGCCATGGTTTCCTTTTGTTTGCCAAATAAAAGTGACATTTCTTGGTTTCCCCCCAAAGCAACAACTGCAGCTGGGACAGGAGCACCTGGTGCGGGCTCCAGCGCGTGCTCTTGGCGAACTTCAAGCAGTTCAGGGTTGGCGAGTAGCATGTGGCAGGCGTTGGTGGGTCTAATTGGTGAGTCGTTTGTTAACCATCCAGCTTTATCGAATCAATACCCAATGACTTGACCCATACGTATGTAGAACTAACATGAACTAACTTGCCAAAGAGATAAGAGTATACAGACACATCCAAAACATCCCAAAACAATGGGGATTTGGCAGACCAATCTCCATGAAATCATTCGTAGTTTTGAATGGAATCGAGTGACATGGGGTCGCCAAGACCTAGATCAAACTGGGACCACTACGAAAAGTGATTTCCAGCACTTCCACTTTGTTCTTTTTTTTACCTTAGTTTTTTTGCAAATTTTCATCGCGTTTTCATGGGATACTTGGCATCACTTTGCTAGTTTTGGCTGCTACTGTTGATAGGATCTGCGAAGGCTGATGTGAAATTGGAATGCTTATGGGAAAGAAACCGGAATGCAAGAAACGTGGGATAAGGAAGAGTTCTTTCTCTGCAAGTTTGCCAGCGCAGCCGTCAGGTATCACACTGCCGTGCTCAGCAGCAGTGGTATGGGACCTTAGTTTGGTTCAAACTCCGGTAGTTTTGACATTGAATACACCTCCTTTGTCTTGGTCTTTGGTTTCACCTTGCGATTGGTGGGATCTGAAGGGGCAAACTTTTAGTGGATCAAGTGCATCATTGACAATCATGGCACGGAGCGCGACATGTCTAGCTGATAGTCTTGCTGCAAGAAAGGCAAGACCAACAACACGTTTCCAGACATCCACTGCCGAAATGCGTACCTTACTCTCTCGCACACCAGCCTCGCTGGCTGGTAGAACCCCAACAGTAGATGATGTTCACATGATGTTCACAAAGTAAAAATGTCAAAAATATGTTCTTCTTCCATCCAATGAATCCAATCTTGTGGGTTTTTACCATGTTTTTACCGGAGTTTGTTTTCAGTTCAGGCCCCAAAGATCATCAAAGATCCCAAGAGGTCATGGCTTCACCTTTGGGGATGGCCTCTCCGGGCAGTTGGGACGGCGACCGGAAGCCCGGGAAGGCGACGCTCCGTCCTGGTGACTCAGTGGGCGACGACTGAAGCTGTTGGATGTTGAAATGCCCCGGGAAGGTTTCTGCCATTTTCTGCCCATTTGACTTTGAAATACTTTGAAGTATCTGGAAAAAGTCAAAAACCTGCCACTGTTTGGGGCCAGAATTTTGAGCCATGCGCTTGAAAAAAAAGGCATGGGCCTTCCAAAGTGACGTTGATCAGGCTGGCGGCCGACTCAAGTGATCTTCCCCAACGACTTGCCAAGCAGTTTGTTGGTTCAGGCGATTGGGGTCAGCACAGGTCAGCAAGACTTAGCAGGTGAGGGACCCTTAAAATCCCTTGGCAAATCAATGGGCAAAGGTGGTTTTAATTTAAACTTGTTTGGCAATGGTCCATGGGATATTCATCAACGATCAAGGCATGATCACCCAAATACTAGGTCAAAACATGTGTCGAAAGTACGCAGATCCTGGTATGTTGTCACATCGAAGGTACGTCCAAGAATTGACCTGGAATCCATAATTTATGACTTTCCAAAGGGATATGACTAAACAAAATGCTGCACGCACAAATGGGGTTGCTTAAAAAAATGGAATCCAACATCCCATGGTTTCTCATCATTTGCGCTATTACAATGGTCATTGGGTGCAAATCCCGAATTCTTACAGATTCACATGATTGAACACCCCATTTCGCAAAAAGAACACAAAACTGAAATTTGACTTCAAGATCTTGAAGTTCTAGCCTACTAGCTTTCCTATGTTTTCCCACCAGCTATTTCTGGGTTCAGGTGGCTTGCGGGGACGACCATACGGTATGTCTCACCGAGTTGGGACAGATCTTGGCCTTCGGAGGAGGCCATTGGCGAGCTGGGGAAGGTCAGAAGATTCACCATCTGTAGAATTCTAAAGATAGGAACGCTTAAAGGAACGTTACCAATTTTGGTTGAATTATGTTGAATTGAAACAGTCTTTTTTCAATCTGAGCTGGATTCACTGCCTCAGGTGAGCAAGGGCAACTTTGCTTGGGAGGTGCCCTGGTGGTGGATCTGGCTATTCAAGTTGGGAATCCCTAAAGCCCATGAGATTTACAACTGAACTACACTTTGGTAATTTGACATAGCTATGGACATTGGCTTATTTAGTTCGATGATTTACCATGATTTACCTATAACATCCTATAACAATGATGATTTTCCATAGTTACGTTGGATTTCCGGAAGGTTCTTTACACAATAAACAGAAGTGAGCGATTCTCAATTTCGCCAGGCTGTCGCAGTCACCGCAGCCCAGTGCTGGTGCGGCAGATCACTGCTGTGCGGGAGGCTGGGTCGAATGGGAAAATCATGAAGGTCAAATTAATATCGGAACAAATCACATACAAATCACATAAGGAATTTGATGTTTCATCATTGCTAAGTTTATTTACCAGAGGGTCAAGCCATCCCTGCAGATGGCTTGAGGGGAACCCAACAAAAATTACTTGCAGGTGGTTGCTGGTGGGCATTGGACACTGCTGCGATGTGGTGATGGCAAGGCCCAGCAGTTTTTCTTGCGGGCGATAATCAGACGGTCACGTTCCTCTGCAGAGTCCTGTGTGGTTTAGGTTCAGGGGTGACTCGCATCATTATCATCCATTGTCATCCATCGTCATCCATTGTCATCCATTGTCATCCATTGTCATGATTCTATTTATTTCACCTGGAACTTCTAGATACTTCTAGTATTGACTGTTTGCCGCTCTTGTTTTTTGCGTCTTTTGGATCAATTGCAGCAAGATGATCATTGCTCACGCGAGTTAATTCGATTGCCCTCGAGTACTTCTTCCCGTTTGTTGCGGGATCATCCTTGTGACACCCCAAATTGAAAAGTCCGGTCATCGTCGTCATCGTAAGAATTTTTACGAAATGGTAGATATGACATAATATACACCACAAGGCTGTTTGCATCGAAACATGTATTCTATATTATTATATACGATGCTATTTAGCTATTTCATGAAATCATAGGGTTAACATGCACATTACTTATATGCACATACATGAATTATATTAATTTATTTTATATTCCACAAGGCGCAGGCAGAACATACCTCGATATACCTGTAATCGGAGCTGCTCAGCAATCCGTACTTTGCATCAGCTCCTGCACAGGTTTTCCTAGCAGGTCGACCAGGCCTCCGAGAAGGCAAGATTTTGGAGTTCTAACAGTTTTGATGTGGAGGAAATCATTATTTTCTTTCTTGTTGATAGATGGATAATGATGGATAGATGTTTCATGATGGTTCAGTATGATTCAGGGAATATTCGGCAATTCAAAGTTCAAGCACATGTTTTTTCTTTGTGAAAGCAAAACATATTCAAAGCTCAAATTCTTGGTACATTGATTTGTGGGTCCGGTCCCTGGTAAATGGCTCACAAACGGTGAGCATTGCGGCGGTTCCTGAGTGCCGCGCGAGGTCGTTCTGAGGACGAAGAGGTGCCCTGTGCATCACCCTTTATCCATCTTTGCATCATGTCATATCATGTCATGTCATGTCATGTCATGTTTTGTCATGTCATGCATATCGTGTCATATCGCGTCGTCTCATCTTATCTTCTCTTCTCTTCTAGTTTTAATTCTGATTATATTCTATTGAACAATTTTACATCAGATGATCATGGTGTTTGTTTTTTATTTTAGATAATTATTATTATAGATTGTATACACGCTGAACTTCTGTTGGTTGCAGGCCAGCCTGGTGACAGATCACCGTCTAATGAGGCGCCGGGCGGATGGGAGGAAAATGGATGATGTTTGAAGGACGTCATCAAGATCATTCTAATCATCTGCATCAGCTGTCACTCATCACCCATCGACCACAGATCATGAACAACGACACTGCCGCACCACACCCACAACCACCATGATCACCACCACGAGCACCACCACCATAGCCAGAAGCATCATCATGACCATCATGAGTTGGCACTGTCAGTACTGAATGCCGACACCACTGACCGCTGGCCAGGCAGATCATTGACCCGTGGGCAATGTAATTGCTAAGCGCTTTTGCTCGCCTCGCGCTTGTTTTGGAGAGTCCAAAGTTGATGATGGAAATGTATTGCGGAGCTTCAGTTGCATCAGCGTGTGAAAAAACAGCAGTTGTTGACAGACGTAGAACCTGTAGACATGGCTGGGGAAGGAATAAAAGGCATCCTTCCTCGATGAATAGGTGCTGATCTGCAATGCTGTTTGCTTGAACATTTGACCCTTTTCCAAAGGTTGCTGTAAGAGAGTCTGTTTCACCTCTATGCTAGACAGCTGTTGAAAACAAACAGCTGGAATGATGGCAAAGTATCATCATCCATGAAAATGATCGACATAATTTTGCTACTGTCACTAGAGCGGAACCAAACATCTCGGAAACATTTAGTAGTAGTGGGAATGTGAAAACGGTTTCACTCTGGACAAGGTTTTGGTGAGGGCAAGTGCAAGCACGACCAAACAGAACGTGGTAATTAACATGGAAATTTGTCTTGGAAGAGCTCTGCCCAGTGTGCGCCCATCCCGCACGCACCGAAAGCACCCCCGAAACAATCAAGACCAAACAGAGAAAAACATCCAAACAGATAAAGACAACAATGATCACATCAAGGTCAATAAGTCGATTATATAGACAAATATAATATACCGGCTAAAGCTGCTTTCCAAGCAAAATGGAGGTACTAAGAGTCCAGAAAAGGTAAATGAAAAGTTAAGTGGAGGAAAAGTAGCGACAGGACTTTTTCTCGACTTCCCCTTCTCCTAGAGCGTCCTATCCTTGAAGCTTCCGCCACCGCCTTGTGCGGTACTACTGGTAACTCACCACGGAAGTTCCGGTTGGGTAGGGGTCTTTTGTCTTTCCCAATGTGACTAGGAGGAAATCTCACTGGACATGGTGGTTGGTGATCAATCCCTGTAAAGGTGATGCAAAAGGATGATTGGGGCATGGGTCTATGCCTATGCAACTATTGAAGTTGGATGAAGTTGGGGGTTGAATGTCATTGAATATCCATGCGCCAGCTTTCTTACCTATTGGAGCATCTTGGTGCATGACGAAGATATATGCAGATTTCATATCATTTTGGTTGGTTAAATGAGCTACATCTCCATTTCAGACGGGTAAATGAGCCCCATTTGTTGGTTGCTGACTGTCATATTTGCCTGTGCAGCTTGGCTCGAGCCACACAAAAACCCAGACAAAATTGGGGCATTCCATGAGAAGACATGATATCCTGAAAGAACAACATGACATGTCAGAATCCCCGCATGGTGAGGTGTGCGGGGTTACATGCCACAACCAGTCCTTAAGCGGTTCCACCAACTGTTGGGACGGTGAACCTGAAGATCACAGTCAGTTCGCAGAATGCACTGCATGCAGCAGGGCTCAGTTTCCAGTCGCGGCGTCATGTAATGTCCACGGGTCTTAGCAACTTGAACTCTTGCGGCTTCACGCCACTGGCTGGCTAAACCCAGCAACATGGATGTAGTTCCTGCAAGGGCACCCCAGCGGAGATCCTGAAGCGATTTAGGTGATTCAATGCTGTGAAGGTGTGGAATGGAATGATGACTTAATGAGCAGATACTACCCTCTGGTAAATTAACATAGACCCTGAAAATCACCAATTTATAGTGGAAACTAGTCTTCCAACCTCTATCTGCCAGGGTCTATGTTAATATACCAGAGGGTATTGAAGTATTTTTTCGCACATCACTATGATCCCTGCCAGTCTTTACCTACAAGCCTCTTTCGCTTGTGATTTATCCTCCACTGTAACTGTGAGTTTTAGCTGCCGAGGCTGGAGAGTCGGTGTCGCAAGACATTCCCATGCTGGTGGGGTGCTCAGCGACCACCGGGCTAGGAGAATGGTCGGAGCCTGTGGGTTACGACAAGATAATGTGGCAGGATGGAAGTTTTTCTCTCCAGCTCTGGTTGAATCTGATTTCACCCCAGTTTTATCCTGTTTTGCTGATTGCATCCCCATGAATTCTTGGTCAATCTTCCCATTTTTTTGGATGTCGACCTTTCCTCCCTCGAATCTTGCCCCACAACAAAGCCGACCCAAACCATTCGCCGCCCAGCGCATCCTGTTGGCCTGTGCTGTGATCCTTCTGGAAGCCGCGGTTGCCAGGATGTTGGAGTTTGGAATCCCAGGGACGGAAGCAACAAGATATGGGGCATATGGGTTCTGAAAAAATGTGGGACCCTGATTTTTTCATCATAGTTCTTGATAATCTTCATGGGGAAAGCAATGATGCTAAAAGATCTAAAAGGGTTGCCCCATTTTTTTTGAAAGCACCATGTAGTCTATGTAGACCAGAAACGGTGCTGGTCAACAATGATCAGGTATATATATATATGTGTACGTACATATATGAATGAATGTATATACTTCCTGATTCTATTATTATATATAGAGGGGGTTTCACTCTGGGGTTTGAATGGCTTCGCCAGAAACTGTGAGTCCTTACCCCCAATGTTGGCTGAGGTTGGGAAATGCTGACCAACTCTTGATCTCAGGAGTTGGGGGTCCCCAATAGCTGGGCGATTTCCATTCAAGGGGTGTCGAAGGGATCGATATCACATGATGCTGACAGGGTCTCCAGAAAGATTTTTAAGTAGAAAAGTGAATCGCTATGATGGGTGATGGTGTTTTTGTTTGAATCTTATTTGTTGGGACCCTTGTTTTGGTATATATAGATGAAATTAGATGAACAACAACAACAATCACATCTAAATGGGAACATTCACGAACAAAAAGTGGGTCATATCATATGGGGTTCTCAAGTCACAGGTAAGGTTACACAGTTGCCATAAACTGGAGATGTTCACCAGAAACACGTGAACCTTGATTGAATTTGTCTCCAACTTTGGGGACTTTTGAAACATCACCGGCATAGCCTTAGCTGATGTTGGGTCACTTTAGATTCTGAGACCTCATCGAGGTTAGATGCTTTGTGCAGCTCTCATGTGCGAGTGCCAAGTGGTAGCAGGGGTAAATTGAAGAGTGTCCCCCGTTTTTTCCTCCCCTTAACTTCCATCTCCAAAGAATCCAAAGCTTTGTAGATTTGGCCATTCCCAAGTTTTTGGCAGCAGACATCGCAATTATACAGATGCCTCTTCCTCAGCATGCAAACATCAAAGCCATCCGAGGTTTGGGCTTCATTTTGGCACCCATCTTTGCGACCAACAGCCCCACTTTGGTCATGGCCTACGTCTTTGGCTTTATGGTCCTGGTTTCTGCATACGAAGCAGCAGCACGACCTAAGGCGGGACGTGATGAAGTTGGGACAGTAAAGTAAGGGTGATCAGAAAGGCAGGCCATATTGCTTGGATATCTCTTTTTTGGTGGTTCACATCTCATGCTTGCTGACATCTTATCACTTGTATACCTTGTATAACTTAAATATGTAACTTGTATAACTAACTTGCAATTGCAATGGCAGTCAATGATACACATGAAAGCTACAACATCTTATTTCCTGGCCATGTTTGTTTTTGATGTTTTGAAATGTTTTGTCTGAAAATAAGGCAAACCATGTTAAACAAGAATCCAGTGGCTGATCATCATTTCATCACTCAAGTATTTGCAATTTGGGGAATCTTTGGGATAGATGTACCCCCCATAGATTTTCTTGCCCGTTTCAGGTGACCTATCCTGGCATGTTCTCCAAGGCGATCATCAGCATCGGCTGCTCGACGGAAGAAGTCAGACACGGGTATATATATACATGTATATATGTATCATGTGCATATATATATATATATACATAAGTCATAAGGCCTTGTTTGCTGCCTTTTGCTTTTATCCGCTTGATATTGTTTGATGTTTTTTTCTTGTGCGAGGCTCAGAAATCTCAGCTTATGGGGCCTTTGAATGCAAAACCAAGGCATTTTCATTGCTTGTGAGCGGTCTGCTCTTGCTGTACATCGTTCAACCAGCTGGAGCCCTGGGTGGGTGCAGAGGTTCACTTGATTGCAGAAAAACAACTTGGTGAAGGAGCGGCTAACCCTAGGAAAAAAGGGCTCAGAGATTCCCACCTGCTTCGCATTTCTTATGTATATTCTTCTTGTGCCTTCCTGCTGAACATCTCTGTTGCCCGAGGATCCATGGTATGATGCGCAGTATGTGATTCCTTTGGCGGCGCGGAAGCTTGTTTTGTGCATGCCATTAGTTGCCCATATGCAAATTGACGACACTTAACCGGACAATTCTTGCGATGCATGATTTGAATATATTTGAACCATTTTAGATGACGACACGACACCTTAGGGCATGCTGATCAACAACTCGTTGTCGGGGGTGGCCTTGGCATTAAATGCCATGATTGACCACCTCTATAACCACAAGGAGCAGGCGCCAGGGAGGGCATCTAAACTTCCGTACTTCCGTTCCAAAACTCAGCACATTGGCTTTGGGATCCAACCCTTTTATGGATGTGTCACAAGATAGGAGACTATGAGAGATTCCATTTTGCATCGGCTTTCTGGTAGCTAGTAGGGAAGACCAACGTTCTTTTGCACAACCATCTCGCTTTTGATATCTTTTGACCGATTTTGCAACTGAGCAACTGTGCAGCTAGTGCTTGATTTCCCATCATCCGTATTTTGGGTGTATTCAATGTATTCATATGATATCATAGTATTATCATAGTCCTCTAAAATCATATAAAGCCAGCAGAACATGTAAGTGACCTTCAACAGCCGGTATCTTGGAGGTGGAAGTGTTGTTGGCCTTTGGCGCCAGCCCTTGGGAAGCGGCCTGGCCGGGATTCGTGCGGAGCCTGGTAACCTGCTTGCGGCCGTGAGTTCTTTGCTGCGGTGGTTCTTTGGAAGAGAGGATATAAGAGGATAAACGGATGATGTTTTCATGATTTTGATGAATTTGGAGCGGTCTCAATGGGGCAGTTCCCAAGCTTAGACTAAGGATCATCCCAAATTTTAGGTACCACATTTGCAGCTCTGTCTAGTTTAGAGATGTTTAGAGTACCTTTTTTGGCCACCTTGCAGCACTTCCGCCGCATTTGGCCCACAGCTTGCAGAAATTTCTGCTCCGTCATTTGATTTCTTCCGCAACTCGCGGCTTATGGAGGCGGGGGGAATTTGAGCTGAAGGCACATGTTGAAATCCAGCACTGTGTGGCATGTCATTTATAGTCCACCAATTCGAACATGGTTGAAATTTAAAGCATGGTATATCATGGCTGAAATCATTGACATCCCAGCAATTTCTGATGTATTTTGTGTTGTATTACGTGGTGTAGTATATAATCAGACCTGCAGGCAGTGCGCCCCATGGCTGGTTGGAGGAGCGGCCTACGTATCTTGAGGCCCGTGATCCCACAGCGCCAACCAAGTTTTGGGATGCGACCTGTGTAGCTTTGATAACGTTTCACCAGCTCTTCCAGCCAGCTATCCTTTCGGCATTTTCGGCCACCTCTCCGCCTCATGAAGACGAGCCTATTAGGCTAATAGGGGCCTATAGTAACTATAGTAGCTTATCTGTGCTTATCTATGCTTATCTGTTTATTCTGGTATGTCCTGGTATATTGTGCTTCCAGCTGAAAAAAAAATGTCTTGAATTGCTGAGGCCCTGCCAGGCAGTGTTGGGTATCATCCTGCCACTTGGACTTGTCACAGGATGTCGCTATGTGTAAAAATTAAACAGCCTGCCATATGAAAAAAAATGTCATGCTGTACTGTATAGGTGTATATCACCTCATATATATATATAATATATATATATACACTCATACACACTATATATAGAATATATACTATATGTAAATATGTATATATATATGTGCATATATGCTTCGATGTGATGTACGCGCATGTGCACCGCCAAAGAGCAGCATCTTCAGATCAGACAGTGTGATTTTCAGGCAAGGTCCGTCCTCAGAAGCCTTTCGTGCGTCTCCTGTGGGTTTGTTGTATGATTTTGTATACCGGAATTGAAGGGACACACCATTTGTTTGAAATGAAGACAAGCCTGCATGATTTTAGATGTTTCTAGCTATTGAAGCCATGCTTAAACTGACAGGACAAAGGATCTACCGACTCTACCAGGTGGATTTTTTATTTTGCTAGTGCCAAAGCACACTCCTTGCTGTTTCTATGCCCATCATTGCCCATCATTGCCCATCATTGCCCATCTATGCCCAGCGTACCATATTCCTTAATAAAACACAACATCCTTATTTTAGTGGTCTCATTCCCAATTTTTGGCTGCTTTCCTACAAGTCAACCCGATTTGATCAATTTGTGTTTTGCCTCAAAGTTATTTACTCCACATTGGCATGTTTAAATATGTGAAATACGAAAGTCATTCAGAATACGGGGGTCAATACTCAATACTGACATATATATACTGACCACAACTGCGATGATTGGTTCACTGTTCAACATAAATTACAACCCATGAGTGGGTCCATTTTGGCTGCAGGCTCTGGCGCACAGCGCCCACCTTCACCACCGGAAGCAGCACCTTGGCTCCCGCCCGCACGCTGCAGCGGGCGGCTGAATCTTCGGCGTCTTCGGGCGCCAGCGCCACGTTCAAACCTCCGGGGATGGACGGGTGGCAAGTCAAGGCGCCAGGGGTTGGAGCTGGAGATGGTTGGGATATGCTAGGATTGGGAGAGTCATTAGTTTGGAATTGGCCTTGATATGCCTTGATTCCCTTTCCCAGCTTGGCGGTACATTTTTCCCCAGTGTCCACACTGAGGGGTTCTTACGGTAGGGGTTAAGGCTGGGGTTAGATCAGGGTGAGCTCTCTGCCCCGCGACATTTTTAGTGCAAATTCTCGCATAAATGGCTCTTGTCACATGTCCATGTGCGTTTCGACTGCGCAGGCTCGCACAAAACGTAGGCCTGACTTCCCGGGCGCGGCATGTTTCCTTTAAATTCTCGCGTTAAATGGCTCTTGTGACATGTCCATGTGCGTTTCGACCGCAGGCTCGCACAAAACGTAGGCCTAAGTTCCGGGGCGCCCCGCATAAAATGCGTCTTGTGACATTTCCATGCGCGTTTCGATTGCGCAGGCTCGCGCAAAACGTAGGCCTAAATTACAAGACGCGGCATTTTTCTTGCAAATTCTCACATAAAATGGCTTTCGTTATATGTCCATGTGCATTTCGATTGCGCAGGCTCGCACGAAGTCTGCGCCATGGGGTTCTCAAGCTCTTGGTCTGCGGCATTTTCATTGTAAATTCTCACGTCGGGCTCTTGTGGAGATCCTGCTACATTTCTCTTGAGAGGTCCTTTCGTGATCCCGCACATGTCCTTCACAGAAGATCTTGTAGAGATCCTGGTAAGATCCTCTGTAAGAGGTCCTTGCATAAAGATCTTGCAGATGCCATGTCTTACAGGTGCTTGTATGAAAGCTATTGTGGGAGGCTCTTGGGAGGCTCTTGTATCAAGATCTTGTAAGATCCACTCCAGCAGCAGCAGGTCCTTTGATACGATCTTGTTAGCGTCTCTTTAAGGGGTCCTGGATGGTCCTGGCATGCAGAGCTTGGTCAAGGTCTTTTACACGTCCTTGTGAGAAGCTCTTGTGGTTGTACAGGTCCTTTTGAGAAGCTGTTGAAGAGGTTCCGATCCTCTAGGTGTCTTTACATGATCTCGTACAGGTCCTCGTGCGAAGATCCTGTGGAGATCGTGTTAACACCCTCCTCAAGAGGTTCTTACATTAAAGATCTTGAAGATCCTCTGAGTTGGTTCTTAAGTGAAAGTTCTTCTTCTTGGATGCTCATAGGAAGTTCTTGTATGAAGATCTTGTGAGCTCCTCTGTCTAAATATATCTATATAGAAGGTCCTGCTGCTGCAGTTGCGATCATGTCTAGCCCCATCTGTTGCTGTTCCATACATACTGTTGCTTGTATCTGGTACACTGGCTTCCTGCCCCCCACACTGTTTGGGTTCTCTTGCCGCGTAATGTGTTGTTTGCCAAGAGGGTTGAGCAGACATCAATGAAGTGGGACCATCGAAATGGGTGCATGAACCTTCATAATCTAAAACTATTTCGGCATATTTCGGTGCAAATTGCACCATACACTTGCGCCCAGACATGCATGGGATGTACTGCCATCTACGTTACAATCCAAAGGCATGTGTGCGGTATAATATGGTCAATCACCTACAAGACCCTGCAAGCACAGGGATTTGGAGCATCCCTCAGTGCTTTCGCTCGCCACATCCGCCCTGGAACAGGTAGCGCATGCAGTGGATGTGCTACATGATGACGTCACTGGACCGCAGTGGCATAGTAAAGGCGACAGAAGCAGATCATGTCGTTTTGCTCCCAATTTTCTAGTCGCTTCGCGACGGCCCGCGCCCTGACTACACGGGGTCAGGGACGGTTTTTCGAAGTTGAGGAGTATAGTAGCTGGGGATGCGGGGTGAACAGCACGGGCCTAGTTGGCCAAACTGGCCTTAAGTTAGGCCGAACACCCTTGTATATCCCTCCTTGACCGCGTACCCTACATGTGAAACCAGCATCTTGGCACCCAGCAACATTACTGAAAGATGCAACCTGTGGCAACTCAACGCGCTCTTTGCCTATTATCGTTCTTGGCAAAGTGTACAGAAAACATGTTCACAATCAACAAGCACAAGTCCACATTCATGATATGCCCAGGTTCAGCATCCCAGAGAGGTCAGGGGGCCGCAGCTATGGTTGCCAAGATGATGAAAATTCGACCTGTAATCCGTTTGCCGTCCAGAAAAGTTTCATAAGAATAGATCAAGCTTCTCGACCTATTTCCTAGATGCTCATAATTCAGTTATATAAGGTTCCTCAATTCGTCGTGTGCAAGGCTTTGTTTCCCAGGTCTGAACAGAGAGTTACGATGTTTGGGGAGCGACGCGCATTTGCCTATTGGTTTCAGTAGGTTGTCACAGTCCCAACCTGGGCCAAAGTTCTCCAACTTGGGGCCAAGTTTGCGCCCTGTTGGACCCAAGTTGGGAGCCAAGTGGGCCGAAGTTGGGTCCAGTTTGGGCCTGTTGGCAAAAGTTGATTCTAAGTTGAGCCCGCGTTGCGGACATGTTCTACCGACAGCAAAAATGCGCAAATTACTACCACCTCGTGCGCCTTTTGGTGGCCTGCTCCAGCTGAAGCTGTGCCATGATTAGTTGACTCATTCGTCGAGTCAACCACTAGATGACCATGCTTTGGCACCTTTGGTGCGGGCGGATGTTTTTGCATTAACACATTGAATGTTTCCAGCGCAAGTGTGCGGCCTTTGGGTGAAGCTCTGAAGGACATGTTGAAACCATAGGCTGATCCCCCACATTCATCCAAGTTGTGCAATGGAGAATCACAGCAGTTTTGGGGTCTCCGATTTCAGGAAAACCCCGAAGCTGAGGTGCCCGAGATGTTTTTGAGCTACGGTGGTATGGGCGGCCACATGCCAGACTTTTCCATCTACAGCTGCTGGGCCCGTTGTCCTTGGGGAAGATTTTGTGGGTGAAGGGACATTCTGTGAAAAGGGTTCAACCCCGGATGGCAAAGCTATTGGCGTTCTTATTCCAAGTAAGGGTGAGTTGCAATTTGCGTTTTGGAGTGAGCATGTTGGTGCCCCTGCAGGGTGCCCCCGTGGGCTGCTTCAGGGTGCTGCTGTTGGAGTGGTGTGTGCACTGAGTGGTGTGTGTGTGTGCGCTTTGGAACTGGGCTGCTGATACTGCTTCAGGGTGCTGCTGTCAGAGCGGTGTGTGCGCTTTGGAGCTAGGCTGCTGGTGCAGCTGCAGGGTGCTGCTGCAGGGTGCCCCTGCAGCGTGCTGCTTGAGGGTGCAGCCGTTTAGAATGGTCTCTGCGCTTTGGAGATGGCTTGCTGGTGGCTGCAAGGTGCCACGAGCGTTGTCAGAATGCTGTGCCCGCTTTGGAGCTGGAGGGTGAGTTGCAGGGTCGCTTGCGGGTGCTGCCGGAGTCAGTGGTGTGTGTGCGCTTTGGAGCCGGCCTGCTGGTGTGCAGGGTGCCGCTGCAGGGTGCTGCCTCAGGGTGCTGTCAGAGTGATGCGTGCGCTTTGGAGCTGGCCTGCTGGTGCTCTCAGAGTAATGTGTGCGCTTTGGAGCTGGCGCTGCTGGTGCCGCTGCCGCCGCAGGGTGCTGCTTCGTGCTGGTGTCGGAGTGTGGCGTGCGCTGTGGAGCTTGGATGCTGGCGCCGTTCCAGGGCGTTGCTGCTGTGGAACTTGGGCGCTGGTGCCGTTGCAGGGGGTCGCTGCGAGATCTCCATGGCAGTTGGAGATTACATTTACCCCGTGCCAAAAAGGAAAGTGTTTGGTTGCTGCCTAAGAATATCCTGTGCTATCTGGGTGTATGTTGGCGTATTTTTTTTAATGTTTGATGTTGAGCATTGTTCTTTTGTTGATGCTGCCCGTGTGAGTATGCGGATGGATGTGGGTGATTGAACCCTCCCTTTTGAACAAAAATTCAGGCATTTGTTCGCACTTTGGAACAAAAACATTCGCTGTGAACAGGAACCTTCAACAAATCCGTTGGATGCCTGAGTTCTTCTGTTCCACTCTTACAACCGAAATGACCAAGCATGTAATATCATGGTATTTCTCAAAGTTGGGGTATCCCAAAACGAGTGGTTTCCCTTATGAAAACTGAAAGGTTTGTTGCCAGCGCTGAAATCATTAATGGTTTGTATATATTCATTGTTTTTTGTCAATCTATTACATGATCTGAAGTAACATTGGTTTTTTGTTGTCCATACACAAACCTTTTCTACTTGAAATACAGAAAGGCTTGTTTTGGGCGCGCAAAAGTCGCAAAAGGCAATTTTTCCACCAAATACATTACATTGTCTAAAACAATATTGGCCTTTTGCTGTCCATGCACAAACCTTTTCGAGTGGAAATGAGCTTAGAGTGGTTAACCATCCAAAATAAAACAAAAAAACAATGTTTTGGGGACTACTTGGATCTAGGCATGTTCAGACTAGTCTGGAAAACATGTTTTTGTTTTGTTTTGTTTTTTTTTGGTTTCTTTGTTTTTTTTGGTTTCTTTGGGTTTTTGATTCTTTAGGATTCACCCAGATTAATCCAAACCTCATTTCTTCAAAGCATTGTTTGCTGGGAATGTAGCACAGGCATACAACTTAATAGACTACTATATAATAGACTATATACAGATAATTTCTTTTTGGGTAATGAAAGCAAGTGAAAAAAACTGCATTGTTTGATATTCTTTGCAATTTTGCCTTTTGTTCAATGTGTTGCATTTTCTTTGGTCAACTGCTGCGTTGCGCAGCTCAAACTCATTCAACATTGTTATGTACTTCCACCCCTGTTTGAAAACACCAGGGAGTTTCCTTGATTGTCTAACTGAAATAGGCCTTGTAGATGAATTGAGGTTGTGTTTCAAAGGCGAATCATTTTTTCAAAAGAATGTGGTATTGTACCACAATCACATGGAAACATGACAGTAGTGTATCCCTAGGTTTCAAAACAATGTCCATTTTTCATGACCTTTGCCACACAAAAGTAAGGATACCTATTGTTTACGAGAAATACATGACCTGAACTTATCCACTGGAATTGTGCATTTTATGTTACATACACATTCCGGTGCACCTAATGCTTCAAAGCGGAGATATATCATGTTTTCTCTTCCAGGGTGGAATTTCTTCTTGGAATTTGCCACATTTTGAACCTAATGACTACCATTGTTCTAAGGAGTGCATTGTACAGCTGAATAGATGTTTTTCTCTGGGTCAGGCCTCCTCCTTTCAAACATCCTATTTGATTATGACCATTTCCCAAAGGACACAAGAACATGAAGACAGCCTACTTTCCAGCGCTGGCAACAAGCCCCTCTCTATGAAAAAATGAAAAAAGGATATAAAATGATCATTGACTTGGATAACTTGGGGCCCCTTATTTCATGAATATCTCACCCTGGTGGTGTTGATGGGACGGGACTCAACTGTCGGATCCGACTCCCAGGTGATGAGATTCAATTTGTGGATGAACGGGCACCGGGCATGGTGATGCGAGGCTTGCCAATGTCACTTGGATGAAAATTGGACACCCAGAAGCGAGATGCGATTGTCTAATTAGATGGGTTTTCCATGGTTTTCCTATTCGATATCCAGACTCTTTAAATCAAACCTCTCTAACACAACAGGTTGGCTTGCATTGACCATACTGACAAGTCTTGTTGCAGGTCCTGTCACAGCCTCCTTTGATGTGGGCATGGGTCCCTGGGTATACGGTATACGGAAAATGGGATAATTTTTGGGGCTTCATAGATTCAATGCAGACATGATGAACATGCGATCGAGGCTCCAAACTGATCCCAGCTGAGGTACAAGCGTTTCCTATCAGCCTTGCGGTGGTCCCTCCGTTCGATGTTTGAGGAGCGCTGTTCAGTTGGCGTCAGGAAGGCTTTTGCTTGGCTGTCCATGAGAAAGGGGCAGCAAAGCCTAGAAGCGGTAGAATGTGTGGCGTGGAAATGCCGGGCAATCTAAGACCTCGTTTTATCCTAGTTGATCAGTTTGTGTGAGTGTGAGTTCTCAGTATTCTCCTTTATATCGGTTCCTTTCAGGTCCATTTTCCTTGCTTAACTTGCCAGCCATCGGCATCCCATCCCGTTGCTAGGAGAGCAAATTGGAGGTTACTTCAATGGGTCGCACTTTGGTCAACAGCTGCCTGGTTTGCAGTGAAACAGACTTGGCAGCTGGGAGGACAAATCACTGGCCCCGGGTGTTGGTGGTGTTTGCGAAGGGTGCTGGCCATGTGTCACATGGATCTGGAAGAACCTCAAAAGGTGTTATTGAACATATTGCTCAACAAATCCTTCATAAAAATAATTAACCCAGCTTTGCAACCCAACAGCATACCTGAATCTTCCACCTACGTCTTTCAGACCCTGTGCCAAAGTCCTGTTTTTTCAGTACCCTGAAAACTTTTCAGGACCTACTCTCAAATTCAGGACCTGGCCATTTTGGGGTATCAATGGTAATGGCAATCATTGGGTGCAAACATGTGAAACCAACATTTGGTGGATATTCAAGCCATTGGCATTGATCCACGCAAATAAAAGCACTCCCAGCCCAAACTCATGGCAAGGCAGGATCAGAATATAGTATATTCCAGAAAGTATGTCAGAATAGATGCCAGATAGGATGCCAGAAAGAATGTCAAATAGAATCTCAGAAAAGAATGTAAGATAGTATGTCAGAACATATATGCCACATATACGTCCAGATGATATGTCAGAAACTATGTCAGAATACTGTTGTCCTTCAGGCGCCGAAGCTCCCGTTGAAGGTCAGCATCGCCCCATGTCAACTGGTCCAGTCCCACTTCCATTTCAACAAGTCCAACTTCATCGATTAGGGTGTTGGTTGAATGGACTTGGGACTCTAGCTGGCACGGCATCCCTTGTAACCCTGTAGACACTGTAGTGGGCAAAAAGATTGTAACACACAGAATCAGCATCATTTTGATCAGGCATTCTTTTTGCTAATCCTTTCTCCCTATTACGAAAAATACCCCCAAATGACAAAAACTAGGTGCGATTTCCAATTTTGGGAAATGTCAAATTGGTTAATCTGATTTTTAATTGATCCCCTTGAGGAAACAATTTTAAAAATGAAGGTACCATGTGAGGGTTTCACCCCCAAAGAATAAAAAACTAGTCAACACCGGGGTGTCTTTTATTGGGGTCCGTCCTTTAAAATCGTCAATTTTAGTTTTTTTAATTCAGGTGTTGGTGTTTTATTTGATACTAGGCGAAAGCTTCGAAATCCTATTCTTGGCAGTATTCTATTTAAAGATTATTTTCATGGATTTTGAAATTAGAAACAAAAAACGGTTTAATCCCTTCCCCCTGTTGCTAAACAGTCGCCCCTTCACCCACCCACCCAAATAACAAACACCTGGAGGAGTTTTTAGTATTGGGGGGGTCTTTAGTATTAGGGTACGAAGCTTCCCCCTAATACTGATAAAAAACACACACACACATATATATATATATACACATATTTCTATTTCAAAATCGATCAGATTTCTTTCTTTTTAAATCCAATTGAAATATGGCAAACAAGTGGATTCCGAAGCTTAATATCAAATAAAAACCCCCAACATAAAAAAACTATGTATGTTTTTCTATTTCGAAATCGATTAGATTTCCTTTTAAAAATTAAATAAAATATGGCCAAAAAATTGGATGTCGAAGCTTTTCCCTTATATTAAACCCTAATATCATTTTGTTTTTTTCCCTGTTTCAAAATCGATTAGATTTCCTTTTGAAATCTAATGAAAAAAAACAAAAAATTGATTTTGAAGCTTTCCCCTAATATCAAATTAAAATCCAATTATTAAAATATGTTCAAAAATTGGATTTCGATGCTTCCCCTAATCTTGCATGAAAAATTCCAATATAAAAAACTAAATTTGTTCTATTTCAGAATCGATTAGATTTCCTTGTAAATTCAAATTAAGATATTGCCAGAAATTGGATTTCGAAGCTTTCCCCTCATATTAAACCCTCATATCAAAGACTATTTTTTCTATATCAAAATTCATTAGATTTCCTTTTGAAATCTAATTAGAATATGGTCAAAAATTGGATTTTGAAGTTTTCCCCTAATATTACATTAAAAAACCCTAATATAAAATATTATTTTTTCTTTTTTGAAATCGATTCGATTTCCTTTTAAATTGTAGTAACAAAAATAAAAACAAAAATCGGATTTCGAAATGTTTCCTCTAATATTAAATTAACAGCCCTAATATATTTAAAAAAAACTGTTTCAAAATCGATTAGTTTTCTGTTTAACATATAATTAGGATATTGCTAAAAATTGGATTTCGAAGTTTTCCCCTAAGATTAAATTAAAAACACTAATAAAAAAAATAACTATGTTTTTTCGATTTCAAGAATCGATTAGATTTCCTTTTGACATCCAGCAAAAAAATTGCCAGGAAATGCCAAAAAGTTGATTTCGAAGTTTTCCTCCAATATTATCTAAACGTTGTAATATAAAATACTTATTTTTTCGACCTTAAAAGACCCTAGTTTAAAAAATCACCGGGGCTGACTAGTTTTATTTTTTGGTGGTGAAATCCTGAAATGGGACCTTCATGTTTAATTTGTTTTTGAAAAGGTATCAATTAAAAGTCAAACTGGCCAGCCTGAAATTTCCCAAAATTTAACGCGGACCCTAGTAAAAGGAATCAATGTAATATTTTAGTATTTAGGGTACGTTTAGTAAAAGGAGGTGGGGATTAGTAAGGTTTTCAATTTAATATAAGGGGAAGCTTCGAAATCCAATTTGGCAAGATTTGAGTTAGATTTTGAATAGGAATTCAATCAGTTTTGAAATATACAGTTCATTTTTTAAAACGAATGTTTTCAATTTAATGTCAGGGGGAAGCTTCGGAATCCAATTTTGGCAATATTTTAGTTAGATGTTATTTAAAAAATGTTTTCCAATTTAATTTTTTTTAACCAAGGGGGAAGTTTCGCACCCTCATACTAAATACCCACTAAATACAAAAAACTATTCCGTGTGTTCATTATTGGGTGGGGAGGGGCAGACGGTTTATTATGACGCAGGGATTGGTCAGGCATCACTTGCTGGAATTATTGGATTCTTTTGGGATGATTGGTATGATGTTTAGTCAGGCATGGTTCCCTTCAGTCATGCACGATTTTTGCAAAAATCCTATTTAGGCACGACCCCAAAATCCCAGCCCGGCAAATTCCGGCCCGGGCCCGGCAAATTCCGGCCCGCGCCCTGCAAATTCCGGCCCTGCGTTTTTCCAAAATCAGGCAAAACCAGTAAATCAGGTATCAAGTCAGGTGTAGTTACCTTTTAAGTCATTACGGCTAGTCAGGCATGGTTCCAGTGGGTACCTTTTAATTGTGAAGGCTAGTCAGGCATGGTTCCCTGAATTCAGGGGCATGGGTACCTTTTAATTATGAAGGCTAGTCAGGCATGGGTTCTGTTAAGTCAGGCGTGGGTGGGTACCTCTTAATTATGAAGGATAGTCAGGCATGGTTCCCTTAAGTCGGGTGTGGTTACGCTTTAAGTCATGAAGGCTAGTCAGGCATGGGTACCTTTTAAGTGATGAAATCTGAATCAGGCGGAGCTCCTATTCTAAATGTGTTAAATCCCATTGTTCAGTGTGGAAAATCGATTTTTTGGCTGGTCTACGGGCAAACCCTGTGTCTTCCAATACCATAGCGTGCTGATGTCGCTTGCCTGCATAATAGTTAAGGCCAAAGCTTAGGTCATCAGTGTGATCCTGAAATGGCGCCACGACCAAGAAGATGACATGTGTAAAATGGGCCCTGGATTAACAAAGGCTGACTAATGAATTTGGAGGATGCCACTAAAGTATGACATGTAATCACTTTTGAGGAGCACTCTATGGCACGCAGCGCGCGCAGCCTGCTTTACGGTTTAGCGTTTGAAAGTTTTAGGCTTTGCCTCTATGGCACGCAGCGTTTGAAAGTTTAACCGTTTACCTCTATGGCAGGCTGTGCGCGCAGTACGCGTTACGGTTTAAAGTTTGAAAGTTTTAGGGTTTATGTGTGTGGCACGCAGTGCGCGCAGCGCGCATTAGGGTTTAGGGTTTGGAAGTTTTATAGTTTATTTTATTGCATGCAGCGTGCACAGCGTGGGTTGAACTTAGGGTTTCGAAGTTTTAGGGTTAACCTCCATGACACGATGGTTTAGGGTTTGGAGATTTTAAGGGGTACTTCTATGGCACACAGCGCGCGCAGCGCGCGTTAGGGTTTAGGGTTTAGGGTTTGGAAATTTTAGGGTTTACCTCTATGACACGAGAGTTTCAGGTTTGAAGATTGTAGGGTTTATTTCTATTGCACAAAGCGCGCGCAGCGCGCATTAGTGTTTAAGGTTTGAAGGTTTTAGGGTTTATCTCTGGCACGCAGCGCGCACAGCACGCATTAGGGTTTAGGGTTTGGAAGTTTTAGGGTTTATTTTATTGCATGCAGCGCGCACACCGCGGGTTAAACTTTAGGGTTTGGAAGTTGCATAACGCGATGGTTTAGGGTTTGGAAATTTTAGGGTTTTCTTCTCTGGGACACAGCGCGCGCACCGCGCATTAGGGTTTAGGGTTTGGAAGTTTTAGGGTTTACTTTATTGCATGCAGCGCGCGCAGCGCGCATAGAGTTTAGGGTTTGGAAGTTTTAGGGTTTCAAGGGTTCCAAGGTTCCAGGGTACCAGGGTCCCACGGTTTCAGGGTTCCAAGGTTTCCAGGGTTCCAAGGGTTCCAAGGGTTCCAGGGTTTCAGGGTTCCAGGATCCCAGCAGGGTGCCAGGTGTGCAGGGTTGCAGGGTTCCAAGGTTCCAGGGTTCCAAGGTAGCAGGGTTCCAGAATCCTTGAGGGTTCCTGGGTGCCAAGGTTCCAAGGTTTCAGGGTTCCACGGTCGCAGGGTTCCAAGGTTCCAGGGTTTCAGGGTTCCAGGGTTCCGGGGTTCCAGGGTCCCAGGGTTCCAGGGTTTGAGGGTTCCGGGGTTCCAAGGTTTCAGGGTTCCAGGGTACCAGGGTCCCACGGTTTCAGGGTTCCAAGGTTTCCAGGGTTCCAAGGGTTCCAAGGGTTCCAAGGGTTCCAGGGTTTCAGGGTTCCAGGATCCCAGCAGGGTGCCAGGTGTGCAGGGTTGCAGGGTTCCAAGGTTCCAGGGTTCCAAGGTTGCAGGGTTCCAGAATCCTTGAGGGTTCCAGGGTGCCAAGGTTCCAAGGTTTCAGGGTTCCACGGTCGCAGGGTTCCAAGGTTCCAGGGTTTCAGGGTTCCAGGGTTCCGGGGTTCCAGGGTTCCAGGGTTCCAGGGTTCAGGGTTCCAGGGTTCCAGGGTTCCAGGGTTCCGGGGTTCCAAGGTTTCAGGGTTCCCGGGTTCCCGGGTTCCAGGGTTCCAGGGTTCCAGGGTTCCAGGGTTCCAGGGTTCCAGGGTTCCAGGGTTCCAGGGTTCCATTCCGGATTTTGAAGGCTGCAAGTCCCCGCGAGCCAGCCCCAGCCCTAGAGATTGAAACCCAACAGGCCCTGCTGTTGGGAATAAAAATCTGAGAAAATACACAATTGGCAACGTGGAAAGCCATCAGCTCCCCAAGCCCCCTTTTTTAGGGTGAAGCTAGGCATCTTGAGGCATTTTGAGACATCAACAAATAGACCATTTGAGGATATTTGAGGTGACTCCAAGTGCTCACGGGTGATGGATGCAGTGCTTGGTGCAGTCGCAGGTGTTCTGCAAGTCGCCCAGGTCAACTTTCAGTTCGATGGCGCCTACATCTCTGGCCCAAAGGACTGCGCATCAAGGGCTGATTTCATAGCAACAGAGAGGCTTGTCTGAAAATAGGGCACCTAAAAAAACTAAGGTCTACTTTTGTGATCATTTTTCTCATGGATATCTCTATTTGGGCTACACTTTCCTCTATCCTTGGACCAACCCAGCCTGAGCAGGACTGATGAATGTGGCACTGGAGATGCTTTCACCATCTCTGAAGAGCTGGGGTTTGCACCAGAACGTGCATCATGAGCCGGCGCCACAGATTTTCAGAGGTGTTGGGTCCATTTGAATGTCCTGAAACCTTTGGGATTCGAGGATTTGAGATGGCTACGTCATTGTCATCTTGATATTGTTGATGTCCTGAAAATCCGGACCCCCTTGGATTTGAGATGACTGTGTGTGTCACAGACATGTAATTGTAATGTATGGTTGTGGGAGATGCTCCTTCCATTGAGCCGTTGGCTGATGTTGAGTCAAGTTCGAAAAACAGCCGAGGTGGGAAGCGCCCTTCATTGTGGAAGGTCCAGTCAGCTGGGGTCGCCTGGGTATGGTGAATGAATGGCCCCCATGATGCAATGACCACTGGGACATTGTACGATATACATTGGAATTCAGAATGCTCCCCAGCTGTATTTTCTTTTCTTTGGCAGTTTGATCATGTTTGATCTGGGACATGGTGAGGAATGGAAACTGATGGAAACTGGATCTTTGAAGATCTTTGAAGAAACTGATGGAAACTGGATCTTTGAAGATGTTTGATCACCCCAACCGGGCCTGCTCTCAAGTGACTCCGTGTCCATCCCTGTCCGTCGCAGGGTATTCAAACTACGAGTTTGATCCATGGACTGCGGAGGTGCACCAAGCACAGCAAGCAGTGGATCTGTGCTGACGATGATGGACGAATCCCAAGATGGACGTTCTCTCCATGACGGGCAGTTAGAGGAATCTGCTTTCCACTAAACATGACGAAACATGACGAAACATGGTATGTTTTTTTAGGAGCTCTTCAGCTCTTCCCCCATTTCATCCCTCAGTTGACTCGCTTGGGGTAGTGCCAGCCGCCCAGTTCCGAGCAGGTGACGCGCCACTCCGTAGACATCAAGAATCCGCCACTCTTCATCACCGACCTTTTGAAGCAGCACCTTGGTTCCTGGCAGGTGTTTGTGGCTGAATGTGGCAGAAATCGCTTGGATGGACCTTGGGCCCCGAACACCACCTTTTTGGTACTTCATAGTACATTCTCAAAGCCACAAAGGCGATGTTGTTGAAAAATACAAGGAATCTTGTTCAACCCATCGATATGAACATAGAAAGATGAGCCAATGGCACCATTGTCCTCATGATTCACCATCTTTGTAGAGGCGAGTCCTCGGCATTCCTCGTCGCTATCCATTCCCAAAGGACTTTCCATTCACCCAGGTATTCCACCTCAGAGATCCATGCGGTGCCATATGGGCGCCTTAGCGTTCCCTATGGCATGCAGGGTCTCAGTCTACGTGGTTCCAGCAAAGGCTTTCAATTTGCAGGAGCACCAGGGGCGAGAGGTGGTTGATATTTGATTTTTTTTGGATGGACAATTTTTGTTTTTGTCAACATGAATTGAGAATGTCTGTTTGTTTGAACATATGAGTCACACACTCAGGATGTCCGGCTTTCAAAATAGGCCAGGACATGGCAGATGGGTCCAATCACTCTAGGTCGGAGTCTTCTAGGCACTTTGCGATTGGGTATACAGATGTATACAGTTAAGTATGCAGTAGATTCAGTAGATCACAGTAGATCGAAAGAATTATCTATCCCGCAACGACCAGAAAAATGACTCATGGCCTGTAGCCTATCGCCACTGGTGGGGATCCATTGGTTTTTCCTTGGATCGCCTTGGCTGTGGCCAGGAGCCACCCTGGGCCAGCCAGTGACGCCGGAGGCGCCGGCGGTGACGCGGCAGGCGGGGAGCAATTGGCCCGTGCCCGAAAGCTGCGAAGATGACTTCGATTGCAACGGTGGCAGCTGGGCAGCAGTTTTTGGGTTTGGGCCTTTGGAAAGGGGTTGGGTTGGTCATGGACTTGGGATGGAAAAAGGCTTTGCGGATGACTGATATTTTCAGACAGGGTGCCCTGACCCTGGCGGAAGCGATGACATTTTCTAGAATCAAAACGATCACCTCATGTGCAAAATCTATTGGATGCTCATTCTTCAATTCTGGACATACCCGACATGGTTGGTTGTTGATATATTTTATATATTTTTATATGTTCACACACTTCCATTGGTCACACACCACCTCCTTATTGGCTATGTGGATTTATCATGACTTATGATTATTATATATAATTTATAACTATTCATAATTAATACGATTATTAGTGTGGCCACTTGCTAGACATATCTCACCTCCAATCAGCAACAACCTTAACTAACGGTGAGCCCCGCTGGAGGTCGAGCAAATTTCCCCCTGCAGTGCTGCGAGCTGCCACTGCTTGGGAAGTTCTGCTGCACCTTGGAGGATCAGCCGGGGGTTGGGTGATCCGCTGACCCAGGTACCATAAATCACCAGTGGTTGGGTACCAATGGGCCCTTAAAATTGGCTCCAGAAAGCTGGGGTACTGTACCCTTGCTGGGTGTTATGTTCACACACTTCAGATTTTTGGAAACTAAGATGATCCGAAATAAAGTGGATTTTTAGTGGTACCTTATTAGTGTTCGTGGAATGGCTGGCAAAAACCAGCATCTGAAATCCATGATCTCGTTGAGGTAAGCCACCTGATGGAGACCCCTCGCCAGACACCAAAGATCCTGCGTGGCTGCCGCTGCCGGTGCCCAGCAATGATCGGTGAGATGAGAACTTTTTCGCCCCTGGGGGGGCGGCATGAAGCTGCAGAGAAGACATGAGAAAACATGAACAGAGCGTAGTAGAAATATGTAAACTGTTGCAGGGTTGCAAGCTCAACCACTAAAACTGAGAGTACGAAACATATATCAAGTATCATATATTGGAAACAGCAACATGGATTGAAACTGCTTTTGCTGCGGTTCCACATTCCCTGAAGCCTTCCCAGGGACACAGCTTGCCAATCACAATCAAGCAAATCTGCTTGACTCAATACGTTCAGACGAAAAACGGTGGTGTGAACCCACACCCCCCGTGCCGTCTACCTTCCAACATAGGGGAAGGAATTGTACATTGACCATTGGAGAGAAACATCAAAGGGACGAGCAGTCAGCTAGTCAAATATTCCAAGTGTGAGTAGGTGACTAACGTTGCGAGGAACCATGTGACTGAGTGGCATGCAATCTATGACTTTGTGGATGCCTCCAGCCAAGGGATTTTTACTGCCACTTAGTGGCTGAAAGTAGATGAGGAGTCTCTGAGCGTACTCATTGCTTTGCATCAGCCGCAGGGCCCAGCTGTACAGTATCCCCTTGGGTCCAGGGACTGGGTTTTCCTACTAAGTTCTTGATTGAACCACTGCTCATCCCGTTGGTATCTTCCCGGATTCCTCCAAGCCTGGTGCTGCAGCATGCCACTGCTAGCAGTGGTAAGGAGGTAATGCTGCGTGCACCACGCGAAGCGAAGTTTTTCAACTTCAGGGTAGATTGGTTTCAACACACCAAGACTTCAAAGATGAAGATCTTGGGTCCTTGCCCTGGCCACGAGTTCTGTAATCCTTGTACATTCTTGAACCATTGTTGAATTGTAGGTCCATCATCTACTGTAGGCACCTGTCAAGATTGATGCAGAACCCCTGGTCACGTTCTCTTCATCCCCTGATGAGTTCCAATTCAGTGAAAGTCTGTGCAGCATTTCGATCCTATGTACAGAGCATAGTAAAGCAGATTGCTAGTGCCTCGCTAGTGTGCCTAGTCGAGAAACGACTGGAAACCAGCGGACGTGGGAAGAGGCGTGCCCGGACATGTGTGATGCCCGGGTGCTGCCACAGCAACGATCAAGTCGCGACAAAAGGATTGCGAACCAAGGCTGAATTCAGGATCATCATCTAATGCACCTCCATCATATTCCATCATTTCCAGGCAGGATGGGATCCTTTTTCACAGATCATTAGAGCAACCAGTTGAGCAACCAGTTTCAACTGAGATTGGCGAGGTGAAGAGCGTCCAGGCGGCCTTGATCCCTGCCATCAATGGCAGCTGGGCTGGAGCTGAGGGGATGGACCAACGTTGCTGACATCCCAGGACTCTCAGAGGGACCTTTTAAGATTCCTTTTGCACTTTCTGTTTTTAATCGTGTTGTTTGATTTTTGGAGGGGGTTGGAATTTTCCCTGACATCCAGCCACAAATCAGTAATCTTGGTGCATCCATGGTAGCATGATGTAGCATGTGAATCCTCTCCACGCAGCGAAGGCATGAATGTCGTGGGTCTGGTCTCAATCCCTGGAATGATGCCATGAGCTTAGAAGCGGATTGCCTTTGAAGATGTCCCTGCTGTGTTTCCAGGGCCAACTTTCCGTATCTTTCCCTTGTTTCAGTTGTTCTCACCACGAACAAGCCACCCAGGTTCGGGTCGCCCAACAGTTTCTCGGCCATCCTGGTGATTTAAGGACCGGACAGATCTTGGGAGGCGCTCCGCCTATGAAGGCGGCGAAGTACCAGATCGTTTGGGGAGCCCAGGATTTTGATTTCACTGGTCGACCTGGTCGACATCGATCCATGCGTTGAGCAGGGAATCGCCTGGAAAAGAAAGCTATGATTTGCCTTGGCAAAAATCCACTCTACATCTCAGTGATCTCAGGCATGCGGTTTTTGATTGGCTGATCATGCAATGACTGCCATGATGCCCGGTGAAGGTCATCACCTTCTTGATTTCTGGCAGTTCCTTTGCTGCTCTGTGCCTCATTTGTGTCCGAAGTCCCAGGATTTCCGGGCACTGTTGCAGCTGCCGCAGTGTATCATTTCTACAACCAGAGGTCCAGAAACGGAGATGTTTGAATCATTGAAGATGTTGGACGATATGAAGCAAACCTGACAAATTATTATAAATTATTTGCATTCTTGGCCAACAAAGTCTCAACTCAATCTTCTGAAGTTGTATAAGCACTTACTCAATGCCCTTTGAAGGCACTGGTAGAAATATGTAGAAATGATTTTGAAAACAACACACCTGAGTAGCGTTTGTTTGACAGGGAGTGATGACATGCACAAGTTGAAAATAATTTATCATTCCCCACCTGCCAGGTGAGGTGAGGGTCTCTAGATTTTATGAGAGTCACTTGCTCCTCCTCTTCTTCCTCCTGCTTCCTCCTTCCTTCCCTCCTTCCTCCGTCCGGACCTTAACTGGGAGCTCCAGATCTCAGTTGGGCACTGCCGGACCTCAACTGCGAGCTCCAGATCACAGTGTGGAGCGACCCTGGACCCAGGGACCCAGTGCCATCCGGGAGGCTGTCGATCCGGACACATGCCAGAGAGATTGCCAGAGTGAATGCCAGACAGGATGCCAGATAGAATGTCAGAATAGAATGCCAGCATAGAATGTCAGAAAATACATGGCAGATATACTTCCAGATGAGATGTCAGAAACTATGACAGAATAATGTCACGGTGGGAATCACTCGAAATAAAATAATTTATTTCTCAGAGCTCCTGGGACTGCAGTCGCTGAAGGGCTGTGGAAAGGTTAATAATATCATGAATTATGATTATTTTTCTGTCTATTAGGGAAAGAATGTTCATACTTGTACAGTCTTTTGTGGAAGCTCTCAGAAACAGAATGATAATATAATCAAACAGATAAGTATTTCGGAATCTGCCCTCGCGGGAATACCAAACTGTGGGAGTGCATCTATTTTTGTCCAAACATGGGGGTTTGATCGGGTTAAATTACCATGATATAGTCCTGCAATCCCATAATCCCCCATAAATGTAGGGAATTTTTGGGGTACCATGGGGTACCATATTTTCAGACACTGCTGATCCGATGTGATCCGCCGATCCGCCAGATCTGCCCCAGGCCTTCACCATCCAAGCCTTCTTCGATCATCAGGGCCGTCACGATGATAGTGAAGTCACCGGACTCAGCGAAATGGTGCCCGTTGCCCTCACAACGAATTGTTGAGATATGTTGAGATAGGGATGATGCCAGGGTTTTGGGCATATCTCCGCTGGAATCCGGAACTCTTAATTTCTGTTTTGGGGGAACTAATCTCCAAGCATCACCTAGATGTCAGCGATAGAAATGGCAAGTCCTGAAGTCAGAACTACCTCCGCCCCATGTCTCACTCCGATCGACTCTAAGGTGAAACCACAGTCAAGGCTAAACATTGCTAAACTGCACGGAGCCGAGGGCGCTCTGGTACAGGAACAGTGATGAATATGAAGCGCTACAGAGGCTATGTTGGAGATGCTGGCAACAAATCCGTGCTGCCAACGTTGTTTCCACCAGTCCTTGTTTTTGCGAACCTTGGTTTGCCCTTTGCAGATGCGAATGCAAACATATTTAGACAGCACGTACACTGATCCCAGTCATATACACAAGTATATGCAGATATACAATGATATACATAGATTATAGACACATAATTGACACATACTGATACTATATCTATGCAGTATGCAGTATCTACATATTTCTACAGACATCGTTATGAATCTCATTTTGCAGTTACGAACAGTGCTTGCTACGGCCAGCTTCCCAGGTTGGACCTGAGTCGCCTCTGCCCTTCGAAGACCAAGGTTCCACAGGTGCGATGCCATCGGATGATGGGAGAAGTCTGAAAAAAAACCCAGCAACAAGCCCAAAACTACCCTCTGGTAAACTAACATAGCTATTGACAATGGTGATTTATAGTGGATTTACCCATTAAAAATGGTGATTTTCCATAGCTATGTTAGTTTACCAAAACTAATGAGGACAGAAGCCATGCTGTTTTGATGTGTTTTAAACATGACTTTCGCTCAAACACATCTATGGATAACGGAAATGGATAGACACAATCATGTGTATGGAGGGTGTAAGAAGAACCAAGAAGGATCAAATTACATTTACGATCATTTACGGGTTTGCAGAGATTTCTTTTGACTTCCATGGCCACAAAACTCGGCATCTTTGATCATGTCGTTTGAAGGCCACTGTAGCAGCTACACCTTTATTGGCAGAGTGGCCTCCTCAGCAGTATTCCGCACGACAAAGGCAGCGACTTCTAAAGCTAGAAGTGCGGCATTTAAGGCATTTACACAGTATGATTTCTACGCTATGCAAAAAGATGAGTTGCAGTGAGTGGTGACTGGATGCACTACTTTTCTATATCGTTTGGGTCCGAATCTGGATTTTTTTTTGATCGGAAAGTCGATTCAGAAAGATGTTGACCAGACAGAAGTTGATGTTTTTCTGACCTCAGCGTTCCATAGCGTTCCCATGTCCCAACACCTCGGAGAGGCCGGAGAGGTCGAGAAAAAAGTTCTACCCTGCAACACTGAGTTCTGCATCGCCCTTGGTGTTGCAACCCAGCTGGGAGAAACCCGGTGAAGGCAGGGTGAAGTGGGTACCACAGAATTTTCTGTGAATCAAGATGTAAATTTCGCGTGCTCCATTGGAACATGGAACCCATAAACATGATTGTCATTAATTGACCTTTGCAGGCAGTAGGGCAAAACTCGCATGTACAAAACGCTCATTTTATCCACTAGACAATCACTTGCTGTCTGCACTGCGCAGGCGATGTCATTTTGGACTTGTCCTTGGAGGGCCTGGTTGGAAAGCTTCGACCACTGAAGGCCGCAGAGATGGCCGGTAGAGATGGCCTGTCCAGAAAATGGGTAAACTAAAGATGACCATGTAAAGAATATATACTAAAGATGATTGGTGGTTGAGTTCTAACTTGTAGATGTCAACAATATTCAACAATATTGCGACCTTCCTCCAACCATCCAAATCTGCAATATTTTTGAGAGAGGCTGGAGCCGCCAGCTACCACCCAGGTGCCAACAATATTCAACAATTATTTATAAATGATGGACATACAGTACATGAGCATACCACATATACCACGAGAACGCAGCAGTGCCATAGTCCCTAGAGTCGTCAAGGCACGATCCGCCTTGCCAGGTCCAGTTGAAGGTCCGCGGGGGCCAAGTCCTTTGTTTGATGGGCCCCAGTGGAGTTGGAAAATCCACCATTTTGTAGCTCGCCTTGAAACGGGGGGTGAAGTCATTGTCGGGTTCAAAGATGTTTAACGACCTCCTGAAGGAAGAATCATTCAAGTCTATGATGTCATGGTTTGTGGATCGGGACAGAGAACAAGAGGGGACGATGGGGCCTTGACACACTGAAATTATCTGAAATCTGCTGGTTGGTTGGGTTTCACATATTGATTTACAGTACTTGTACCTTGCCAAAGTCCTCAAAAGTGGATCAGAAATGGCAGAGACTCAAGGAATGAAGATATCAGATTCTGATTGAAATGGCCAACCAATCTGCACCCCCTGGCATATTTGGGTGAGGAAATGGATTGCAGACCTCACCTCCTCGCAAAGCTCGAGGTTTGGAGCTGGGACAGCCTCATCATGGGAAAAATTTGGAAAAATATGACAGGCCACCAGAAAATGGTGGATATGATATGTATATGATATGTATATGATATGTATATGATATGTATATGATATGTATTCATGGATATTCCATGATATTCCACTGCTCTTAGATTTCCAGATTGAAATATTGAACCTGAGGATAGTTCTTGGATTGGATCTTCCGTTTTTTTCCAGGCATTTTCTTTTGCGCAAAGGGTCTTGACCAATTGTGTTTGTTTAGATCCCTCCTGCTGTGCGCTGTATTGTTCGTTTTACGAAGAAACAATGGTTGTTTACCCAGCGCGCATGTAGACAGCTTTTTGCCCAACTGATCGACAAAGATAACGACAGTGTTATTTTCTGTTCAAAAACTGTTTGTTCCTTTGGTCACCCAAGAGATCAGTGTAAAAAACTACTTATATAATCTTATTTAACATATATAAAATATATATATATATTATAATCATACATAATTGTACTATGCAGGTTCCCAACTTTTTTTTTATCTGCAGAAGCATGTTGGATCTCTATGGCAAAAACTTGCCACATTGAAACAAAGGCACGCATGTTGTTCTATATAAAGACCGAAATTAAAAGAAAGATTTGTGAAACAAATAAGTAAGCCATGGCAGTGGAATCATGGAACAAAGCATTTGGAATCATATGGTAAGCATGACAATTTCTGCAAAACCCTGCAAACATGGGAAGGTAAATTGCTGAAGATTGTTTGACATCCATATTTACCAGCTTTGGGTTAGTGTATCAAAGTGGGTATATACTTTAGTGGAGATGTGAACATGGAACATCATTCAAGCCTTGTGCAAGCCTTTGTTTGCTTACATCGAGCATTCGGGCGCAGGAGTTTGCGTGGGCAGTCCGAAACCATCATGTCACGAGCTCAGTTTTTTGAGCGCTTTTGAGCGACAGGCCCGACAGGCCACGGATCAAACTTCAGAGGCCACAACGCTGGCGCCGTGAGGCGCCGATCATGTCGTTGATCATACGGCCTTCTGCGTGTTCTTGAAATGGACTGAAATGGGGTTAAGTTTAAAGAGAGTAAAAACTCGTAAAAACCATTAAGTTAAAGTATACCCAAAGATCAACCAAGCTGTTTCATTCTAGGGAAACACAGCTTGGTGATCCATTCCTTTGCTCTTACTTCGACTTCTCATTGAGATGATGGACCAAACTTCATCAGCAAACGGAGGTGCTTTATTTGCACCAGATCAAAGCGCCCTTGCCGGGCACGCCGGCCACTTTCATTCAGGTGGGATTGAGGTATGACTCGCAAGCTGCAAATGCTGAGATAGAAGTGAGTGACCTAATTTGGCAAGTGATGCGGGGGAGTGTTCAAAGATCAGGGGCCGGGGATGGTCATCATTCCTAGAAAATGAAAACCAAAAACCGCTAAAGCGCCCAGCAAAACGACCTGCACAATCACTCAACATCCTCGAGATGTCCGTTTGGCAGGCGGTGGAGAAGCTACAAGCGAACGCTGGCCGCCCTCCTTTGCAGGTTGCGTTTGGACCGCTCAGTTGTCTCAGTTGATTCAATTGGAGGCAGATTTTTGGGGTCACTTGGAGCAACCTAGGCCATGATTTTTGTGACACCCAATTTCCTACCGAGAACATGTTTTTTTCGTATGCGGAATAAACATGAATAAACTTGAATAAACCTACGTGCAGATATGATCAGATATGGCTCAGTATCAAACAGCTCAAACTTGGGGATATTCATCAAGGTATCAGGGATTTGACCAATTCCGAGGCCACTGTTGCAGTCCATTGGTTGCAACCTTAGGAAGCAAAAGGATCACTTTGAAGTGTATGAGGTAATCATAGGATATCATAGGTATATATATATAGGCATATAATTCTCGTAGGAAATTAGTTGGATTGGACTATATCAGGTCTCTCTTCATGCTTCACACTCTTGCCTGTTGAGAATCAACGATCACTGCTTCATACCAGCGCATGTTTACATAAGTCTTTGAGTTTTCTGAGTCGTGCAGCCCCTTTGGAAACGTAGTACCAGTTCGGACCAGGCTGTTGAACTCCCAGTTTATAGGTAGAAGTTGGACAGGAAAGTACCACCGCTGCAGCCATGTCTTGACAAAATCCACGCGTAAATCATCGCAAGGGACATGTGATTTTTGCAACTTTCAGGAGTACTTCAAAGTCTGAGGCTTGGAGGAAAGCATGCTGGAGCGGCCAAGGGCTGAGTTCTAGCGACCTCTTTCCTTTCAGCCAGCTCAAATCTGAGGTGGCTAGCTGTACAATGCATCTATCCCTTCCTCCAAAAGGTCAGCAGCATTGGCAGCATCTCCAAAAACCATCCATTGGCTCAAGCTGCAGTAGAGCTTCAGTCATAGGAGGATATGCGGCATAGTGTTCATCTCATTGCCGTGATGGCATAGATGATCTAGGAGAGCATCAACAACATAGTGCAGCAACAACCTGTGTTTGAAGGACATCTTTAGATCCTCTGGGTTGAGCCCATAATCGCTCGCACTGCAATGGCGCCTGCCGCAAATCTGAAGTCCGATGACTACTACGACGTTCTTGCCGTGGCTCGCAATGCCACTGAAAGTGAGATCAACAAGGCCTACCGAAAGCTAGCTCAGAAGCACCGCCCTGACAAGAACTTGACAAGAAAGCAGCACGCAGAGGAAGAGTTCAAGTGCATTGTGGCTGCGTATGAGGTCTTGAGTGACCCACAGAAGAGGAAGAACTACGACCAGTTCGGCAAGGATGGTGTGCAGCCAAGTTCTGAGCATGGTCCGGAGGACCTCGAGGAAAGGCAAGAAGTTGCGCGGGCAAAGGCAGCGGCCAAGAAGGTGGCTGCTGCCACCCGAGCGGCTGCAGCTGCAAAGGTGGCGCAGCAAAGAAAAGAGAGCCGGCTCGCCAAAGAGAAAGAAGAGCAGATGAGAAAAAAAGAAAAGAAACTGAAAGCTGAGGCAGCTAAGGAGAAAGGCGTCTCCAAAAAGGATTTGATGGCCCCTACCTTAAATAATTATTCCAGGGGGGCATGTCACATCAGGAATAATTGATTTGGAATAAATAGTTTTAGGGCCTATTTTTAATTATTCTGCTAAGGGGGACTATTCTATGTCAGATGTTGTATGGAATAATTTGTGTCAACATACCTCAGAATAATTAGCTATTGATGGGCATATAAACCCGGATGATAAGTTATGATAAAATTTGAACCATTATTTGAAAAATAGATGACAATATATGACAACAGATGAGCGGTGATGACATGTGCATACATGTGCTGTTATGATCTGTTATGCGCTATTTCATCGCCCGTGGTAGAGTGCCAGAAAGAATGTAAAAAGATATCAGAAGATAAGCCAGATAGAATGTCAGAAGATATGCCAGATAGAATGTCAGAAGATATGCCAGATAGAATGTCAGAAGATATGCCAGATAGAGTGCCAGAAAGAATGTCAGAAGATATGCCAGATAGAATGTCAGAAGATATGCCAGATAGAATGTCAGAAGATATGCCAGATAGAGTGCCAGAAAGAATGTCAGAAGATATGCCAGATAGAATGATATAGAATGTCAGAAGATACGCCAGATAGAATGTCAGAAGATATGCCAGATAGAGTGCCAGAAAGAATGTCAGAAGATATCAGAAGATATGCCAGATAGAATGTCAGAAGATGTCAGAAGATATGACAGATAGAAAAGCACAGGGGTCCCAAGGAAATTATTTATCTTGACTCATTTGTCATATTTATTCCACAGGTCACCCACATATGTCAAAACACCCAGGAATAATTGGGCATCACCAGGAAACACCCAGGGATTCTTCAAACCATGCATTGGGTCACCAATGTTCACTCAGGGGCCCATTGGTCTTTGGCTAAATTACCATAAGTTACCCGTATGTTTTCCACAGGTCACCCACATATGTCAAACCACCCAAGGGAAAATTCGGCATCACCAGGAAACACCTAGGAATTCTTCAAACCATGCATTGGGTCACCAATGTTCATTCAGTGGGCCCATTGGTCTTTGGCTAAAGTACCCATATTTTAACCACAGGTCACCCACATATGTCAGAACACCCAGGAATAATTAGGCATCAACAGGAAAATCCAGAAAAAAACCCAGGGATTCTTCAAACCATTCATTGGGTCACCAATGTTCACTCAGTGGGATTCAGTGGGTCCATTGGCCTTTGGCTAAGTTACCATAAGTCACCCATATGGGAATGTCTCCAAAATGGGGTGCCCCAAACTTTCTTTTTTCAGAAAAAAAGTTTGGGGCACTCATGTGGGCACCCCTATTTTGAGACATCCCCATATGTTTCCCACAGGTCACCCACATATGTCAGAACACCTAGGAATAATTAGGCACCACCAGGAAACACCCAGGGATTCTTCAAACCATTCATTGGGTCACCAATGTTCACTCAGTGCGTCCATTGGTCTTTGGCTAAGTTACCATAAGTTACCCATATGTCTTCCACAGGTCACCCACATATGTCAAACCACCCAAGGGAAATTCGGCATCACCAGGAAACACCTAGGAATTCTTCAAACCATGCATTGGGTCACCAATGTTCATTCAGTGGGCCCATTGGTCTTTGGCTAAAGTACCCATATTTTAACCACAGGTCACCCACATATGTCAGAACACCCAGGAATAATTAGGCATCAACAGGAAAATCCAGAAAAAAACCCAGGGATTCTTCAAACCATTCATTGGGTCACCAATGTTCACTCAGTGGGATTCAGTGGGTCCATTGGCCTTTGGCTAAGTTACCATAAGTCACCCATATGGGAATGTCTCCAAAATGGAGTGCCCCAAACTTTCTTTTTTCAGAAAAAAAAAGTTTGGGGCACTCATGTGGGCACCCCTATTTTGAGACATCCCCGTATGTTTCCCACAGGTCACCCACATATGTCAGAACACCTAGGAATAATGAGGCACCACCAGGAAACACCCACGGATTCTTCAAACCATTCATTGGGTCACCAATGTTCACTCAGTGCGTCCATTGGTCTTTGGCTAAGTTACCATAAGTTACCCATATGTCTTCCACAGGTCACCCACATATGTCAAACCACCCAAGGGAAATTCGGCATCACCAGGAAACACCTAGGAATTCTTCAAACCATGCATTGGGTCACCAATGTTCATTCAGTGGGCCCATTGGTCTTTGGCTAAAGTACCCATATTTTAACCACAGGTCACCCACATATGTCAGAACACCCAGGAACAATTAGGCATCAACAGGAAAATCCAGAAAAAACCCAGGGATTCTTCAAACCATTCATTGGGTCACCAATGTTCACTCAGTGGGTCCATTGGTCTTTGGCTAAATTACCATAAGTTACCCATATGCCTTCCGCTAAAGCAAGGGAAGAAGAAGCGAGGAACATTCTGGCCCGTGCCAACAAAAATCAAGCCGACGACGGTCCAAGCACGAGAAAAGCCGCCATACGGGCTTATAGATACCTGCACATCATGGCGACATAGCATGGAGCGCTGATTCAACAAGCCTACGTAGCAGCCAAAACTCATGCGGCACGTGGTAAGGGACCCATTGATCCCAAGGACACTGCAGGATACCATCCTCTCCCAGATGAGCTTCCGACAGTACCGCCAGAGCTCACCTCTGGACTGTTACACTGTCTCTCCACTCTCAACCACCCAGGGGAAATTGGGCATCACCAGGAAACACCTAGGAATTCTTCACAGGTTGAGATAGGTTGAGCATTGCCGGAGCACATCTTTGAAACCAGGAACGAGCAAAACTTGCAAGATCCCAATAAACTTTTGAGTTTATTTGAAAAGGTTTTCTGACACTAGGTTTCTAGTGGTTTGTGGCAATACAACCTCAATCAACACATCCCAAAAATATACCAGATTTGATTACAACTTGTATTTTTATATGAATGGAGAGGGGGGGGTTGCCCTAAATTTACCCTAATTATTCCCGATGTCGTGTGACATACTGGAATGTTTTCCCAGAACATGCGCAATGGGGCTGGAATAATATCCAATTATTCCAAGGTATGCTGGCATGGGGGGGGGTCTAAGGCAGGGACCATAGGATTTGAAGCCCGGCCAGACGGAAAGCTGCATGAGAAGAGGTGACAAGGATGTGGAGGTCATCGAGCCCGCAGTGAATCTGCCTTTGGGCAAAGGGGCCGTTCAAGTGGGGGTGTCCAGCACTCAAAGCTTGGCCAATGAATTCGGCATGTTCCAGGCAAAATCTAAAGTGGCTATTGATGCGGACGCGGCCAAGAGGATGACCAACTTGCAGGTCAACCAGAAGAGAAAGACGGCAGATGCCCCAAGGGCCACAGATGGACTGAAGAAATTGACGGAGGAACTTGATGCCATGGAGGTTTCAGGACCAGCGCCTGAAGTTGCAGAGGATGGCTTCTTGTGGCAGTGGGTCAGGACAATGTTCAAGGCCCACTGCTGCTGCGCTCGCTGAAGGCACAGCTGTTTCACCTAGCCGTGATGGCGCCATGATGATGAAGATGCATGTGCCATCACTTCAGAAGAAAAGACCGCCTACTTTTTTGAATCTTTGATGGACATCGCGCTGACTGTGCCTCCTGCCCCATATCGCTGTGCTTGAGGAGGAAAACAAATAACTACTACTCTATAGGTGTGTGTGTGTGGAAAGGATTCCTTGATCTTGGAATCTCCCAACATTCAGGCCGTGGTCCGAACTCTCCGGAGGTGAGAACCAGCGGATGATGTTCGCCATCGTCGCGCACTGAGAGGGTGCCAAGAGTGGATCCGACTTTGTCACCTTTGATTTGGGTGGATTTCCAAGAGAAAATCTACAAAAAAGGGGCGCTCTTACGGGCCAGCCGTGAGGCAATGGCCACAGCACCTGCATGTTTGGTGTTGGATGAGCCCACAAGTGCCTTAGATGAGGCCCAAAAGCTGCTGAAACCATGTTTATTGGATGTTGTTCATCCAGTTGTGGTTGGAAAACCCACATGGCAGTAGGTCTGATTAGGAGTTCATGAAATCTTCCAGCTAAAAACATGTTTTTTTTTTGTACTACTGCAAAGGATACTGACCCAAAAAAGAGTTGACTTCCACGGAGAAGTAATTCAGCAGTCGGGTCAGGTGGCGACTTTTCTTTTGACCATTGAAATCGAAGTGGCCATTGAAAACGAGCTTAAACCTGGAAGTTTTCCAACAAAACTGCTTTTCTATAGCAAGTTCAGCATTATCGAATGGTGCCTCTTCCGTTTTGGCAGAAAGATTGGTCCTTAAACGCGCTCGTCAAAAAAAAAGCTTCAGATCCTGGAGGAAAACTGGGGAAAAATCTGCTTTCTTTTAGCTCTTCCCTGGTGCGAGGCTTCGAAGTTGTTGGTGGAAGAGATGTTGAAGAAACGAGGCGATGATAAAATCAGTGGATGCTGGTCCAAGGTAATCCACCACCCGCCAGTGTTGTTTTGTCAAAGGAAGTTGGGAAGCAATCTTCCGAGTTACGGATGACTTTTACTCAATGAAGGGTGGTGTGAAACTTTACATCACATAACACAACATTCATGAAGGGTGGTGTGAAACTTTAGATCACATAACAAAAATATTCATGAAGGGTGGTGTGAAACTTTAGATCACATAACAATACATTCATGAAGGGCAGTGTGAGACTTTACATCACATAACAGTACATTCATGAAGGGTGGTGTGAAGCTTTACATCACATAACAATACATTCATGAAGCGGTGTGAGACTTTACATCACATAACAATACATTCATGAAGGGCGGTGTGAGACAAACCCCGTTGTAATGGCTGCATGAATGTCGCATGGGGCTAGTGTTGGAGAGGAAGCTGGAGAACGGAACCCTGTGTTCTTCTGTGTAAAGTGGCTGCAGGCGGCAATGAAAGGCACCTTGTGTGTGTGTGCGGCGGGTGCGGTTGCGATCGTTTTGATGCGTAATCGGTTCTCCCTTGGTGTTCTGCCACGTGTGGTTGTTGATGTGTGCTATAGGTTTTTTTGGAATCTGTTTTTGCAGATCGCAGTGTAATGGCTGCATGATTGTTGTCACGTTTTGTTGCCATGTGTGCCGGGGCATGCGTGTTAGACACGTGATGCTGCAAAACGCATTGTAATGGCTGCATGAATGTCGCATGGGGCTTGTGTTGGGGAGGAAGCCGGAATACGAAACCTTGTGTTTTTCCGTGTGAAGTGGCTGCAGGCGGCGATGGAAGGTACCTTGTGTGCGCGGCTGGTGCGGCTGCGATCGTTTCGATGCGTAATCAGGTCTCCCTTGGTGTTCTGCCACGTGTGGTTGTTGATGTGTGCTATAAGGTTTTTTGGAATCTGTGCTTGCTGCTTTCAGATCGCAGTGTAATGGCTGCATGATGGTTGTCAGTTTTGTTGCCATGTGTGTCGAGACATGCGGGTTAGACACGTGATGCTGCAAAACGCATTGAATGGCTGCATGAGTGTCGCATGGTGCTTGTGTTGGGGAGGAAGCCGGAGCACGAAACCTTGTTTTTTGCCGTGTATAAAGTTGCTGCAGTGTGCGGCGGGTGCGGCTGCGATCGTTTCGATGCGTAATCGGTTCTCCCTTGGTGTTCTGCCACGTGTGGTTGTTGATGTGTGCGTATTTATAGGTTGTTTTGGGATCTGTGCTTGCAGATCGCAGTGTAATGGCTGCATGATTGTTGTCACGTTCTGTTGCCATGTGTGCCGAGACATGCGGGTTAAGACACGTGATGCTGCAAAACGCATTGTAATGGCTGCATGAATGTCGCATGGGGCTTGTGTTGGGAGGAAGCCGGAATACGAAACCTTGTGTTTTTCCGTGTAAAGTGTGGCTGCAGGCGCCGATGGAAGGTACCTTGTGTGTGCGGCGCGGGTGCGGCTGCGATCGTTTCGATGCGTAATCGGTTCTCCCTTGGTGTTCTGCCACGTGTGGTTGTTGATGTGTGCTATAGGGTTTTTTGGAATCTGTTTTGCAGATCGGAGTGTAATGGCTGCATGATTGTTGTCACGTTCTGTTGCCATGTGTGTCGAGACATGCGGGTTAGACACGTGATGCTGCAAAATGCATTGTAATGGCTGCATGAATGTCGCATGGGGCTTGTGTTGGGGAGGAAGCCGGAGCACGAAACCTTGTGTTTTTCCGTGTAAAGTTGCTGCAGGCGGCGATGAAAGGTACCTCGTTTGTGCGGCGGTTGCGGGTGCGATCGTTTCGACGCGTAATCGGTTCCTCCTTTGTGTTCTGCAACGAGTGGTTGTTCCTGTGTGCGTGGTTCTTTGCGCTTCTTGAATCTTGGGCTGCAGAATGCAGAGTAATGGCCGCATGAATGTTGTCATGTCCTGTTGCCATGTGCGTAGATACAGTATGATACAGTATAAATCGTACTTGAGTGGCTGCATCAAGGCTGCAATAGTGATTTGTCAGTAGATTTTCTCAATTTTGGCGCTGGTGATTTTCCTTTGAAAATTCCTTTAAAAAAGTGTTTCAAAACCGTCCTTTTTTTTCGCTGCGCGGCCGAGCTGCAATTTCAAACGCCGTTGCGCGTTGTACTATAGTGTTTTGCAATTCAATATCTGGAGGCCGGAGGCCGCAATGTCCAGGTTGCTTGGTGCCGCGGCTGCGTGTGTAATACTATTGTCTTTTGCAGCTGAGAGTCGTGAATCGTATTGGAGTAGGTGCATCAAGGTTGCGATAGTGGTTTGTCACTAGATTTTGTCAAATTTGGTGCCGGTGATTTTCTTTTTAATTTTTTTTTTAAAAGTGCTTCATGGGCCCCGCCATTTCCTAGAGATTTGGATTTTATGGGTTTCCCATCTTTGACCAAATGCATTCTTTAGAGGAATATTGGTCGCTATTTGACCTCATCTGGTGGAAGTGCGGGGTTCCATTTTTTAGAGTTCCGGGTTATGATCTGGGATCACCTCTAAATTTACAATTTCCCATTCTTTAGACACCAGTTGTGTGTTTCCAAAAAAACGAAGTTCCATTTTTTAGAGCTCACTGGTTTAATGACATCAAGGGGTATGCCCTGGGGCCCTCCATTTTTTAGAGCTTACTGGTTCAATGACATCAAGGGGTATGCGCTGGGGCCCTCCATTTTATAGAAAAAACGTGCGGAAACACTGACATATTATAAACATTTAATATCATATAATAAATTTAAATAAAATATATACAAAAAAAACTAAAACACCCAAAAACTCTAAAGAATGGAACTTTGAACGTTTTCAAGGTCGATCAAGAAAATTCCAGAAAATCTCTAAAGAATGGTATCCCCAGATACTGCAAAATAAACAAAATGTTCACATAATTTTACAACAGCTCTGTCCACCATTTCCTAGGGGAAAAATAAGGGGGGAAAAATGAAATTAAGCACTTTTCAAGCCAATCACCTGGTCCTCCATTTTATAGACATGCCTCTGTTTGTAGGACCCTCGGAGGTTCCATTCTATAGGGATTGGGGTTCCATTCTATAGAGATTTGTTATGATATGTTAGTCTGGCCCATCCATTCTATAGAGCTTGGGGTTCCATTCTTTAGATGTTCCACTTCTAGCCCCCCCTGGGTCCACTAAAGAATTGCGCCACCCACCCTTTTTACTTAATCCAGAGGGGGATTTCAAGATCGTGTTTTTTTTTCCTTTGGCGCCGAGATCCCGGTTTTGGAGCTGCAATTTCTGCTGTCATTATGTACAAGGAAGCTTCTCTGTGTCAACGCTTCTTTGTGTAAAAACTTGCTGTGTGTAAAAGCTTTCTTGGTTTAAAAGCTTCTCTGCGTAAAAGCTTGCTGTGTGTAAAAGCTTTCTTTGTGTAAAAAGCTTTCTCTGTGTAAAGCTTGCTGTGTGTAAAGCATTCTGTGTGTAAAAGGTTCTCTGTGTGTAAGAGCTTCTCTGTGTAAGAGCTTACTGTGTGTAAAAGTTTGCTGTGTGTAAAAGCTTTCTGTGTGTCAAAGCTTCTCTGTGTAAAGGCTTGTTGTGTGTAAAAAATGCTTGCAGTGTGAAAAAGCATGATGAGTTTTGGGAAGTGCTTTGCGCAAGCTTTGTAGTACAAAGTAGTACTGGGACATACTTTGTGCAAGCCTTGTGGTACTGGGACGTGCCTTGTGCAAGCCTTGTAGTACAAAGGAGTACTGGCAAGTACGCTGTGCAAGCTTGGTAGTACAAACTAGTACGGGAAAGTACTTTGTACAAACTTTGTACTACAAAGAAGTACTGGGAAGTGCTTTGTGCAAGCTTTGTAGTACCAAGCATTTTGTAAAGGCTTTTCTGTGTAAATGCATCTGTGTATCAAGCTTCTGTGGGCAAAAGCTTTCTGCGCGCAATGGTTTTTCTGTGCAAGAGACTTCTGTCTGATAGTAAGGGTTTTCTGGCGCGCAGAACAGCCGAGATGAGTTGAGAAGACGTTCGAGGAGATGAGGAGATGAGAAAGGTTGGTCTGTGCTCGGATGAGATGAAAATAGTTGAGTAGTAGAACTTACATAGATGACATGTGAGAAGAGATGGGATGAGATGAGAAGAGCTGAGATGAGGTGAGAAGAACTCACATGATTTGAGATGAGGTGAAGTGTGGAATGCGAAGTGCAAGTGTGAAGTGTGGAGCGCGGGGTGTGAAGAGTGCAGTGTGAAGTGCGAAGAAAGTGTTCACTTGGCGTTGACGTTGCATTGCGCCGGGGTCGCGCGCAGGTCATGTTCTTGGACAACAACAGTGCAACAGGTTCGCCCAAAGCACGCACGGGCCTGGCTGGCGCACGGCGCATGCAAGTTGTATAGATGAAAAACGTCTTATAGTATAACCTTAAGGCAACTTCTGCCCCGCCTCGTGCGGGTACTACTGGTGCGAACAATATTGGGGTGGAACTTATCTTATTGATGTATGACAATGAGCACTTGACAAAGCATTCAAAGTGCCTCTCACGGGTCGTGTCCCCTTTTGTTTTCTCCAGATCACTGGCACTCCATGCGATGCATTTCATTGGTCCATTTTGGATGATAATCGTCTGGATTTGCGTTTCTCGTTTGAAAGAAACGTGCAGATGCCCGTCAGGCAACGACTCGTGCATAATCATGGCAACTCACGATGCTCAGCAAGCTGAACGGGCCCGGGAGACCCAGTTGGCACCGCTGTGTTGGAGAAAGGCAGATGGAACCAGTTGGCATGGGTCCATGGGTCAAGATTGTATTTAAATCAACACTTGAGAAGCTTTGGTTGTTGATGGTTTGGATGGTTTGGATGGTTTTGACAACAACAACAACAACAACGCAAATTTTGTCAGCGCGTTGGACCCGCAAATTTTGATCCACATCCATGTGATATGCATCTTGGGGGTATTGATTTTCCTGACACCTGGGCAGTGCCACTGAGGTAGGCTCCTCCTTATGGACTTTTTCCGTCACGCCCTGACTGCGCTGGTGTGGGCGAAGCAGAGAAAAAGGCAGCAGGTCCAATTGAAGACTGTGTGGCGATGGTCATTGTGTGATGGTATTTTGTTTAACACTTATCTCGAGGAACATCATTCGAGGAGGAAAAACTTTGGAAACCAATCGCCCCTCGGACATGGTGATTATTGGTGATCAGCCAGCCGAATTGGCAAATTGATGTAATTTTATGCACTGTAAATTTTAAGAACAACCAGATTTGGGGTCAAATCATGCCATGACTACGGCCCGCCATTTGAATTTGAGATTCACGAGCAAGGTGCATGGCCGTTGTGTTTCCCGCCAGTCTGGCTCCTCGCTGAGCGGTGAATCGCGCAAATTGGATATGGCATTCCTTCAGGTGCCCAGAGAACACTTCAACTTGGATGAATTTTGGACCATTTGCAAAGCAAAGTCAGCTAAGTCTGTAAATGATTAATTATGAACACAGATAAACGATTTGTGTATGTCCAAGAATGAATTGAAATACCAGCGGACACCGGATTAGTACATGTAAATGACCTCTTACAAACTGCCAGCTCTCTAGGACCTTTCCCCCAAGAATGGGGACGACTTCTTTTTTGCCCATCTCTAGGGGCAACAGGTTACCAGTTGGTGGTTGGTCCCATGGCTTGTCCATTCCACAGCTGGCTATGATTGGTTGATCGGTTGCTTTTGACTAAATTGAGGTGACTCCCGACTTTCGTTTTTCACATGGGTTAATGTCCGAATTTGGGCAGATCAACTGAGGGAAACCTGCAACACAACCCATCTGCATCCATCTGCCACCTTTTCTTTTTGTTCTTTATTGTCAGAAGCAACGTTCCAAGAAATCTAATCAACCCTTGAAGGCATGAGAATTGGCTGGGGATCGATTGATGCGTCCTCTAAGGTTGGAGCCCCGTGTAGTCGTAGTCCTTGCCAAGACTTTGGCTGGCGGCTGGCTGACCTAGCACAGTCTACGCTTTGCTGTGAACTTATTGGCTGAATGCAGGTCTAAAGCAGTACTGTAGGGGTGAATTCACTGAGGATTTTCCAAGATTCTCAGCTATCATCATTGGCGAGCTCACCGATGAATTGGGTCCCATCGAGACCAAGAAGTCCGACGCCAAGCCGGGGCACTGTTGGGAGAAATAACTTAGAATCTAAGAAGGTTGAGTTGATCTACTAGAATTGGCGTGAAAGGCCCGGAAAACGTGGGGCACTTTGTCGGTTTTTGCTGGGTTTCTGTTGGTTTCCCATGATTTCCTATCTTTTTCTGGCAATCACAAGTGAGTTTCCTTCTTTCCTGTCAGGCTTTCATGAAGTATCAGTGGTTTCCCTGATTTTCAATGGCTTATCCTCTCTTATCCAGCTTTCCTTACCATCCCGTCTGTGTGGCTGGGCAGGTTCTACGTTGAGCGGCCAGCCCTAACCTTCCGCGGATCCAGGTGCCAACTGATGGTCTCAACATGTCTCAACTATTGACTTCATTCATAGATGTCATCCTTGCAACATCATGTTTCGTTCACATTGTAGAGAATTGAGATTTTAGACCTGAGGCAGGTGAAGTGCTGAAAAGTCGATTGAAGTTGCCTGGCGCAGTGCTGGAAGTGCCAAGTGCTCAAGAGCCTTGTTCACGTTCGTTCCGGGTCATTCTGTGCAGACTGTCCGTCATGGGAGCTGGCTGTGCCAAGCGTGCTACAGGAAGACTGCGGGGCAAGACGAAGCCCACTGACTTGTGTCACACCCGACTCTTTCCAGTGCTGGCTGGCGCCGCACTGGCTCGTGAAGTTCGCTCCCTGCACGGTGGAACGAACAATCTGGTGTGACAATACTTGGCTCGTTCCGAGTGTCGAGTACGTGGCGGCAAGTTCGAGAACTAGACCTGCGAGGAGTCTTTGATTACCAGGGCAGCAGCTTAATCTTGAACACCTTCGACCACAGAAGGTGCTGCTCAAGGGTGGGAAGGTATGACGGGGATTTACCCTGCAATCTCTTGCACATATGTTTTCTACCCTAGGTTCCAGCCCTGGCTTCCAGGGTATATATATTATATACATATAAACATATTTTTCTCCCTGGAATCCAGGGTATATTTATATACATATATATATATACACATGATTTCATATGTATCATTGAAGTATGGACCCAAGCATCTAGGAGCTGTAGTAGCACATAGTAATGACAAAACATTCTTGTGGTATAGTAAAATAGGAATCTTATCCGACATGGAGGTTCCCCCCAAATTAACCCTACTATATTTTGGGGATCCTCCATGTATGGAAATACCAGTAACTGTTCTATATAGATACATGCCGCGCCAGAGTCACCAGCCCCTGTGGTCAAACTTATGAGGGCATCTGCCGACCAGGATGCTTCTGGCACGATCAACCGCCGGGAATTCGAAAAGTTTGTGACTCCCATCGGAAGTTGGTCAGCTGCACATGAGAAGCAAGTCTTTGACGAAGCAGATGAGGACAAGGATGGAGAGCTATCTGCAGGAGAGATTGAGAAGTCGTTCCAGATCAATGTGAGGGCTTGGCCTGGGCTGGCAGATACCCAGTGGAGCCAGGAAGAGCTGCGAAAGTTCACATCTTGCCTTGATTCTGATGGTGATGGTGTGATTAGCAAGAGCGAGTTGGCTGAGTGGCACAAACTCTTGGACAAGAACAATGATGGTGCAATTTCTTCGGAGGAGCTCGCGCATGCCACGGACATTGCGCAGCAGAAGTTCACCGAAGGCCTTTTCAATTGTGGTGACAAAAATGGAGATTCTGTCCTGGACCAGTCAGAATTTGGGCTGATGTTGGGAAATTTGGTGGGTGATCTGGGTGAGCTGAGTGACACACAGCTGTCGCATTTGTTTCAAAGTTGTGATGCAAATGGCGATGGCACCATCTCCACCGAGGAGTTTCGAGGACTTGTCGGTAAGCTGGATCGTAATGGTGATGGGAAGCTGTCCCTGGAGGAGTTAGAATTGGACAAAGATGGATCTGGAATGCTGACAAGTGTAGCTGCCTCCAGTGTGTTGGGTGCATTGAAATTGTTTGGGCCCATGGCAGCGGAGTTGGCACCTGCAAACATGAAATTTGCATGCCAGGCAGCCATGGGTGTGGTCGCGTGCTGTGCCAAGGGAGACTCTCTTGTATCTGCCGCCACAAAGGTGGCCACGGGTGCAGGGACGAAAGTTCTCATTTCCAACTTATGCAGGTATCTCCAGGCGCCAGCGACGGCCCAGCGTACAATGCCCCAAGCTGAAGGTGCTGCCGCAGCTGCAGCCACAGCAGGGGCCGCCCTGCCAGCCCAGGCACCTGAGCCTGAACCTGCTGAGCCTGAGCCTCCTCGCTTCTGCTTGATTTGCAAGAGGGGGGACCGTGGCATGCGTCCATCGCGTTGCTGTGACATGTTGATGTGTGGCCACTGCATCGGCAGGATGATCGCATGCGACCTCTCGATGTGCTCGCGCTGTGGGCAGCAGTGGCAGCTTTGAGGGAGGTATGACGCAAAGAAACCTTGGCTGTTTGGCTGTTCATAGCATTTCATAGCTGCCTATACTATTGCCTGTCATAGCAGTGGCCCGTGTCCTGTACTGTACAAGTTGTACCAAGGGCAACGTTCCCAGGGCCAAACCACAGCTTGACAACCCTGACAACTTCTGTGCCAAAGTTCCAGGGAAAATTGAAAATGAGTGATCGAGCAAGGAACATGCACCGCACCATGCAGCGCACCACTAGCGCACCATGCAGCTTTTCTCAAACAGCACCATCACTGCCACCGAATGGGTATGGTCGAAATAAAGATTTCACAAAGATGTTTATTGTCATTGTTTTTTAGTATTTTATTGATGGAGCGATTCAGCTTGGAATGCTCACTGCGCTGCCAAGACGCGACGAACCATCTTGTGAGATCCTCACACTCTGCCAGGTGGTGATGATGACGCTGATCCATAACATTATCAATATTGCTGGGGCCCTTGGCTGGTGTGGCAATCCCCTCATAGACTCATAGTCCTTCCTGATGATGGGAAGCTAAACTCGACTTACAACAAAAACCAGCGAGCGGTCTTTAAACACCAATACAGGGAGATATAGTTTGAGCAGCACTAGTTCACATGCATGATGATTTCATCAACATAAACATGGTCACATCGCCCGTAGGAGCGCTGGACTGTTGTCACATTTGAAATCACTTATTTTTGACTTGTTGTTTCAATTTTGCAACCTTCCTGTGTATTTGAAGATATTTGAAGACTTGACACAACATTTCTGTGATTCATTGCATGAACATTTCACTGTAAGGCGGTGAAAACATGGCTGTCTCGTGTTGAAAACACTGCGAAGGTCTGTGATTTTGTCCTATGTGTCCCTTTCACCCCTTTATTTTTTTGGCGGTCAGCGAGTTTCTTTGCAGAGTTTTCCAAGTTTTGGAACAGGTTACCTCAAAGTATCCACACCACAAGGATGACCACAGCTCTTGTTCTTTGATCTTTCCTTGTCTTTTCGTATATATATATATAATATATATATATTATATAGGTATATAATCGTATATATATGTTGGTAGGGAGCTCTCAACCTTGGGTCTCCTGACCCTTCCCACCGTTGGCCTCCTGGCCTAAACAATCGGACTCTTTTCACCTCTCATTGCGACAGCGGTGAACAGAATGGTTCCTCGGGGCATTGAGCCAAGGCCACGGTATGAGGTGACCTGGCAAGGGATTGAAGATGCTGTGGCAAACAACACTCCTCTGTACTAATAAAAAAAAGAAGTGATCAGGTTCTGAGGGCGTTTCAACCTCATGTGCCAACACTGCCGGTTCTTGTGGAGGATATGCCTGTGGCACAAGGTCTACATACTGGTGACTACGGAAAGTTCCGTGTTCGATCATGTCTTTGATACCCAGTAGCTGAGTCTCGGGTGTCTCAACCAAAGATCTTTCCTCACCAGTGGCTAAACGAACTTGTTCTGGTGCACAACGCAAGATGTGGTTTCTATGGGCGACAATGACATTTCGTCCTACCAAACCTATGACGATGCCACTACCATACCAACGGCCACCCTGAGACAGAAGGCCTTTGCTCCATTTCTGATCACGCCAGTAGGCGACAACATCGCCTGAATTGAAGGGTTTATCCCGTCTTGGTCTGGCGATCAAGGCTCCGCGGAGACTTTGATCGTCTTGCAATTGCAGGACAGCTTGCCTGGCCGCAGAACGCACGGCATATTTTCGTGCAAGAGCTTGATCTTGCAAGGAGGCTGTACCATTTAAGACATCTCCGGGGAGCTCAGGGTTCTTGCCAAATATGAACTGGCTGGGAGTATAGCCATAGTTTTGGATCATTTGATTTTTGACATGGCTCTGAATGACGCATTCCAGCCACTCTTCTTTGTTTTCAGGACTTTTCTGTTCCAAAACTTTAGACAACACACGTGAAAACCAACCACCATGAACTTCTGTCTTACCAAGTTGCCAATGGGCTCCTGCTGCGGTCACCAACACATGGGTTCCTTCAAGCTCTGTAGGTTCAACCATTGCCTTACCAAGGTTTGTCCTGGCTGGATCAAGAATGACTTCTTTTGGGGGACCGGCCCAATTTACCCATTTCTCAAGGTACAACTTTCGTAGAACACTCGCTGTTTCAGTTTCAAAGAAGGGCACCATGAGTTGATAGGACGAAGCATAGTCCACTATGTTAAGAGCAGAAATCTTTTGATTTGGTTTCCAGCCAGGCAGGTACTTGACATCCAGTCCAACACGCTGGTTGAATTCTAGCACGCGATGTGCTTGGCCGGGATTTGCCACTGTCGGGGCTTGGCGCGCTATGCAAAAATCACAGGACAAGTCTTTGGCCAACTTAATGGCAGCTTCGCTGGCTTGACCATGACGCAAAATGCGCACTAGATCGTGATTGGATGGGTGGCCTAGATTCTTGTGCAACCGATGCAAAACAGCTTTCAACTTCTCAGGGTCAGTCTCGGCTTCGGTGACTAAAACTTCAAAAGGAAGAGCATCATGGTGATCATTGCCATCCCAGTTACAGACTAACACTTCGGTGCATGAACGAAACTTCGGCACGGTGTTCAGCACATACAAAATCTCGGGTGTATCGCCCAGCATGCTTGCTCACGGATCCGATCCCCGGTTCACTGCCGGCGATAGTGGCATGGACATGTTCAGGCGCTGACTCTCCTGGGCAGTGGCGTTGGAGGACTTCCATGTCCGGGTGGCTACACAACAACCGGGTGCTCTTACGGATATACCGCTTCGGCTTATCTCCACGAGCTGGCAGGTGAAGGTCGAAACAGCACATGTGAGTGATGAAGGATGTCAACTCTTGACACCATTGTTGCATTTCATCATCATGCCAAACATCGGACCCGGCAGGATGTTCAAACAAAAATCTACCACCTGCTGCCACCTGTTGCCTGATCAAGTCTTTGACAAACAGCATGAAAGTCTTCAACTTCCGTCGGCGGCTCAAAACTTCACTACAGGACATGTACAAGGAGTTAAGGTTGAACCAGCCCCCTGCGTCAGTGCATGGTGGACAAATAACCAAAAGCTCTGGAGGATTCAGTCTAAGTTCTTCCTTAACCCAATCCCGATTGGCCTTGACGGTGAAGTCCCATCCATTCAACACGTCGAAGGATATGCCCTTGAGTCCCATCTTTTCTACCTCAGGAGTAAATCTAGGGGGGCAGAACACCTCGGCGACTGCATACTTGCTTCCAAGCCTGGTTGACTTGAGTTGATGGTTCAGCTGTCGGAGCTGTTTCTTGGTAAGGCCACCCTGTTTCTTACTGTTGGGAATGTTCTGGGTCCCAAGACATTCATAAAACGGCTTCTGATCAGGCAAGGACTCACTGGCAATGGGGGACCACTGTGCACTGGAAAGGGGACGAGACATGGACGGGACCGACACGGATGCAGGACCTGGTGCAGAACCTGGATTGGACTCGAACTCTATACCCCGGTTATTCCCCGTCTTATCCGTTATCCCCTTATCACAACTATCCCCGTTATGCCTATCTTGATTATTCTCTGACTTCTTGGACAGACCGGCATCGGATGCAGTGGAAGGCACATCCACCATCTGAACCTCATGCTCAATGGTGCGGGCTGGAAAGTTCATAACGTCGAGGACGTATTGGCCAGCAACGTTGGACTTCAGCTGGACTTGGGTCTTGCCATCAAACAGTGACAAACGATCATTCGCAAAGTCAATGCTGGCCCCAAGTCTTTTCAGGGCTGGTCTCGACAGCAGCAGAGGCGCATCACCTGCTACTATGGCTGCTTGAACTGCTCCAAACTTTCCATCCAGGCCTATGGGCATGACAACAACTTGAGTGGAAGTCTCACGTTCGCCGTTTCCAAACTTGAACACGTTCACCTCATCCTTGAACGTAGGTTGAAAACGATCATCTTTCTTCCAGAGGCTCTGAAACTGAGACAAGGTCTTTTGCCCAACTATTGTTTTGCCACATCCTGAATCAAGAACAGCAAAGCCTGGACTGCTGACCAGAAGGATCTCTTGTGCTGGTTGCGCACGTTGCTCATGTAGGCATTGCACCTGTTGCACCAACGTCCTTTGGGATTCCACTGCGGCCACAAAAACAGGCTGCTCGACAACGACTTCAGGGGCCACATAACTGGCAGCTGTTTCCTTCACATTTCCCTTAGAGGCATGAGACGGAGCTGAGGGATCTCGTTTTTGTCTGCACTCCCTAGCCCAGTGGCCAAGTTTGCCACATCGATTGCACTTGGTTTTGCGTTTCATCTCTTCAATCTCCACTCGGAAAGACCTACGCAAGTCCTTGGCTTGGTCGAACTTGCGAAGTTTCTGGAGACGATTGATCTCAGCTCTTTTGTCCTTCCAAGTGGCAGCGAGGACCTCGGCGACCTCTTCTTCAGGGTATTCCAGATCCTGTTCGTCAATGTCTTTGACATAGTCGGCCAGGAAGAGTTCAACATCGTCAAAACCTGTGACCTCATCGTCAGGTGGCAAACTAGGTGAATCCCCAAGCTCATCCTGAACCAAAGCTACTGCCTTTTTCCGGGAATTGATGAAATCCGGATAACAGCTTCTCATGGCCTTGCTCACGGCTTCACGTTTCAATTCTCCCATGGAGCGGCCTTTCACAACGGCCTGCTGTTCTTCATTCAGACCACTCCACTTGAGTAACATGAATCCACGGGCCTCTTCCGGAAACTTGACATTGCCTTTGCGCTCACATCGGTCAAACAGTTCTGTTGCCCTGCTGATCCACTGTCGAAGGGACTCTCCTTCCTTGGATCGCAGGCTAAACACCTCATTCAGGACTTCAGCTACTTAGTTCATCAGTTTCATCACGTTGTGGAAACCTTAGATCTAAGAGGTCTAAGAGCTTTTTCTCTCCACCCTCTTTCTGGTATTCCGAGGGCTCAAGGTGTTCCACGCATTCCAAAGCCTTTCCCTGCAGCAGTGTAGACAAATACGAACCACGAGCTTCCTTAGGCAATTTATCCAGAGTTGCAAACTTGCTGACAAGCCAGGGCTTCCAGCGCCGGTACTCCTTGAAGTCTTCGTTCTCGCCGCTGAAACAGCGGACACTACCGCCATGGTCAGAGTTGGATGTCGATGACGACATAGATGCTGTGCTCACCTGTTCCTCCTGGAACTGAGACGGATGCTGGTATCGCGGACCAGCTCCGCTACCAATGTTGGTAGGGAGCTCTCAACCTTGGGTCTCCTGACCCTTCCCACCGTTGGCCTCCTGGCCTAAACAATCGGACTCTTTTCACCTCTCATTGCGACAGCGGTGAACAGAATGGTTCCTCGGGGCATTGAGCCAAGGCCACGGTATGAGGTGACCTGCAAGGGATTGAAGATGCTGTGGCAAACAACATATATATATACACATGATTTCAATGATTTCAAGCAAGATAAGATGTCTGAAGTGGTGATTTCTTCACAAGATTCTTGAGGAGGTGTGTCGGATGGAAAGTCTAAGAAAAAAGGTTGAGTGTAGCATAAAATATGTTAGAAAGAAGAGAGGATCTTTGAGTGTAGCACCAAACACGTTAGAAAGCATAAGAAAAGATCTAGCAGCGTAGCATGAACTACCGGTATGTTAGAAAATAGAAGAACGAACTAAAAGCGTAGCAGCAAATATGTTGGAAATAGTAGAAGAGAAGATCTTTGAGTGTAGCAACAATTATGTTAGAAAGTAAAAGAACAGATCTAGCAGCGTAGCATGAATTATTATGTTGAAAAGAAGAAAATATCTAGAATTAAAAACGTAGCATCACCTAAGTACGCACTGGGCAGGACGTTATTGCCCCCAACCCCACCAAATCTGATGCAAACCCCTATGACATTGACATTAAACATATGCAAGGCGCGCGCACTCCTAGAGGCAACCACACCAAACACATAGGATGATTTACAGCCGGTCTCAGTAAGAAAGCCCGGGTCTTCAGATATGGTTTGTTTTTCCATCCATGGCGTGCTGAAACGAGCAACCAGTAGATGATGACCGGGCAATCAACCAACATGGGCATACCGTACAATAAAATCAATGTACATAATTCACTGCTTGCTTCCTGAAGTGGGAAGATCACCCCAATCGACCAAGTCCTCATCTCATTGGATTTCAGCGACATGCCAAACCCGACCAAGCAACAATCATTATCAATCATTTGAATGCACAAAACTCACTAGCAACATGACATGTTGGTGGGAACGATGTCTGAAGCGATGCAGTTCGATACCTGGAGCGACACCCCAAATCACCAGAAGTAGACAGTCCCCCAGACTGGAGAGAAGACGGCAGCTGCTTCCGGACTTTGAAGTGCGTCCCTTCAAGCCAAGTGGCGGGCCTCACCGACATCATTATTTAGTTCCAGCTTCTCTACCAGCAGTGGCGAAGCTTGAGTGAGCAATTTCCGTTGTAAGGGGGTTTGAAAGTGGTTGGGCACTTTGAGGGGGAGAGTGCCCTGCCAAGGCGACCGCTGGCTACAAAACTAGCCGCTGGGTAATTTTTACATCTCATTGACAGAAGGCCTGCCTGAAAATAGATGTCATACTTCATCATATTTAGCAAAAGCGAGCTCCCCCCGTGTGAAGCGATAGGGAACCTTGAGGAGCGATACCCCCTGAACTGATGACTATGGAATCAATACCATGTTTAGACCGTCGCAAGTTGAAGCAAGAGCATGTTCACTTTTGAATGCTGCCGCAGAGTGCGGAGTACGGAAAGGAAGGGTGTTGCTCTTTCGCAGTCTGGCAGCGTCACCCTCGCTTCGGTGCTGAAATTGATTGCGCATTGGGAATGACTTAGAGATGGCAGGATAATTCTGCGATACGAGATGATAAGTGCAGAAATGCAATCCAGCAAACTTCATCGTGATCATCAGGATGACATTTTTTGATGCTGAGATGACCCTGCTATACTGGGTACTTATGGTGTTTCTGAAAATGTGGGACCCCTTTTGATTGCTGTTGCGCAAGTTGCATCCCAGGATCACGATGGATCACAACTGAACCACGCTTCAGCCCCTGAAGCATCTTCGGAGCAGCAGGCAGCTCAGGTGCCAGGGACGGTGCCCAAGTGGACAAGTCGACATACAGCATCTCACCATAGTTTGGAAGGCAATTTTGGGGAGAGTGGTGAGTTTTTGTCAACACTCCTGGTCCATCAGCACAGATCCAGGGTTTGGGTTTTCATGTTTTGTGCTAGCCAAATTTATCGGGTTGCAGGCTCAGGAACTGTGACACAAAGCAAGTTGACAAGAATGGCAGGCTGCATCTGTTGAAGACACGGAAGCAAACTCATTCCTGCTTGATTCGTGTTTCAATGCCAGGCAATGCCAGCATTTACTGTAGCAGCTGTTCCACCTGCTGAATGAGGGAAATGAAGGACAGATAAACCAGAAAACAACTGACCCGCAAGATCTCGTTGAAACGAAGACAGCTTGGCTGACACTCGCGCATCATCCTGGCGCAACTACCAGACTTTGAACTTCCCAGAAGGGGTGTCATTCTGAGCTGAGCCAGCGCCATGGGGCAGTGTGTTGCGCCATGCGATACATGCTATGACGGCTTGGATGCCATGCTTTTTCGGCATCTCCCAAAGGTGCTTCAGATGAAATTGAGTCAGCTGATGATCGATGATGGGGAAGGTGTGTGAACTCGTGTCAGTGGGATGACACAAACTTGGTAAAATGGGGGATTCGAAGGTACAGCGCTTGAAGATCTGTGGTATGTGGTAAGAACAACCTGTCAACGGTTTGTGGGATCCTCAAGACCCAGCAGTGGACATTTTGATATGTTTTGATGCTTTGATATGCTTTGATACCATCTTATATAGTCTTAAATCTTAAAGTCTTAAAGAATGAAACCATCTCTGCCGGAACCTGAACCCACAAACAATAGATGGGCCATTTCCGTGTTGAAATCACTTCCACCTAGCCCAAGGCACAGCAGGGAGCCAGCCCTTCAGCGCTGGCCCCCTGGACCAAACCCTGGACGGAGCCCTGGCTGCCGCCGGGAGCACAGCGGTCCGGCCAAACGCACTGGGCGAAGCTCAGAGCGTTTGTCCGCGCACGGATGGCGTTTGGGATCCTACTGCAGGAGCTGCGAACACGTGAGGCTGGAATGTGACGGACATAGCTCCAAGTGGTGATCGAGTGGAGGGGGCCAACTTCCAAAATTCTGGGAGAGTGGGCATTTTTTGATTGACTGTTTTTATATTTGTGGGCATTCACCATGTGTCACTTTGCAAGTTGCTGCAAGTTGTGTAGATACCAACATCTACTTACGTCATCAGTGGGGATCTTCTGGCCTTTTTTCGGAAATCATGGGGCCCCTCAACTTTAGAAGCGGAGCCTTTTCACATCACCAACACCATATAACGCCATGACACTCCAAACCTTGGAGTTTTCCAGTCGATTCCAGGTGGAGAGGCTCTATGAGAACAACTGGAGCGAAGTAAATACCCCGACATGTCGCCAGCCCTCGCTGGGCTGGCGGAAAATGTTTTTCGGCAGAAGTGCCGTGGGGGTTGGCATAATTTCGAACTGACGTGTTAGTGACTGTTAGATACTGTTAGTGGTTGAGGAGAATCAAACATCCTGAGAGTTCATAGCTGGTTTGATTCTTTTTCTGTGTGACTGGGATGACTATGCCCATTGACAAGCATGCAATGGGGTGATGGGTGGAGACGACCAGGCACAGATTGATCGGGACAATCCCAGGTGATAGTGAACAGGGACACGGGGACGGGTCAATGCTTGAAAAATACTTACGATACATTGCGATATCATGTTTGAGGGGATAAACATCCATTTACCATTTATCTATCAACTACTGTATTTTACTGTGCAAACAGTGCAAACCCGGGCATTTCTTTCTTCAAAAATGTGTTTTACTCCCATGTCCACATGGATGGTGGTTTTTTCAGGCAAGCTTTGACCACATCTTCATCGTCTTTGCAAGAACTCTTAAATGATGTGAGCCACTGGGCTGTCAAGATCCTCCGCGCCCGTTACGGGGCCTGTTATGGGGCCCGTTACGGAGCCCATGGGGTCTGGGCAGGGAATTGAGGGAATTTGAAGAACTAAGAGTTGTGGGCTTTGGGTAATGCGGGTCGGGTCTATGTTGTTTGAGGAATGTTTGGTTGGACTATAGTTACTATAGTATACTATATAGACCATAGTTATCATTTGCATTCATGTTTCCCTCCCATCTCCGAGCGGTTTCTGGGTGAAATTGGATCCTGCAGTCGATTCGACAGTCGATCCAAGACGGTAGCCAGAAGCCATCAAGGGTTCGGACATGTCAAACGAACAGTACAACAATTGACCCTAGCACCCCCAAACAAAAAGATTAAAACAGATAGAACAATTGGATGCCTGGAAACTATGGGGAAAGATCTTCAGTTGTTGGAGATGTTTCCGCAACTTTCTTGGTTGGATGAGCTGAGTGAGACTGCTGTGACCACCCTGCCGGTTGTCAGGATGCAAACAAGCAGAAAATCTTTATGCAGCAGATTGGAACGCTCTGAAGCCTGGTCAGTCCCTGATGTCAGCTGCTGCTGCAGCTGGGTAGGTGACAGATTTCTGCGCCTATCTACCCACCTAGTGGAAACTGCATTGTGGTCTTGGATGGCGAATTGAACATGAATATTGCCTGCCAAAAATCATTGCTGGACATTTCCGCTGTGTCATTTCCACAAGTTCTCTGCTGGGAGGGTCGAGACCTTCGACTGCCTTCAGTTCTTTCTTTAAGCAGTGTGTTGTAGAGTTCCTTTCAGGGCCTCCTCCTGTTTGACACAACCCTTTTTTGAACCGAACACTTTGTTGTTTCAAGTGTTTGAGGCCCTTTCTTCAGGAAACACTTGGTGCCACTTCTTGATGAGATGCCCTTGATGTTCCAGACTCACTGAATATTTAACACATGTATACTGTATACACATGTTTTCTTCAGACTCTGCTGCTTTTAACAGACTTTGAACGGGCTGAACGGGGATTTCAAGCAGCTCTTGCGTGCCTTGCGTGCAACCAGTTTCTTCGTGAGCAGTTTCTCCTCGCCGAAGACTCTTGTGGCTGCAACGTCCTAACCACAGGAGTTACAGACACATTTTCTGACTTTGATGGACACCGCGTGGTCCATTGATATTCCAGCAATTGTGATTTATTATCAAACCCCATGTTCAACACAAAACTGCAAATTGCTGAACGCACCTTAGGAGTCCATGTAATATTTCTTTCCTGCCGTGAGATTCAACGCCAATCCCACCCAAAACACTATTTGAAACCAGCCAACTTCTGCAGACCACAGATCTTTGCTGAGGGAACCTTTAGAACCCAGACCGGGGACAGTGACCGCTGCAGTCTGGTGGAGAGAAAATGGAGGGCTGCGGCGGAGTGCTGTTTGATAGGGATGTGGCTCAAGAATGGGCCCATGACATCCAATTTTGGTGGTCAAATCGTGAAACATCGTGAAGCCTTAACCTTCTTGTTTATCATGTTTGGGTCTGATTTGCTTCCTCAATCAGGCATTCCCCACAGGACCACGACTTGCATTTCCATGTTGGGAAGGTAGAGGTTGCGTATGACTGAGACAGGTCACAACACCCAGCCATGGGAGGCGAACGCAGACGTGAAGACAACAACTTGTAACACGAGATGATGGCGAGTGGGGCACCTTGGTTTTTCCCACTCTTCCATTGGGTGTGACAGGACAGCAGTTGTTACTCGTACCCTGTTAAGGCCCTGTGCAAGGGGGATTCAAGATGTAGATACCTAGCATTACCTAGCCATTCCCAACAATAGTGACCACCAAAATCCTGAAGTTGGGTATTCCCCACAGAATGAGGTTCAGAAGAGTGAGGCAAAATGCGCGAAAGATAACCAGCCCTACCGGGTGCTCTACCTACATCCCATTCTAGGACCCCTAGTTTGTTCACATTATATTTCACATTATTTCACTATATAGTAGTTATAGTAGTTAGTCAAACCACCACCAAAGTTTGGATGGGGTCCGAATTTCGGCCAGCCACGTGCTTGTGAGTAGGGGCTCATAGTCCAATAGTGACCCTCTGCAGCTGCAAAGAATTCAGAGATCCGCTTCGGCCACCCCAGCAGTGCCGTTTTATTGCCCATGGGTGCAGCTAGAGAAGACGTTTGGCACGTGATCAAAACTTATTGGCCACTGTTGTTGGGAAATGCCTTGGAGTGGTATGAATCTCGGCTGGTCAGGCGCAAAAACTGTTCTCAACAGGTGACGTGCATGGGGAGTATAGAAAGGAACTTAATAAACTTAGGTTTTTCTTCTCTAGGCATCTCTAGGCACATCAGCATCCACTGGCAACTGGTACTTAGTTCCTCCACGTTTGTCACGCTTATCAGGAACACAACAATCAGAAAAGTGCGATTATACAAGCTAGCGCCATGTTATTCTTGTGATTAGTTTCACATCTCCCTCGTATCTCAGGAGTTTGTTTCTCCAGCAGCAACTGCTAAGCCTTTTTGGAATCTGCGATATGATTTCAGCTGAGGAGTTCACGCTCTTCGGCTATTTGTCGCCCTATTTTCAGGCCACTGTTCATAGTCGACAGAACGCATCATGGCAAGTGTTTTCGGGCCGAGATCCCCATTTCCTCGAGTTTTCTATTGTCTTCGTAAATCAACAAGGACACAAACAGAATCAACTACAGCATGGTATGCACTCAATACATCACAATACCTATGTAAGGTAAAAATACAACAACATTCAACTAAGTAATATGAATACTTATTCCATACACGTTGTATATAACGGTGGAGCCATTTCTTTTAGATACAGAATATCTCCAATTTGTCGGTCCATTTTTTGGAATTTTCGCTGTCCCACGGTGCGTCCGGTGCCAGGTGAATTTCTTCCAGGGCTCCGCCGTGGCTGCCTGGCTGGGCTTCGCCATCACCTTCGTGGCCAGGCCCTTAGGCGGCGTGGTGCTGGGTGCCTCGGCACGGTCAAGGCGCTTTTGTAGGGTGGGAAGATACGGGAAGAGCTGGGGAAACCTTGGGATATATATAGAGACATATGAATGATATATGAATGATATATGAATGATATATGAATGAGATATGAATGAGATATGAATGAGATATGAATGATATATACTAGGGGAGGATGAGATAGGACTCTGCCGATGAACCCGCAAATTGAATTTCCTAACTCAGGTGGAAATTGTTTTTTTGGATCGAAAATATGTATGTAAGTCCTAACTCTGGAGGGGTTTTATTGCATTTTAAGCAACAAAAAATGAAAAACAGTATTAAATTTTCTATGTTTTGAGCAGTGTCCCTATGTGAGATAGGATTTGCCAGGGTAAGCCAGGGTAACTCCTAACTCAAGTGGCTATCGCAGCACTTGGAGTGTCCTGAGAATAGCTGAACAAATTAGATATGAGTTTGGAAATAGATGAGTAAAATTGGTTGTTGAGTCCCATCTCATGTAGTTAACTGAGGCCTTTTCTTTGATTGAATCAATTAAATACAGAAGCAGCCCAGCGGGGTATAGGCTGGGCATATAGAGAGAGAGAGAGAGGAGGCAGATGAGTTAGGACTTATGGAGCTCAAGGCTAGTGTTTGAGGCAGTCAATACAAAACTTGGTGAGTATTACCGATGCACATGAGATAGGAAACAGCTTGAGCAATTTCGAGAGTTTGTCCTAACTCATCTGTCCTTGCGCAAGGTTTGGTAGAAACATCCCTAGGCTTGTGCAATTAGAGATAGGAACTAAGGAAGTTAAATTCAAGCTCTTTTCCTAACTCATGTAGTCTGCTCTATCATGGCGTTCTCTGCTTTTGAAGTTCGCATAATCCGTGACTTGAGGCTCTTTTTGAATGTTAGGGAAAAACATGAGATAGGACTTAGAGGCTTACGCGACTCCTGTCACATCTCTGCTGGAACCATTAAAAAATATAACTTGAGCCTCGGCAGCACAAGAGTTAGGAGCCAACCCCAGGGAGAACCTAAATCCTTGGAACTGCTAAATCCTAACTCATCAGGACCTAGTATATGAATGAAATATGAATGAGATATGAATGAGATATGAATGAGATATGAATGATGTATGAATGATATGAATGATATATGAATGATATATGAATGAGATATGAATGATATATGAATGATATATGAATGAGATATGAATGATATATAGAAATAAAATATATGAATGATATATGAATGAGATATGAATGATATATGAATGATATATGAATGATATATGAATGATATATGAATGAGATATGAATGATATATGAATGATATATGAAAGAGATATGAATGATATATAGAAATAAAATATATGAATGATATATGAATGAGATATGAATGATATATGAATGATATATGAATGATATATGAATGATATATGAATGAGATATGAATGATATATGAATGATATATGAAAGAGATATGAATGATATATAGAAATAAAATATATGAATGATATATGAATGAGATATGAATGATATATGAATGATATATGAATGATATATGAATGATATATGAATGAGATATGAATGATATATGAATGATATATGAAAGAGATATGAATGATATATAGAAATAAAATATATGAATGATATATGAATGAGATATGAATGATATATGAATGATATATGAATGATATATGAATGATATATGAATGATATATGAATGATATATGAATGGCATATGAATGACATATGAATGACATATGAATGACATATTAATGACAAATGAATGACATGTGAATGATATATGAATGAGATATGAATGACATATGACTGACATATGAGTGATATATGAATGATATATGAGTGAGATATGAATGATGTATGAATGAGAAATGAATGATGTATGAATGATGTATGAATGATATATGAATGATATAGGAGTGATACATATTTGAATTCATATATGTGAGTGATATATATGAATGATATATATATATATGAATGATATATATGAATGATATATATTTATATGAATTTATATATATATATATATATGAATGATATATATGAATGACATATATGAATGATATTTGTGAATGATATATATAAATGATATACATGAATGATATATATATATGAATGATATATATGACTGATATATATGAGTGATATATATATATGATTTATATGAATGATCATGAATGATCTATATATATATATGAATGATAATGAATGATGTATGAATGATATATGGAATAAGAATGATATATGGAAATATATGGTATATGGAAATATATGGAGAATGTATGAAGAATATATGATATAATATGTTTGTATATATATATATGTAGATAGGCCTAAGAATATATATATATATATTGTTTTATATATGGATTTTTTTGTAATGGAAACGGGATGAAATATGAAACAAGCAGTCATATGATAAGACATGATAAGAAAACATGGGAGTAAGCACCTTAAAACAGTCGTATTATTGCTAGTTCACTTGAGAAATGATGAACATGCGTAGCAGTAATATGGAGTAAGAACCGAGATGTCTTGATATCTTGATGGCTAATGATGACAGTACAACAACAAAAATATATATATATATATTATATCCCATACATAGAATACTACAGGATTACATCTAGTGATTTTGGCGATTTCTTGATAAGGATGACAATGATAACAATGACAATGATGATGATGATGATGACGACGATGATTATGATTGTTATTATGATGATGATTATGATGGTGATGATGCTGATTACACATGATGATGATGATGATGATGACGATGATGATGATGATGACGACGATGTCGATGACGACGACGACGACGATGACGACGACAGTAGTAAGAATATTGGTTAGATGATGATTGCCAAATAGCGCAGCGAATTTAATAGGAACCATAAAATATGATACACAAGTCAAAACAATTGCAACATTAGCAATGATAGTCCACAGACCGATGTAGAACCAGAAGCTTGGCCACCAGCCATGTCATTGGTACTGAGGCTTGATTGGTGATGTCTTTGGCCGCAAGGTTGCAGCCTTCCCGTCCATTTTTGGAATGCTCTTGAGTGACTTGCCTTTGACATGTGATTTTTTGGGAATTCAAGTTTGTGTTCGGTTTTTTCCTGCTGAAATAGTGCATGTCAGAAGGTCACTGAGAAGACACGGCGGTGCGTCAACATTACAGCATCAATGGAATCCATGGCAGTTTCCATGCTTTTGGCACAGACCAGGTTGGTCCCTGGAACAGGTACTGTACTTCAAGGGTGCCTTCCGACATATCAAAGTGGACCAGCAGCAGGCTTCCTGGGCCTTTGCCTGCTTGTGGTGTTGCGACTGCTTCAAGGCATCTTTACCGGCGGAGAAATTGCCACGGTGAGCACGTACATCACTGAGGTGGGAAACCCACGTTGCTGTCAAGAAATTAAGACGTTTTTTTTTGGTTTGCTCGGTATTTTATTTGTATTGTTTGCTCGCCAGCAAGGGTATATAACTGTCCATTCTTCACATTCGTTCACCAGAACAAACCCAAATTCTTGAAACGTGTTCGTTCATTTCCGGGGGTGTGTCAATGGGTGTCATCCAAGATCTCAGGTTCATTGGCTAGCTCCCTAGTGATGATCCCAGCCACAGCCAGCTTGGGAAATCTCTTGTCCCTTTTGGTGACCTTTTCCTTCGAGGGTGCCCTGGGGGATGGGGCCATGACCCAGTGGGGCTGGCGCTTGCCGTTCCTTCTGGCGCTGCTGCCTGGTAGCCTGGCCATTTGGGGCCGGCGCAGGCTGGGTGAAACCGCCATGTTTTTGGCATCGGAGGCAGAGGAACAGCTGGAAACAGGAAAGGCCAAGAGGGCCATGATAAAGATCTGGGAGTTGGTGGCATCCTATTGGCCGCAGGTGCAAGCGCAAAAAATTGATGGATGGGTGGGTTTGAAGGTGAGGATTGTTTTTTGTGATTCTTGTAGGTTTGAAAGCTTCTCTTCGGTTTTGGGCAGCTGGTGGGTCAGAGCGAGAGAGCTGCAACGCAGATCCCCACTTTTAAGAGAGACCCATCATTGTTGGTTCAAATAGCTTTAAATTCTTATGTGTACCAGTCAAATCCACTGGGTTTGGCAGGTGTTGATTGGTTTTGGGGCAGTAGCTGCGCTGGCTGTCAATCTCTATGGAGGGATGACCTGGGGCTTGGTCTCGCTGAAGAAACACGGCTTGTCCATCGACTTTCGGACAGTCGCTGGAGCCACCAGCAATTGTGTGGTATTGCTTATGGCACCAAGGATTCGCAGAAGCAAACTTTACATATGTCTCAAAATCCGAAATTTGACGGTGATAAAAATGCTCTGGAATCAGTAAGGGGAACGTGGAAGCTATGGAATCTGCAGGGGACCTAAGTTGTGCATATAGTTTTGCATAATTAAGACAAATACACCCATGTGCTTTCTGAAAGACTTCTCCTTCTCCTACCCTATTTTGCTTGTTCTTGTGTTCAACCCCTCAAGCAGGCACCAGTGGTTGGCTGCGTCGCAGACAAGCACGGAGCGGCATGGACACAATTTATCACCGGCGTGGCATTAGCTGCGGTTGGGATGCCATTATTGATCAGCATTGAGGAGTCTGTTGAAAGCCCATGGTTGCTTGGTGGGATAAGATTCTATAGATCTTGAATGACAGATTTTGATAATTTTGATATGCCTTATGTGCAGATTCATTTTTTGCGATCTCGTCTCACCAACAGTTTCAGGGTTTCCGTTGCTGGATGCCACGATTTGAAGTGGAACATGTGTTGAACACAGATGGCTCCACAGATTCACCATGATTCACCAGATCATGAGATCTGTGATTTTCCAGCCTCCCGAGATCTCCCGAGGCTGGTTGTCTTGTTCTACGGCATTGGCTTTGGAATCTTACAAGCATTCCTGATGGTTCATTCCTTACAGGCCATGGCAGATCGGCACAGTTCAATCCCATTCAATCCCCCTTTCGTTCCAGTTGAATCCTTGGCTTTAGATCTCCTGCTCAGACCACTGCCACTTCCCTTCAGGTGGTTGAACTCTTTCCAGTGGAAGTGCGCACTGCAGGGATGGGTCTCAGCTACAACGTGCCTGGCTGCGTATTTGAGACGTGCATTTTTCTTTGATGTTTTCCCTCCAAAAGAATGACTGACTATAGATTATAGCGTAAACATATGTAAACATGCGTAACCGATGATTGCAATCTTGATTTTTGTTGATGGCCGCCGATCCAATTTCCACCCAAGATGTACATCATGATACATCCAATTTTCATCAACTGTTGGATTGTTGGATCCCAATTTTCCTCCTGAGTCCTACTGTTTGATGTTTTTAAATCCCAATCAAGTTGATGGAAAAAAAATTCCTCCAGTTGTCAAACATTTCCACATATCTAATATTATTTAGTTTTATTATGTTTTATTTAGTATAATATTATTTAATATTATTTATTAATATAATACTATTTATCTATTTCCCTCATTTCCCATCCAACTGCACCACCAACTACACCTTTTCGTCATTTCAACGGCCTAAAAACGTCGCGGTTCTCGCAGCGTTTCGCCAGGTCGGCTTTTGCCTCTTCGGTGGCTTTGCCCCGATGGTCTTCGAGGCCGCGGAATCTCTGGCGACCTGGATGCCGCCCTTGCTGCTGTCGCTGGGAGGTGGCGGACTTATCCAGAAATGGGGTATACCATGGGTATACAGATGTATACTAAGTACGCCCCAAAAATATCAAAACTCCCAGAGTTTGGAACTTGGTTTTTCTATGTTTCTCTCATTTTGTTTTTCCAGCAATCCCGATCAGGTGCCAGAACTGCATTGTCACCCAGCACAGCACAGTCTTAAAACTGCGCATTCTTGTCAGCGAAGTTGTCATAGATTGTCACAGTGGTTGTGTACCCATGATCAATGGATTGGTTTAAGGGAAAATTTACAGGAAAGCCCCATATTTCATAATTTAATATAATTTAATGGGAAAATCGATGGTTTCCGGTTAAGATTTTCCCTTAAGCCAATCCATTGACATGAGATTTTGGGGATCTCAAAATCACTGGCTTTGACACTGTCAGGAGTTGTCACCGCATCCACCACTCTGGTGAGTCTATGGCTGCGTTCCAGAGGAAGAATCCAACTGATGCTTGGTTTACAGGTGTGTTGCCATTGAGCTTAAAGAAGTGTGGCTTTTGAATTAGAATAATTAGAACTGAACCAGACCGGCCATAGCTGTAGGTTTACAGCATAGACACACTGGACCTGTGGAGACCACTAGAAAGCTGCTGGATTTTTAAGCGCCCGCGATTGCCAAGGACACACGTGAGGCACACGCCCTATTTTTATTGTTGCGGCAAAGAACGATTCTTGAACTTCCAGATGCAAAAGAGTGAAGAAGAGATCAAGGCGATTGAAAAGAAACGATCTGCCATAGAAGGGTTTCAACCCGTGGTGGACATTTGAGATGGAACCGCGCAAGATGATTTCCTTCTCTCAAAATTAAATGTCAAGGAGGTGTAAAGAATATCTGGATGTCTTGTTCATGTCTTGTTTTCAAAGACGTCCTGATGGTTTTTCCTGAGCCTCAGCTCTCTGGCCCAGCTGACAGCTGGTGCCAGCACAGCGACCGTGCCAAGCCACTCTCTGCGCTGGAAGTAGCGAGTTTCCCCGCTCCAGGAATGTCAGGAAGGGGAAACAGCGATGCCAAGCCCCCATGGTCAAATATCAGGAATGGGTATTCAGCCTGCAATAATTTGGCCTTGAAGATATGGACATCCCAGATACATCCCAATACTATTCAAGATTTGATATTTGGGATAGAGCAACATGTGATTGGGCATGTCTGGCATTCATGATTTAAGTTACTTCAGTTGGTGGAGGGCAACTTACCAAGTCCCCCCGAGGGATGGAGGGCGTGTCCATCAAAGAAGTGGACTTCGGATTTGCAGTTTCCTGTCTAGTTTTTGTGGGGCAGCGAATATCCAAAGGATGGCGATTGCAATGGTTTTGACGGTGAAAAACTGGAACATGTTGGAAGAAAGATGTGGCAGTCAAAGCCTTGGGCAACATGAAGTTACGGGAATTAGGTAAAAATGCAAGTCAACGCGAGAGAAATCCAATCAATGAGCTTGAGATATTTGGGTACCTGACGCGACTGAAGTTTGATGTACTTAACTACTCTTCTTGCAGAAGAAATTGCTGTTCATTTGCTTTCTAACGGCAAATCGTGCCTCTTTGCGCCATGGAATATTTGCTGAGTTCCGAGTTCAAAATTACCTTCCTCCAGTGCCAAAGTGTAATCTTGGTCACTTGCTGGAAGCACAGGGTCTCAAATGAATGATCTCCCCGCTACAAATGCACCGGAGGTCCAACGCGCTTTGCGACAGCAAAAATGGTGGCCAGTGATGGACTGTGACGCGTGACATCGACAAATGTACACTAAAAACACCACGCAAGGAGTGGGGTACAGTTTTTCAATGCCTTGCCAATCAAAACATTGCTACAATACCGTAGCAATACTAGTAGTCCGGCAAGAGTGAGTTCAGATATTTGGATGATTTTGGATGATCAGAATCATGCTCTGCCAATAAGTGTTGAAACAACGCCTGAAACAAATCTAATCATTTGTTAATAGGATATTCTCATTTCTGCCTATCCCAGAGTGAAGAACTGCTGTTTCATCAGCTGAGGTGCCTCAAGACAGGTGGCCGGCGGGACATTTTTACCGGCATTTGCGATATATTGTGCACGTTGTGCACACACCCACTGCTGTTTACAATTACACATAAATTACAGTGTGTTCAGTGTGTTTGTCATTCATAACTTAGTACATTCAAATCATTAACACATCATTAACACATAACATCATATAACGGCCCACTGCCCGCATAGAAAAAAGTGTTGTAAGAACTTGCCTTCTCTTCCTTCAAACATTTCCAACAAATGGACGGAAAACGGTCGATGTTTTTGTTCATCTCTCTCCCTGTAGCTAAAAACTTGATGCAGCTTCCATTGCTAGGCTCCACACACCCCAGCCAGCATCGCAGGATTGGCATGGAGCATCCTAGAACCTAAATTGAAATCGCTATTCTCGATGGTTGACCATCATTTTGGTAACCAAAACCTCGGAAGAAGGTATGTGGATTCCAAGTATACATGTTTAAGACATTTCCAATCAAATGAATGCACGAAATCTCGTAATTGCAAAGGGACCCCATCCCCACGTTTTTACTGTTGTGGGTCAGGCCAAATGCGTGTTGGCACATGGCTTGGTAGATGCGTGCTGTGCAGCAGAGACACTTGGCAGTGGGATGCCCGCAGCTAGGTCACTAGTTCCACAAGATTTCACCCTCAGCATCACAACCATCAGATCATGACGTGTCTATAGACTGCGTGTATTATAGTTTCATGGTAATATTAATATCGCCAACATATTTTGTACGTTGCAAGTTGCATATGTATTATATGTATTATGTATATACATATATATCCTTAGATAAACAATGTATATATATATATTTAATAATAATATATATATATATATATGTATATATATATATGTATATATATATATATGTATATATATATATGTATATAACATAGAGATTCTGAGATACAAGTACATGACTGGGGCAATGTTTGAGGTGAAGATTGACCCTTCGGAACAAAGATCAGCAAATTTTTACCCGCACATGAAGAATCTGATGGATAGCCATCTGTCTTTTTGCCAGTGGATGGACGATGAATGGAGTGGCGAACCCCAACAGCCAATGGGACATGATGATAGCTGGTATACCAAACGGGGCCCTCTATTTGTCCCAAAGGGACATCATGGGTCTGGCAAGTCACAAAGGCTTGTAATGATTTGTTTGATGAAAGTTGGTTGGCCGACCATGGCTTCCAGAAATGAGGATCTTGACTCACTGGTATCTTCATTTGTTGGTGGGTTTTCCATGTCACCTTTCGTTGGCAGAATTGAGACACAGGCGTTTTTTGATTTTTGTTTTTTAAGGAGCTCGATTGGACGCCCTGCTCCCATAGTGAATAATTCTACTCCTCAATTTGATATATAGGTCTAGGAATGTTTGCAATGTTGTTTTGGTACAGGGGTGGGTCACAATTTAAAATCGATGGCATCGATGGTCCAACAATGTCTTGTATATTACCTTGTTGGCTTGACCTATGGTTGCATCATGCCCTGCTCCCGCCCCGCCGTATTTCCATGTCCCCCAGCATCTATAAAAGATCTTATTTTGGCAGGCAGCAGGATCATTTTCTGATTTTGATGGTGAACAAACCACTCAGTTGATAAGACAAGACATCCCCATGAATCCACCCTCAACCAGTCGGTTCGGTGGTCAACCCCTAGGATCAACGACTTCGAGTCTCGGTTCTCTCCGCGGCGACATCCCAGGTGGTGGTGCCGTTGGGGGTCGGCGTGATCGCATCACCAAAGACATGAAATACAACCAACAAAAAGTGCATTTTTCATCATTTTTCTCCATGAGTAGCGGGCATTGACGTCCGTATTGATTAAACATGGGTGCTTAAAACGGTTCATTTGTTTTGTCGGTCTCAAACAAAACAGTTGACATTTCTCCAGTTAATGCCGTTGTCAAGCCGGTACCGCTGCCCCTGACTCCAAAGTTTTGGGTGTGTTTGGAGAAGGGAGCCGTGCAACTGAGCATTTCAGTCTGGGTCAAACATCACTTCACAGCCATGTATGATATGTATCTGGAGCCGTGGAGCTCACAGATTGGGATGATCCTTAAATCTGTTGAGAAATATCTGAGGATCATCCCACCTATGTTGATCTTAAAATATATGGATTCACAGCATCCATAGGACTCCAAATATGTTGAGAATGATCCGATCTCCGGACCTGACAGGCTGCATTCCATATGGATGACATGATATTCCTGAGAAGCTGGATGTGACTGAGGTGAGTAGGAAAATTGGGATGGCTGATGGCTCACAAGGCAAGCACACAAAGAGGTATACCAGTCGAAAACAGTCGAAATCACATCTATTGAATGTGTTTTTGATGTATTTTTCAATTTGGAAGATTGACACCATGATGCCTTGCAAAGTCAGGAAGGCCAACTAACATTGTGAGCCAATATCTTTTAGTTGAGGAGACTTAGCGACAGTAGCGGGGTTCCAGCTGCATGTCTTTCCGGAGAAAAAGAGATGCGCTGGCGCGCTGGGGATTCACAAGATTCGCCATGAGCTGCGTCGATTGGTGTCACGCTCTGCGAAGTCCTGATTCGAAGGCGTGAAATCTACGGACGTGAATGGAAGGCGACCAAATACTGGCAACGTTTTGCATTGAGCCACAATTTTGCTTGCCACCAGGAACCAACAAGCCAAAGACATCCAGGCTGATAAGAATACGTTATATAAGCGTGACCAAAGGCAACACATAAGACTCATAGGTACGCAACCTGCTCTTCAAAACCAGGGTTTCGCAGGCAAAGTCAACCAAACAGAAGTGCAAATCCGTTCAAAATTTCACAGCGTAGCTGCAACAGCATCAGGTTAGCTTGGCGGTGTCGAGGGTTGTTGCGCGGAACAGTCTTGTGATGTTTTGTGTAAATCCCAAGCTGCCAGTATGTTGTTCAGCGCGTGCACCAACAAGATTCAAGATGTTCGTGCATATAATGGAGTTTATATTTTTGTTGTCAAAGGTAAATCGTTCTTTTTTTGGCATCAAGCTGAAAACCTCACCAGTTCGGGCAAATACGCTGTGCTGACACAAGGCGTTCAGCTAGGACAAACAGGTTGCGCAATTTTGTTGGGATGTCCTGCTCATCGTACATACAGTGGCGGAGGCATGCGGAGGCCATGCTATACCAGCTCCTGCAAGTCAGGCGAGTAAGTTGAAACCAAAGCACTAAAACATTGGTCACGCCCCAGCAGGACCCAAACCAAACACGACCAAATAAATTGCATTTAAATCGTTCTGCCGGACAAATCCTTCACACGGTCAGATTTTGTTTCTCAAGCACGATTTTCGTATATGTACTTTCGTTTCAAAATTGTTTTCATGGACTGATTTTGCCTGTGAATCGCTTGCAACAACACCTAGTGTCCAATGCCGGTGACAAATCAACAAACCAAAATTTGCAACACATCTTATACTTGTGCGATCTTGTTGGATTTTGCCACTGTGTTTTGCTGGGCGTGTTCCAGTTTGTAAGTCCGCTCCAGAAAGAACATGGGACAAATTCGACGCCGCCGACTCCTTGGCAAATACCTTGCTACAAATGTCAGTTTTGGGAAACCCATCGTGCTTGCTGTGGCCGCTGTGGCCTGTCGTTCAAAAGGAAATAATCTACGTCGCTTGCATCTCTTCGGTCGATGGCCCCATCTGTTCAAATCGCTCTAATTTGGCCACAACTTACATCTTGGAGATGATGAAACTAGATGGAACTAGCAGATTGTTGCACCAGTTGTGCAAAATG